ACATCCCCCCTTCCCCCCTCCCACTCACACGAACCACGGTATAAGTTGGTATTACGATTGGTACTGAGATTATTTTATACTAAATATGTAGGCCTATATAATATCACTTAAGCGAAGCTACCCATTCATGTGTGTACGATCCTCTAGGCATATTCTTGTTTATGTCATTATTTTAATATACAGTTTTAAACAATATATTTAAAAACCAACAGGAAAATACGATCATTACTATAGGGCAGTATTGGGGTCTGTCTGTCATATACAGAGTTTCTTCCGGGCATCTCGTCGAGGGGTCTGAGCACCCCCCCCCCCCCCCCCGAAGAAAGTCTACCGCCACGCCGCTTTTTCTTTTTCTTTTTTTTTTTTTTTTTTTTTTTGCGATTTTGTTAACTTTTGTTTACAATTGACCATAACAAAACGAAAGAGTAATGTCTACCATAAAATTTCAGTTAACAAAAAAATTTAAAAATTTAAAAAGTATCTTTTTCAAGTGCAAAATTTTAATGTTTTTTATTAGGTTTTTTCGCCTTGTTACACATCCTCACCAAACTTCGGACAACCCTCCCCCCCCCCCACACACACACACCTCAATTAAAGATAACCGTTACCCTTCTTTTATTTAGTTTAAAGTTAAAATAAATGATGGCTTATTATAATAAGTCCATCGGTAACTGACGGGCACCAAATTACGTTGCAGGGGAATTAACTCTTTAAAAGAACTTACTAATTCTATATTACGTAGTTGTCTTCCATGAGGAAAATTGTTAGCTAGGATTTCAAGTAATATTAAAAAGTTTAAGATATGAGTGATTAACTCGCATTCTAAGTCAGAGGTGACAGAGCTAAGGTGCTTTTTTTAAACTATTCTATTTCAGCCGTGTTATAGTCTTGTTGTTGTAAATAGTTTAAATAATTTTAAAACATTACAAAATTTGATATTAGAAGACTTTCAAACGATCACCATGGCTACTCCTGCGCCGAATAGGGTTCAACCCAAAGTTATGTCATGTTTTTCAGTAAATTATTACCCCTCCCCTCCCCTCATCATCGTCACAAACAGCCAGACCCTCCCACCCTTAGAGAGATGTTTTTTTTAAAAAAGAAATCGATGTTTAAAAAATTGTTTAAGATTTGTTTTGTTGTTTTTTGTTGTTTTTTTTTCTGAGCCCGATAATCGTTGAGTAGGCCTATCAGTATCTATTACAATTTATAAAAACCGTATTTTTTAAAATAAATTAATTTAAAAAAAAAACTTTTTAATAACAAGCTTTAATTTAATAATGTACAATAAGAAGAAAAATAAATGATTTTCTTTTCATATAAAAAAAAAGTACTATAAAAATAAGCTTTAGACGCTTCTTAAATTTTAGTATGTAGACATTTTGTAGGTAGATTACATGTTTTTAATGTGTGCTGTACATGGAGCCGACCCCCCCCCCCCCCCCACCCCCACCCCAGCGCATACGCGTTCACAGGAGTCGATTTTTTTAACCCTCCAGGTTTGCCCCTACCCCCTTCCGCGTGGACATAATGAATGAATCACCCCTAATCAATAGTTTGTTGGACATAAAATGGGGGGGGGGGGGGCACGTGACATTGTGTCAAAGGTCGAGTTTTATTTGGAGAAAGTAAACAGAGCTCTACAGTTTCTTTGTATTTGATGATTACAGGGGGCGGTCGACCAAACAAAGGTATTAAAGGCTCGGGACAAATGGGTCAGAAACAGGAGAACAAGTAGAAAAACTTTTGATAACAACAGGCACAAATAATATGAAAAACGAAAATACTCGCTAACGACAGTAATAGTTAATAGTAGTTATTCTAACATATTTTCACTATAAGAACTATAAACGACATTTTGCAATTAACGCTTTTTATTGATGCTTTGCAAATGGCTATAATCATATTTTAGACTTATTTTTATTTTATTAATTTTTATTTTATTAAAAGCATTGATAATATGATAATATTAGATAACTTGCGGTATAGCCTATTATGTGTCGATTACATCGGGAATTATCCAAGCTATCAAATTTTGATTAGAAAATATTATGAACAAAATTTTAAACTAGAAATAATATGCCAATACTTTGAAAGTGTGCTGAAAATTCAGTGGGACAGTGTAAGCCTGTGTTCGTGTCATACAAGCACAGTACCAGATTATTCATGTATCAACAAGAAGCAAGCAAAAGTGTATCACTAAAAGGCTTATCTATACTAAGCTTTAGGGATTGGATTGGAGGCTCGGAGTCAACGGTAATGGGTTTTCAGATAATGACAGAGTTTCTTCCAGGCTTCTCAAGGAGGAGGAGGGGGGCTTTCCTGAAGAAAGTCTACAGTCTCCCCGAATGAAATCAGAGGCGTAGCGAAGGGGGGGTGTCCCCGGGTGCCGACCCTAGGGGCGCCAAAATGGGTTGGGAAAAAAATTAAAAGCTCATTTTAGCTGCAGATTTGAATTATAAACATAAAAAATATAGGGGGGGGGGGCACACAATTAACGGTTTGTCCCCGGGCGTCGGGAGTGGTTGCTACGCCTCTGAATAAAATGGAATTTATATAGAAAATATATACGTTTAACAGTGTCCGCCCCCCCCCCCCCCCCCGAAAATTTCAAGTGCCCCCCCCTCCGAAGAAAAAAGTCTGGAAGAATGGAAGAAACACTAGATAATGAAGACCAAGTAAAGTGTGGGTTTTTTTATCCGATGTTATATTTATAGTAGGGAAGGTAATGTGTGGTATTTTATCACATAAGCCACACAAAAAATCACGTGTAGCCTAAACTAAATTTTATACCAATCCTGAAAAAAAAAAACCAATAAAATAATGTCACGTCAGTGTTGAGTAACCCTAAGCTAGCAGTAGATGTTGTACAATATACGCTTGCACGATTGGTGGAAAACAGATCAACAGTAAAAAGGCTCAGGAGCCTTAATAATATAAACAATTTCTAGAATCATATGTCAAAAGTCGTTTTGTTTTCTAACTTCAGACCCGCCCATTTTAAAACTCAAATTTTACCAACCCGGAAAGGTATAATCCGGAAAAGTGGTACCCCTGAAAAAAAAATTGGAAATTGTAGTAACGATCGCAAATCGTGGGTGATTATAGTATAGTTTGCTCCACCAATACCATCAGATAAGTTTTGTGCGCATTAACTCTAATCCACGAGAATTGGCGAGACTACATTAGGCTAGGCCTATGCCTAGTCCAAATCTCGCACTATTTTGGGAAATAAAAAAATTCCCGGTTATAATGAAAATTTCACGGCTATTCGTCGGACTCCCGGCTTTCCCGGCCGGGAAATTTTATCCTAAAATTCCCGTTTATTTCCCGGCTCCGTGGGAACCCTTCTTGATTGTAAGGGGTCGGCGTGGTCGAGTCGGTAAAGCTCATGGTGGTTAAACCGAAAGTCTCGAGTTCGAACCCTTGGAGACATGAGGCTCGTTAGCTGTGGGGACAGCCACTCTTCTAGGAGAGACAACTCCAAAATCAAACAACTGCTGCCTTGTTCTTGGTTGGACAAAGGCTATGGAAGAAAATCCAAATAGAAAAGCAGGCTGAAATCGAAGTCAATTGCCTCAATGGCGCGTAACAATTTGACACGTAAACTTCATTGTGTTGGAGTTGAATCCCTTCCAACACTAACATTAAGAACGAAGAAGAAGATGAAATAATTGTAAGGAAAAGCGTGGGTCGCTTCTTAAATTTTTAGTAAAGGTATTCAATAGATAGATCTAGATCTAGTATAGTATATAGATAGTGAATTTAACCATACTTAACATGTGAAAATGCCATTAAATAAAATATCAGTGGAAATTTTGGGAGTGATGTATAGGCCTATACATTCAAATATGAATTTAAGAATTAATATACAAAAGATAGGCCCTACTCAAAACAGTGGACGATCGGGTAGTGGTAAAATGCGAAACCATTCGACAGCCTCGCCATATCCATATTCCCTAAAACTAAATCATATTAAATGAAATAGATGTAGATCTAGGTTAGGTAGTTAAGGTAGTCAAGATAGAGTAGATTCTAGAATCTAACTTAGTAACTAGTTAGTAGTAAAGTGAATGTGGTCGCAAAATGCATTGCAAAATATTTCAAGAATGACCAACACTTTGACCGTTATAGCTTAAGAAAGTGTATAACAGAGTTTCTTCCAGGTATCTCTTCGGGCCCGAATATTTTTTACCGCCCCCCCCCCCCCCGAACGAAATGAAATTTATATAATTTATATAGAAAATATATACTTTTAACAGTGTCCGCCCCCCGAAGAAAGTCTACCCCCCCCCCCCCCCCCCGAAAATTTCAAGTGCCCCCCGGAGAAAAAAGTCTGGAAGAAACACTGGTGTATAATTATTTCTTATTCATAAAGGCAGGGGTGGCCACTCTGCGTAGCAATATCGCCCATTAAAAGTTTGTTATTTTAATTTCTATTGTATAGATCTAGATCTAGGACTAGCTACTAGATCTAGCCAGGGGCGTAGCGAGGGGGGAGGCGGGGGTGCGGACCGCACCGGGTGACACCATTTAGGGGGGTGACACCAAGGCAAAAAAATAGCAAAATATATAGAGAAAAACTTGAGGGGGGTGACACCATTAAGTGTCGCACCGGGTGACACCCGACCTCGCTACGCCACTGGATCTAGCTAGCTCTATCAGTATGATTCATTCTACAGAATTTAGTCTTAGATCTATATTCTAGATCTATCTACTTGGTTAGCCTCGCATAGCCTAGCTACTTGCTAGCGTATCGTTTACTTTTTACTTTACTTTGGTGAGGGGCCAAAAATATAATATTAAAATTAAGCAAAACATTTATTAAAATAATATTTTTTGAAAATACCAAAACGTTCATTAAATTTTAAAATTAAGATCCGTACTAATACAGTTTTTTTTAAAACAAAAAAAAATTCTCTAATCTCTTTTATACGAGAACTAGATTCTACGATTAGATCAGTAAACGTTCATCCTAGAAAGAAAAAAGCGTCCACGTCAACGTTTCGGGACTGTTGTCACGTGACTAATTCTTACACGATTACGGCTAAAGTCTTTCCGGCATCTCCAACTTCAGTACTGAGTTGGGGATTCATTAGTTCCTCACACATTTTCATCATTCAATAAAAACAGGCTAATAAAATGGCGAGTAAGTATCGAGACGTGTTCATTGTTATGTTCGACATCAATTGGTTTTTTAAAGTTATGTTAATTTATAGTAATCTTTACGTGGATGGGCGAATTTTCCTGTTAGCTCTATGTTTTTGACAACGCACCAACTTTACTGTGTTGGGTGCAGATAACATCTGTTTATGTGCCAATGTGTGTCGTTTATACTTTATAGTTTATACTTTATACATCGTTCATCGTTGACCCATCTTTAACATTGTTAAAAATGTAGTATACTTTTGATTCCTCCTAGCCTATTTTAATTTAACTAACATCAACAAGCCCTTGATTATCCAGTAGCTCCCTTTTTTTTTTTACTTCTGACTAGAATACTCACTCAAGTCCTCAAGTGTCTTTTGTGTTGACTGTTAGAATCTAGATATACTCTTCTTGGTGTCTAGACACAAGTCTAGAATCTATAGGTCTATAGGCCTAATAATCTATATTCTGGTATATTCTTATCATGTAGATCCTGCATATTGGAGGGAAGGGGGGGGGGGGGCATTGACAAATATCAACTGTCAAGAATCAGTTGATTAAACTTGGTGTTTTTTCTTAATCAAGTTTTTTTTTAGAGCTTGAATTGTCTTGTAAAACCTGCAATGACTACTTATTAGTATTTATCAAGTGTTGAGAAACAAGTTGTTTTTGATTGTTTCACCTAGACTAGAGAAAATGTGCCATTTCTGAGCCTACACATTTTAATCTACCATAACAATTCCATTTTTTTTTTCAGTCCGATTTCTTGAGTTTGTAAAACCATTCTGCGTTGTTCTTCCTGAAATAGCCAAGCCTGATAGAAAGGTGAGTTGAATAAAATTGTTATGCTCTTCTTTTTACGAAGGATTGTACTTATTGACATTATGGAAGAAATATTCAAATATTCCTACCCAAGCCATGATAAACTGAAAAAATCTCATTATCATTATTGTATTGTCCTGCTCGTGTTTTTATGATAAAACAAAAAAAAAATTATTTTCTTGTGTAACTACGCAAAACTTTTCATTACCTGTAAATGTGCCTAATATTATTGCCACTTTGTGTCTGTTCATTTATTATATTGATTTAGTTATGTTTATTAATAATGTTAATAATTATTTAACCATTTAACTACATGATAGTTTTGTATATTTTTTTAAAAATTTTCATCAGATTCAATTCAGGGAAAAAGTACTATGGACAGCAATAACTCTTTTTGTCTTTCTAATCTGCTGCCAGGTACGGTCTTTCTTCAGCTTTTTATAAAATGAAGTAAGTCAAACATGTTGAAAAATAATACTTACATATGAAATTTTCTTTTCCTAAAGATTCCTTTGTTTGGCATAGTGTCATCAGACTCTGCAGATCCTTTTTATTGGATCCGTGTCATCCTTGCCTCAAACAGAGGTAAAAAACAAAACACCTTTTATTTAAGGGTACTATTAGGGTTGTGGGTCCAATTAAGTATGGTTTTTATTTTTTCTTCGCCTCATCGCTGTCCTAACAGCGATTTAAAAAGAAAATCCTTTTATATGTTAAAGATTATATCGTATTGCATTTTACAAGAACTGGTAAATGCTCTATATGCAACACTTAGTCCCATAGAACTTAACTATTTTGTTAATTTACTACAGGTACCTTGATGGAGCTCGGTATTTCACCTATTGTTACATCTTCACTGATTATGCAACTCCTGGCTGGCGCTAAAATCATAGAAGTTGGTGATACTCCAAAGGACAGAGCTTTGTTTAATGGTGCCCAAAAATGTAAGATAATTAATCATTCAGCTCTATTTTTATATTTTTGTACATATACAATTTTAAACAAACTATACTTTATTATTGAACAGTGTTTGGAATGGTCATAACTGTTGGACAGGCCATTGTCTATGTGATGACTGGCATGTATGGAGACCCAGCTGATATTGGTGCTGGAGTTTGTCTTCTTATCATCATCCAGGTTTGTTTTTGCTTAAAAATTCACTTTTTATCAATGCCTTGCCATTGTTAGTTATTAAACTAATTTGCACATTGAGAAGAAATGAGTTATTAGAAAGCTTTTTTTTTTTTAACCAACTTTAAAACATTTTATTTTAGCTTTGACGTAAACACAAGCTCTAATGTTTTTATTTGATTTTCAGCTTTTTGTTGCTGGCATAGTGGTACTTTTACTTGATGAACTGCTTCAGAAAGGTTATGGGCTTGGTTCTGGTATCTCCCTGTTTATTGCTACCAATATTTGTGAGACCATTGTCTGGAAGGCTTTCAGCCCTGCAACTGTCAACACTGGAAGAGGTTTGTCAATGAAGCTTGGTTTTTCCAAGCTTTTGTTTAACTTGCTTCCTCATTCTTTTGTATGTCACACTTTGTCATGGACCGAAACTGCCAAGTAAAAATTTCGACCACTTCAAACACACCAATAGGTTTCAATTTTGGCAATACCCAATGACAATTCCATCTATCATCCAATTTAACTTAATTAAATGCTTAATTAATTTTTAAAGATTTAATTTAAATTTCCTTAAAAGTACTTTTACCGCGTTATCACTTGTTTTCTCCTTCAATCCAATCCCTAAAGCTTAGTATAACGATAAGCCATTTGGTGATAACACTTCTGCTTCTAGTTGATCCATGACTAATCTTGAACTGTGATTGTATGACACGAACACAGGCTTACACTATTATTTCTATTTTTAATTTTGTTTATGATACTTTCTAATGAAAAGGTTTTTATGCTTTTTTTTTTTCACTAGTTACTTTTATAATGTATTTTTCTATTTATAGTTGCACATACCATTTGTTTTTGTTTCACGCAGGTACTGAGTTTGAGGGAGCTGTGATTGCATTGTTCCATTTGTTGGCCACCAGACAGGATAAAGTACGTGGATTAAGGGAAGCTTTCTACAGACAAAACCTGCCAAATTTGATGAACCTTTTGGCAACTGTTCTTGTTTTCGGGATAGTTATATACTTCCAAGTAAGTAGACATTTTAATTTTACATACTTGCTGCTTGGTCTTTTTAATGTTGTTTTTTTCCATACCTTTAAGAATTTTAAAATGTTTTGTTTTTTATCAACAGGGATTCCGTGTTGACCTTCCCATCAAATCAGCAAGATACAGAGGACAGCAAACTTCTTACCCAATCAAGCTTTTCTATACATCTAATATTCCAATTATTCTCCAGAGTGCTCTGGTGTCTAATTTATACATGATTTCTCAGGTAATCAATCTATTCTTTGTTCTTGTCTTTTTACACTTTTTTAAGGCCAGAAAATCTTTTTCCTTTAAGAAAAGTTGCCTTCAGATATTTCTATGTCTATCAAATTATTTATAATACAAGTGAGCACAGTCAAGCTCAGGGTGTCTCAATTCTAATAATGCTTGAAAATTTAAGTATATATCTTTAAACTGATTTTTTGGAGATTTTTAAAACACATCAGTTATGGTTTGACCCATTAGGAAGCTATTATGATACCCATGAAGGGTGTCATTAAATTATTATTGTAAGATTATTATTGTAGTGTAAGATATAATCCTACTATAATTTTGTTACCACTAGTTATTAGGCCCAAATATTTTTAAATTTAGGGTATATAAAAATAAAATCTAGCATTGTTTTTTAAAAACCTACAAATACTGGAGAGCATTGTATCTCTGTTGGTTTCTTACCTATAGTTTTTTATTCTCCATTATTGATGGGTAAACACCTTTGTTTCAGATGCTGGCTAATAAATTCAGTGGCAACTTTTTCGTCAATCTTTTGGGTGTTTGGGCAGTAAGTACTGTAATTTTTAAAAAGTTAGTTTTGTAATTTTACAATTGTTGAATGTTTTAACATAATTTTTCAAATCTTTATAGGATGTTGGTGGTGGGGGTCCAGCAAGATCTTACCCCATTGGAGGTCTTTGCTACTACTTCTCTCCTCCAGAAACATTAGGACATATATTGGAGGATCCTATACATGCAGTCCTATACATAGTTTTTATGTTAGGTTCTTGCGCCTTTTTCTCAAAGACATGGATTGATGTGTCTGGCTCTAGCGCCAAGGATGTGAGTAATTTGTTCAGCTGGAAATATGTCTATGTATTCATTAATTACTTCGGTTTTACAAAAATATTGAGTCAATAGCAACAGTTTTTTTAATGATGTGAACTGTTGCAAACATTTAGGTTGCCAAGCAACTGAAGGATCAACAGATGGTCATGAGAGGTCATCGTGAGAAATCCATGATCAAGGAACTGAACCGTTACATCCCAACAGCAGCTGCTTTTGGTGGTTTATGCATTGGAGCTCTATCTGTGCTTGCTGATTTCCTGGGTAAATATACAAACAAAAGTTGGATAGTTTCTAGAAACTCCATGCTTTGTTTCACAATGTAACTCATATTTTACTTACTCGCTTTCAGGTGCCATTGGAAGCGGAACTGGAATCTTGTTGGCTGTGACCATCATTTACCAATACTTTGAATATTTCGTTAAGGAACAGAGTGAAATGGGAGGAATGAGCACGCTATTGTTTTAAACTTTTAAACTTTACACCTCATTTGTTTGTTGTCTCTGTGTATTTCTTTCGTTGTTTTTTTTAATGATGAAATTTTGTAGAAAGTTGTCCCACTTTTAAATATGTTAAAGTTTGCTGGTTTTGCAACATAATTCCATTTTGTTAGATAAAAGGTTGGATATTTATTTGATAAGGTGTTAAAATTTGCAGTAACTGTTTAGCTCATTGGATAAGTTTGTTGAATGTGTATTTATAACCTGAAATCAAAGCGTGACAAACTTCCAATGTTTTTTTTTTAAAAAGTGCAATTGCACAATTAGTTATGACAATTTAGTTGTGACTATATGATTTTTAGATGTTGCTTATATCATTGTCTGACTGTTGAGTTTGATTGCTTATTCAGGCATTCTTCATTTCACAGCCTCTTTTACTCATTTTAATACATATAAGCAATGCTGAATCTCATATAGTTTTTGAATTGATAGTGTGATACTCAGTTAGGTAAGAGAATACATACAGCAAACTATTACTAGAAATCTTTAAAAAATGCATTCATTTTTTTCAACATGCTTATTGACTTGTGTGCGAGTTGTGGAATGAGTGTTACATTTTCTTTTCCTTTCATCCTGTTCATTATATATGGTTATGGGTGTAGATCATCTAGCATGTCAGCTGATTGAAAGATGACTGTATTATAATTACTTCCCACCTCCCTTGGTTATCAAAAATTAGTCTTGTTCACCTTTGACTTAATTTTTAAAGCCACACTCTATTGTCACAATACATTTTCCTTCAGTGTAGCTCTATCAAATTGTTTTTTTGTATGGCAGTGCTAATTTACTGAATCTTCAACTGCTGTTAAAGTTTAGTTTTTTGTTTGTAGAATGGTTAACTGCATTTAAGTCATGTTGAATAAATGGATGGTTTTTTGAGGTGTGTTGTTTGGAAGGATAAAATGTTTGCGGCTCATGATAATGTAATTTAATTAAACAAATTATTAACTTGCCTTCTTTTGACTTTTTTAATGTCTTTGGAATGATATTCTGCTATTTTTCCAAAACTACTCAGTTTTAGGAAACTACATCAGGATAGGGTGAACAACTCACCTGTCTCAAGTACAGTGCGCCCTGATATACAACAATATTATTTAGATGCTGCATTAGTTACCTTTACTATTCAAGGCAAAGAAACTCCAAAAAAAGTTTCTTTTTATTGTACATCAGAGCTATTTAATGACGATTACCTCATTTCCTAAACATTCTGATAGGGAAGAATAAACAAGCCTAATTTGACAGGGTTAAAGGCTTGTGAGGAAAGCATGGTGAAAAAGTGAAGACAAGTGAAAGTAACAAAACAGTAAGATCTGGCTTCAATTATGTTCTGTTAAGAGTTCCATTAAGTTTAGAGAGGAAGTGTAGTGTTAAGAATGTAACTAGTAAGTGAAATAAAGTGATGGAGCTTGGCATCAACAGTAAGTGAACGAAGTGAAGCTCCTATGCTTGCATTTTCCATAAGCTCGCATATGAAAAATATACTCAATATAACCAATTTATTTCTTGGCATTATCCCAAATTATTGTGTAACACATGTCATGTTTAAAAATACTTCTTAAGAAATCTTATTGAAAATGGGTGGCTATTAGGGACTGGAACAGATTAAATGGATCTTTTGAAATAAGAGCTATGTTACTGAACAAATAAACTCAAAGTACCATTATGAATATATACATGGCTCCATAGTCTTAATAGACAATTGCACATTGGCAATGCAAGCGCCACGCCTGAGCAATAAGATAAGCAATGAGCCACATATTATCAATGTGTCAGACCCCTCTCTCAACACTACTGATGGACCCAAGGAACAGGGCGTTACCTTACAACATAGAATCAGGACTGCTAAAAGGAAACCACAGTTGGTAATCCTATCATCTAAGGGGGTCTTCTGTTGGATTTAATTTTCTCCTAGATATGTTGCTGTCCCCAGCTGATGAGCCTCATTTGGCAGAGGGTTCGAACTCATGACAATCAGGCTAGCCCTTATCTGCCTGACCACTCCAACCAATGGGGAGGAAAAATTAAATTGATTCACCCAGTAGTCCCACAGAAGCATGCTCAAAAATGTGAGATTAAATAATTAAACAAGTACAATACAATTTTTCCCCATATTTTATTTAATTAGTACAAAAAATTACTAGCTAAAATATCTTTCACCAGCGAGACAAACATTGATACATTATTGGTTACAGTTTTTTGCATAAAAATCACAAGAAAAAATTAATCTAACAAAGTAGTGTAGAAACATGCAAAAAAAAGATCACAATATCAAGCTTTTAAAATAAATTGAACGAAAATTATTTGCGTGTAAAGAAGTATGCTGGTTACCTTAATGTAGAGTTAAAAATAAGTAAAAACAAAGATGAGTATTTGTTTATTTTAAGCACAACTTTAGTACCTGTCTGGTTTTCTTACAAGCCAGCCAAGATTTAATATCACTCAGATACTTGAGAATTATCAGTGATTGTAAACATCTGATCAAAATGTAGGCAGCATACTTTATAGTAAACTTAGGTCTTTATCTTAACAGTTATTTCAAAATGTGGTTTGAATATTTCACTTACAAACAACAAAATATAAGATACTATCTTGGTAAATAGTACAAGTACAGTGTAAAAGTTTAAACAATAAAATAAGCTCACAACTAATTGAGAATGCCAGCCTGTAGATTGCATAGTTTTCACAAATATTTCACATAAATGCAAGTAGTGGTTAATAAGAAAGTTTTTTAGTACAATACAATTGACAAGAAAGTAAATTTTTAAAATGACCAGATCTGCATTTGACTTAAGAGATCAATTTTTTTTGTAAAAAAAAATAAGGCCAAAGTTTTTGAGTTTTGTATCTCAGTAACAAACTAGGCAGCCAGTGCGGAGTCGAACTGAGGACATCTCTGGCCTTCCCTCACAACTGTGATAGATCTCCATGGACGGCCACTCCCTCTCAGGTAGTTCTGGTAAAACAAAAATGGTGAATTAGTTTGGTATCCTAATGGAGCATGATACAGACTTTAATCTAGTTCAAGTAAAGATATGCTTAAGTCCTGTTGATATGGCAGATTATTATGTAAGATGCTGGGATGGCCAGGGCAGTGAACAGCTGTTGTTGGCAACAGTTATATGAGAGGTTTTTTTTAATGGATTTTAGAATATCTCATAGAACAACCAGAAAACACCCCCCCCCCCCCCCCCCCCCATCCCTTAACCAAAAAAAGATAATCAGAAAAAAAAAGACTTAGGAAATAAACCCCTCCCCCCCCCCCCCTCAACAGACAAAAAATAACGAAAATGTGTCTGTCCCATGCCAAATGTACTAATAAATTCCAATTTAAACCAAAATAAAAAGAGAATGTGGCAAATCACTGGGATTTAACAGAAGTTTAGCTGCTGAATAAAAACTTGTTTATCACAAGATAAGGTACAAATACAATGCAAAGATAACACAGAAACTTACTTCTGTCAGTGGCTTGTGATTTTAAAAAAATTTATTCCCATAATATTTAATTTAAATACCTTATTGATTAAACTCATTTAAAAACATTAATAGACAGTACTGGGCAGGAACACAAAGTTCTTACATGAGCATAAGGCAGTCCATTTCTCTTCTCAGCTCCTGAAGCATTGGCACCTACCCAGACAAAGACTGTTTCACCACTATCACAGATGAACACATCCTGGCAGAGTAAGTGATAACTTATATCAAGACACTGCTACACAATAGACTATGAATGATTTGAATTAAGGTAACTGTTATTAGGTCTATTTATTACACGAGAGAGACAAATATTTATAAAAATGGTCTTACATCAGATTTCAGATCATTAAGTGCGAAGTCACCATCCTTAACAAGTTCAGACTGGGCAGTATCTGTGTTGACTCTGTAACAAAGATAAAATTATAGCATTTTCAAAGAGAGCTCAATGCATTTTCTGTGATCTCATATTTAAATTGAGATGAGATAACCAAAATATTGCCAAATGATAGTCTCTGTAGAATGAAAGCGTACCTGAGCAGTTTCTTGTCTTCTATGCCATCGTCATCATCATCAATGTCTTCATCTGCACTTTGGTCAAGTTTTGTCCAGAATTCATGCTAAAAATAAAAAATAAAACATCTTTATTAGCTAAGTAATGGTGTAGTATTGGAATTATGTAGGCATACATGTATTATGTGAGAAAAACTAATACAATATCTGACTTTCTTTTCTCTAATAATTGTATATGTGAAGTAATCCCCTATTTTCATAAAATTGCAAGTTAACAGCATGAAACCCAGAAATTACAAAAGTTGAACAAGAAAACAAGGCCACATAATAATCAGGTATTTTAGAAATGAAACAGTATCTTCAGAACCTAATTTTAAAGGATTCTGCCTTGTTTTTGTATGTATGCAAATTAAAAATGTATTTTACTGCTATTAACTGTAACCACATCTTAACACACAGTGATAGTAATGACAGAATTGTGATAACATTTGGTTGAACTTACAGCTGTGCTAGTTGTAGCACCTTCAAGTACTTGAGAGGTTGCCTCCCCTCTTTCAGATTTAATGGTGCCCACATACTGCATGGCCTAGATAGACGAAAAAAGTTGTAAATTACAAATGTTTAAATGAGGAAATTTTGTTACACAATAATATCTATTGTTTAAAGGTTGAACTTGTAGTGTATCTAAGTATACAAAGTAAAAATATTATGTGAAACTGACATTTCTTGTCTAACAATACTACATGTAATTAAATGTAATTTTTCTTTAAAAAAAAGATATAACAGATGTACGAAAATTTACAGGCATTGGAAACATCCTTAAAACAAATATTTTATGTAATTTGAACTGACCTTTGACCTCTCCATTGGACTGGATTCCTCACCATTGTACTGGTAAATCTTCAGGCCCAAATCAAGGATATACACATCACCAGGCACAACCAGAGCAGGACAGCGAGGAATCTTCATATACAAAATAATGAATGCAATCAGTGAAGGTTAATTAATCTTTAAGCTAATTAGTCTGCATTCATAGCAATACAGAAAATACAAACCTCTTTAATTGATTATCATGCAACATATTGATTGTTACTATAAAAGGCTTCTTAGCTACATTGTTGTTTGTTAAAACTTACCTGTCTAACTACAACATTTCTTTGTTCTTTCACAAACTTGAAAAGTCTGGCCTCATATTCTTCTGGTGCAACATGCGAGAAGCCACTTTCAGCCCCTCCTTCCATGGTACTGGATAAAATATACATTTCAACAGCTTCATCAAATTAGAATTTAATATAGCAATATAATATTTAAAATTCTTACTTGGTAAAATATAAATTGATTTTTACTTTAAAAAAAAAACACTTCAATCAAGTAAACTAATAAATTTCATTTTTAAAATTGTGCATATGAATGTAGTTTTACTGTGCAAAAAGAGTGTGTGCAGCTAAAATAGTAAAGTATACTTCTTTATATTTAAACTATTTTAAATCAACTTTAAAAAAAAAAAATTTTCTCACAGAAATATTCCACTATAGTTTATCACAGTTGTGAAAGGTCACTGTTTTCAAACATTAATCAACTCTTTCTTGGTATTATTTTTTGTACTTTCTACAAAAAAATATATAAACATACGTGATGCCATTAGGAAAATAGGATTTAAACAGGCTGCTTTCATGACCTTGACATTCACGATGTTGAATGGGTACATCATCTAAATAGGTATCAAGCTCAACGGTCTTGTATGCAGCAGTTCCATATTCATCCTATTATGATGGAATTAAAATCATGGTGAAAACTTTCATATAGGAGCTTAAAACAGAAATATTATTACATTGTAAAGTTGAGAACAAGTTTTCAAAACTCATTCCCATATTAAATAGAGCAAAGTGTTATGTTCGAACATTTTTAAAAAATTGGCATTCAAGTCAAATCTAGTCTTCTGGCATTTTATATGTGCGTCCTGGTAGCTTGTTTTATTGCTATTTTAAGTACAAATATATATTGATTTCACACAAAAGTGGATATACAAAATTTATCTCTATATAGTAAAATTGAATCAAATTAAGAAATAACTCAAGTTAGTTTACTTCAGACAAAGTTGATTTAAGTACAATTCTTACTCAGTTTTTATGTTAATTTAAAAAAAAAAAATCTGCATTTGCTAATCTATTAATTGGTGTAATTTTTTAAATGGGATCATTTCATCATCCTTATAAGTATTGTAATAAAAAAAAAACTTAATTTAGATAACATTTAAAGTAATGGCTAAAAAAATCTTACTTGAGTGCTATTTTTGCCAATCCAAAAGTGAACATCATGAAGAAGATTATCACTTTCTTTATCTTTGTAAGTCTGATGACATTAGCATTGAAAAATATAAGGATAAGGTTCATTTTTATTTTTAAATGATAAACTAGTAAATACCAAAGAAAATTGTGTAATTAATTATTAGAATTAATCATTAGAATATGCTTACGTTTAAAACAATGTATGAATCTCCATTGTAGAACTGTCCATATTTTGATGTTGGCCAATCTTTTACTTCAAATTGCTGTTTAAAAAATATATAATTTAAACATAAATACTTGCATTTCTTTTAACAAATTTAAACTATCCCATGTTTAAACAGAGAAATAATATGTTTTATTCATTACCTCAATGCGCCAGATTTTCAGTCCTGGAGCAGATCCAGCACCCTGCCAGGCTGGCTCAGTTTGTGCAGATTCCTCTACAGGATTTAAGAGAACAAAAGAGATTTTAATTAAAAGGAACAAAAGATTGTTCTGGTAAATACTAGAGAAATGGTATACTATAAAATAACAAGGTTTTCAAGAAACTGGTATATTGTTTATCCAATTAAAATAAATAAAAACTAATCTGAACTTACTCCCAAAACCAAGGTGGCAGAATACATCACCCTGTCATATAATTAAAAAATAAATAAAGTAAAACTCACTTTTGACTTGTTTTTCTGTGTCAGAGCCAAACAGAGCCATGTTGCTGTCTGTCCAGTCATATTTCTTGGCTTTAACTAATCCTACAATGTATATGATGACATTTTCAATAACACATAATTTTATTCATCTTTTTTATTTTTAATTTTATAACTATCACGTAATAAAAGTATAAGATGATGAATACATGGGTAAAATGTATAAAATACAAAGAAGTGAAACTTACCAGTCATGGTTGAAAGTGATGATCAACACAAGTTTAACAAAGCTCTAGAAGAATATAAAAAAAAAAAAAAATTCTCTAATTCTCATATAAATAAAACTAAATTTTTTTTTTTTAAATTTTTAACATTAAAACACTGAGCAAGAGCATTAACAATTTTACAACAAACACAGATGTCAGACCTGAATTTGTTACTAGCAATATTTTAAAGAAACATATGCTTCATAGTATTACGCAAAAAAATATTGAATAATGCTTTAACATATGTCTACATGTATATACATTGACAAGTCTAGATATGTCCAAATGCCCAAGTCTAAAATGATGAATTTCTTTTAATTAAGCATTTATAACTATTGCTTTTGAGTTCATTTTTATTCAAAAACCATGTTAGATTTTTTAAAAATGCAAATGCTGATGGCATTTTAACTTATTAGCTAACTTACTTACAACATGTTAAAATATCTCAAACTTAAATTTAAACAACTTATTCACTTTATAACTAGTTGATTAAATACTCTACAACTTCTAAAAAACACAGATTAAACAAGAATATGCTGCCTTCTTTTTGTGATATGAATGGAAAACAACAAGCATAGGTTAAGCCTAGGACTATAACACAAACAAGCCATAAATATCCTGTTGTGTTTAACTTTTAAAAGCAGTCATTCAGGATGTTTTCATAAAAACATGAAACCAGCCAACCTCTCCTACCCCTCAAATGTTCTCTTAAATAGACATTAAATATAAGCTGAACAATAACTCAGTAGTGATTTACAAACAAAACTTCTTTCAAAAATCCATGAAGAGTTCTGTGCAAGTGTAGCTATAATAAGAGGCCTAATTATATCAACAAGCTGGGTGACATCAACAGTTCAGGATGACTAATCACCCTGAGGTGGCCCTCCATCACCACCTGGCACGCCTTACAGAATTATTTCACACCTCAGCACACACAGATTGTGAAAAGAAACACTCCACATAAAGGAATAATCAGCAAGCCTTAAAAAGTTACAATTGCAGTAAACAAGACTTAAAAAAACAACCTTTTAACTTTAACTTCTATTTTGCATGTACAAAAGCCTATACAAATCTATAAAAGTGGGGTTTTATTTTAACTTTTAATTTAAAATAAATAAAAACTGTTATGTATGGCTAATATAGTAACAAAACATGGATAGGATAAAATGATGAAAGAGAATATATTATTAAGTGTAGCAAAGCACACAGACATCTTGCATACCTGCTGCTGACTTAACTAAAACTTTACCTAGACACACCTGGAAATCCCTAAAGGTGTGTGCAAGGTAAAAAAAAAATGTTCACATGCCAAAAATATGCACCAAGCAGAAGCCAAGACAGCTATTTAGTAAAGAAAAAAAAATCTTTTGGCTAATGGCTAAATCAAGTAGCCAAAGCAATTTTCCTTTCTGCACCAGAATGTGGCTACTGAGTGGTCTACCTTTCTGTCTGTTCAAATACCTTGGTTAAGTACAGACATTCATTTAAGGCAGTCTGAGCTAACATTACATATTTCTGTCTGTTCAATACCTTGGTTCAGTTCAGACATTTATTTAAGGCAGTCTGTTCAATACCTTGATTAAGTACAGACATTTATTTAAGGCAGTCTGAGCTAACATTACCTATTTACACGCTGTTCAAAAGAAAGCAATGCTGTAAAAAAAATACTTTAAAATATTCACACCATTCACACACCTCTTCCCATTTGCTATTTCACCAACCAAGAGATCTCATATTGTAAGTGTGCAATAAGCTGAAGAACTACTATTTTATTTGGCACCTAAACTTGTTTCTAACACATTTTAACATGGATACTCTGTTTTGGTCCCTTGTTGGGCTGTCAGTCAAGGGAGAGAATCTTTATATATGATTAGGTCCCCATTTAACTTATGTGAGTGTGCCCACTTTCAGCTTCGTTAGTCACCATCTAACATCATGTGTGGGAGGTTCTACTTCAAGAGTAGTTACACCATCTAACATCATGTGTGGGAGGTTCTACTTCAAGAGTAGTTACACCATCTAACATCATGTGTTGGAGAGTCTACTTCAAGAGTAGTTACACCATCTAACATCATGTGTGGGAGGTTCTACACCATCTAACATCATGTGTGGGAGGTTCTACTTCAAGAGTAGTTACACCATCTAACATCATGTGTTGGAGAGTCTACTTTTAAGATTAGCTGATCACCATCATCAGGTGTGGGAGAGTACTTTTAGAGTAGTTGGTCACCATCTTGGCATCAAAACAAACAATGACAAAACGGCCCGGTCAAACGTCTCCCACCGAGACGTCCTCATTGAGTATGACACCTGCCAGTGGGACAGCTTCATCAATACTCTTTTAGAGTTAGCTAAGCCAACAATCTTAAGTAATACAAAGTATGCTTCTATTGTTCGGTGGGCCTTATTTATGTAATATTTAATCTAGTATAAGAAATAGTATATTTTGAATTAAAGGGTCATCTAGCTATGACTCCCATAAATGAGTTAGTTGTAGGTTGCTCCAACTCAATGTGTGGGGAGAGAGGTCCACGCTTTACATTCCTACCGTATTCTTGTACACTATCAAAACAAAATGTAGTTATCCAGTAAAATGTATATCATACATTTAAACTTCTGTGCTCGCTTTTAAGCAACAGATGTTTACTGTTTTAAATTAAACATCAAAAATTTTTAATTGGTGGAATTTAACTGTTAAGGGCTCAATTTGTTTGTGAAGTGCTGTTGGTTTGTGAAAACTGACTGGACTATTTTGACTGGATCATTTTGTCTGGGGTTGATTTGATGGGGCACCTCTAACATCATATGTAGAAATTTAAGAATTTAGACAATTTAAAATAATTAAAACATCACTGTTTTAAATTTCCCAATTTTTTAACTGTTTTTCACTATGTATCCAGACAAATCATCCCATCAAGAGTGCATTTGAGAGAAAAACATCCCATAAATGATTTTAAATTATGATAGCTCCCATCAATATTATTCAATATGGTTCCTGGCAAATCTTAAACTCCTTGTATCTCATTCTATAGCAGTGTTTCTTCCAGACTCTTTTCTCCGGGGGGCACTTGAGATTTTTGGGGGGGGGGGGGGGACGGTAGACTTTCTTCGGGGGGGGGGGGGGCGGACACTGTTAAAAGTATATATTTTCTATATAAATTATATAAATTTCATTTCATTCGGGGGGGGCGGTAAAATTTTTTCGAGGGGGCTTTGCTCCCCCCCCCCCCCCCCCGAAGAGATGCCTGGAAGAAACTGTGTTCTATAGTATTAGTAATCTATAATCTATAGCCTTGCATTTAATTCATTTATCTTTGGCCTTGTGCTAAGCTTCAGCAAACATTAAGCCTTAATAAAGTTAATACCTAAGCCTTAAGGCTTAAGGCTTAGGTATTAACTTTATTAAGGCTTAAGCTCTTGTTGTTCAATAATTCCTGCCTTGTACATACTACATAACAATGCTTAGTTAGTTAGGCTTAGGCTATGCAGCTAGGCCTAATTTTAATTTATAATTTCTTAAAACTTTTGTCAAAATCATTAGGCCTAAATTCAAAATTGGACTCACTGTAGGCCTATAATATTAAATTAATCATAAATAGGCCTAGCCTATATATTTATATTTATGCAATAGGCCTAATTATTAGTAATTAATTATAGTAGGCCTAGATCTATAATTCTTCTAGAATCTATATACTAAAGTAAGTATATAATAATATATACACTTCCGCATTGACAAAAATGGGCGTGTCTCGCCCGACCCATGATTCAACTAAAAACAAGATAACAGGCTGCCAACATTATCCTTTTTTAATAATAAAATCATAAGAATATAATCCACATATCGTCTCTGATACAATATTAGCTTGTCAAAAAATGATTTGGCTACTTAGTATAAATGGTTGTTATTTACATTTATAACTATTGAGGACTACACTACTTACGGTTACCCACCGTTACACCAAGGCAGTTGACCAAGAATGCTCCCCACAAGAACTTTCACTTAGCCGGTAGATCTATAAGTGTAGGCCTATGAGCTCACTTACCTTTTTTGCAGGCTAAACATTTCCGGGTTGCCCCTTTGTTGTGGGCGTAAGGGCGTAGGCTTTCATTTTTTATAACTTGCTATAAACTGACTGAAAAAAAAAACGTTTTTATAATAAATGTTGGTTGAGACTATTGTATTTATGTATCCATCTATAGATCTAGATATAGATCTAATAGTTTTAAAAGAAATAATTTGAAAATTACAATTATTCGTCCCACCATTCTCAATATAACTTTTTTCAAATTTTAATTAAATCAGAGACAACATATTTATTTGTGATATGGGGTCATCCATAAATGACGTCACGCTTTTTTTGACGATTTTACCTCCCCCCCCCCACCCTCCATCACACGTCGTCACAAAAAGCCATACGCCCCCCCCCCCCCCTAAAATGACCTCACACGCAGAGGCGTAGCGACCCTTCCCGGCGCCCGGGGACATACTTTCAATTTGGCGCCCCCCTCGGGAGCAAATTTTCGATGTGCACCCCCCTCGAACTTTTCATTTGCACCCCCCCCCCCCCCTCAAACTTTCGATTTGCACCCCCCTCGAACTTTTCATTTAAACCCCCCCCCCCCTCAAACTTTCAATTTGGCGCCCCCCCCCCCTAAGGTCGGCGCCCGGGGACATATGTCCCCCCCCCCCTCGCTACGCCTCTGCTCACACGTCAGCTTACAACCCCCCCCCCCCCCTCAATATTGCAGTTGAATTTGTTTTAAACATCGATATTTTTCTAAAATCTTGTCTGAACTCTGTCAAAATAGAGTATTTTAATCAAATCCAAGTACAATTTATTAATACAGTTTTCTAAAACGCGAAATAACGTCTAAAATTCGTTTTCTAACTTTGCTTTTTTATAATGCAAAACTGTGACGTCGCACCATCTGAATCCCCCCCCCCCCCCATCCCCTCATCACACACCGTCACAAAATTACGGACCCCCCCCCCCTCCCCCCTACGAGTGTGACGTCATTTATGGACGACCCTTATAACTTTGTTCTATATATCATTATAACAAAAAGATAAACATTCCTCCCCCTAGTCGCGCTATGGAAATTTTTCTTGTTTTGTGTGGACTGTCTGAACAAGGTAACTAAAGCGATAAAATCCTTTAACTTCAAATAGAGTGCTATTGTAGTGAATCGGCCCCATAGCACGCGAGGAAAGCGATTGTTTGTGTTAAAGAGCTACATATACACACTGGAAAAAATGTCATGAAAGCCATGTGAAGAAAAAAAAACGGGCGGAGGAAAAGGCTACATTTTGACTGATTATAGCTGTTGTCAACAAGTGACGTCACCTACCTTAGTGAGGTTAAAGCGATTTCACAATTCCTCATCATCACAATTGTCCAGACTCCCTCCCCCTCCCTGTCCGGGGTTCCAGCAATTTCTTTCCACGCCCATCCCCTCTTTATGCCCATATTTCTAACAAAAGTGTGAGTTTTCCATTAATTTTGTCTTTAAGATAGTTCTAGGTCCATAGATGGTGGTCACAAACACAAGTCTGCTTCTCACTTCCTGGACTCTATATGTGTTTTATTTAGGATTCAATGGTAGAACGTGCCGGTTATGCAACCTACACGGACTCGGCTCTGGTCACTAGACTGTGGGGTGGAGGTACAGCGAGTTTCTTTCAAGTTTCTATGCGGAGGGGGGAGGGGGAAGTACATCTACCACCCACTATCCCCAATAGTAGAAAAAATGTTTTAAAAACCACTGTGTAGGTGTAAATAAAGTATCCTTCAAACATGACCGTCCATGGGGCTTGTGCAGAGTTTCTTCCAGTAATCTCTTCGGGGTGGGGGGGGGGGGGAGGTCTACCGCACACCCCCCACCCCGAACGAAATGGAATTTATATAGGCAATATATGCTTTTAACGGTGTCCGCCCCCCCCCCCCGGGAGAAAAAAAGTCTGGAAGAAACACTGGCCTTGTGAAGTAGAGTTCCCCTGTTTCTGTGACCTCGGCATGCGAAAGGATATTGTCGGCACTGTGCCCAGGCGCCCCTTTTCTTGCTCCAACATGAGTCAGGTACCCATCAGAGCTGGGTCGTCTCAAAGAAACTTTCGGTTTGTACGCAGGTGTAGTGACACATATTCAGCGCACATTTTATATATATATATATATATATATATATATATATATATATATATATATATATATATATATATATATATATATATATATATATATATATATATATATATTGTGCGCTGAATATTTGTCATTACACCTCCGTACAAACCGTATAGCCTTTATATGAAGAGGTCCAAATAAGTGACCGTATGTAAATGTAATGTTCGCTTTCAATAAGCAACTGTGAATTACTCACGCAATAAACTCACAGCAAAGATAATTAAAAGCCTTCGGTAATTGTGATATTTAATACTTGCCCTTGTAACGTGTTATATTTTTTAGTTTTTTTACATAGTTGAAATACGACTCCACTGTCCTAAAAATGCTTCCAAGGGGTGCGCTTCCCTCCCCACCTCATGGGTGCCCTGTCACTAAACGTTTCCAACAAAACGGCCCTGACTTATTCGTTATTGGCCCTGACAAAACGACCTAGAAGAAAACGACATTGTCAAAATAGACCCGAAAAAAAGGGGTCCTTAAAATAAGGCAAAATGGAGAAAAGTATTGCCGAAAATAGATTTTCAACAAAAAGGTTCTCATCAAAATGACCGCCGACATATTGTCTCCCCACAAAATCAACTCCAACATATTGGACACAGATACATAAACTATCAACTACACGCAGTTCTTGCATCCACTACCAGTGTGACCAAGTGTTGGAATAATTATAAGCTGTGAACAGTTGCGTTCAGATACAGTTTACCAAAGCGTACCTCTCTTATCAAAGCTTAAGTAAACGACGTTGTGTTTTGGATCAAATACAAGCATAAAAATGTAGGTGATAAACTACAAGCATATTGAAAGTACATGCCTTTCGCCCCCAATCCACTGCCACTTACCTAGAATAAAGTCGACCTTAGTTGAACATCCCATCACCTCTTTCTAACGGGACATCATACGGATGAACATTAAAATTTGAATAAAAAATACTATTTTTTAATAGTCTAATTGTTGGGACCGTATTAACGAAGACCCTTTTGTCGGGAGTCGTATTTACTGGAGCCTTTTTGCCGGGAGTCGTATTTACGGGAGCCTTTTTGCCGGTAGTCTAATTATTGGTGAGGTCCGCTTTGGGTGGTTTCTGAAATGACGGAAGCCCATTTGGCTAGTTTATTCCATGCATCTCTTCCGGGTAGGAGGGGGGGGGGGGTGTGACGACGACACACACACACGTCCACTGCCACCCCCCCCCCTCGAGAAAATAGAAGAAAATAAACTTTTACAGAAAATATATAGTTTAGCCAAGGTCGTCCGGAAATTTTAGTTCGCCCACTCCATAATTTCAAGTGCCCTTCCTTCGGAGAAAAATATCTGTGGAAAAAACACTGGATTTAAAGTAGCTATTTTTTTCGGGGCCCCTTCTTTTGTCACGGTGCGTCTTGACGCTCACCCATGTGCCTCCCGTATCTCCGCCTATCTTTACCCCCCCCCCAAAAAAAAAAAAACAGCCGCGTAAGATTTTCGGTTTTGGGGCATACATTTTTGACTGAATTTTCGTTTTATAACTTACAATCTATTTAGCCTTCAAGTAATTTACAATATAGGCTATTTACCTACATCTATATACAGATCAGCACTGACCAGTGTTTCTTCCAGACTTTTTTCTCCGGGGGGGGGGGGGGGGGCGGACTTAAATTTTTGGGGGAGGGAGGCGGGGCGGACACGGTTAAATGTATATATTCTATATAAATTCCATTTCGTAGTCCCCCCCCCCCCCGAAGAGATGCCTGGAAGAAACTGGCACTGACCAACTAAGCACTGGCCGTTGGGTCTTATTGGTAAGTAAGGAATGGTGACTGGTTGCTTTTTTTTCTCTCTAAAAATAAGCAAGCCTATGATTTTATTTATGTCCTCTGTTCCATTTATAACGTCTTTTGCCAGTGTATATATATATATATATAAATAAAATATTGGCCTAGATCTATATGTGGCAGGCAGTTTACAATAGAACTTGTAGTAAAATACAAATCCCTTCCCTTATATTTTATTACCGGTAATTAGATTAGTTCTCGTGGTTATTGATAAACTTAGTTCAAATAACGGATCAAACGAGGCTGAGACGACAAGTAGCCTAAGTAGCCTTAGCGACGCTTACACCACGTGACCTATTTGAAATGGGCTATATTGATAACTGACTCTTAACAGTGGTTTAGTCAGAGAGCTGATAAGAAGTTTGTTTATGGCTGTGTAACAATAAAAGAGCTCGTTGAACAGAGGGGAAGATTAAGTGTGTTCAATATTACACAAGTAAGGTAAAATATTTAAGTTCCTACTGTTTTCATACTTATGAAACTTATTTTAAATTTTACTTTATTTGGTAATCTATCCGACTATCGTTTTAGGTACGTAAAATCGCCCGCGACTAGTAATGTGAAAAACAGGTGACTCCTTAAATTTTAATAATTATTTCACATTTTGAGGAGGATTTATGTTTTGAAAAATACAAAAATGTTTCCTTGTTTCTTTTATGTACCTGTTTTTAAAAAATTGAATTAAAACTTTTCAGTAATAAATGAAGACTAGCGATGTTTACAACAGATGCAACCATGCTCATTTACTATAGTAGCCATCTTGTTTATTTTTTTATAGTAAACTTATAGCGCAAGATTCAGGGGAAGCCACTCTAACTTACAGATGGCCGCTTTTATATAGCAAATCCTGCTCACAAACACTGCTGTTTAAATATAATTTCTTGCCTATATTGATATATTTAGCCATTGATTTAGGTTTATTATTCATTTATCTATAATATTTGACACCAAAAAAAAAATATATATCACAATATACTTCTATTAAAGCCTTGACAATGAGTTAACTTTTTAGCGCAATTTCCATACGGACAATTGCGATTATTAACTCGTCATTTCTGGATGTATGAATGGATGTATGGATGGATGGATGTGTGTCCGCAGCTTTAAGTGGTATCTCCTCCTCAACGAAGCAATATCGAGGACTAGTTCCAAAAGCAAATATGTTAAGCAAGTTCCAAGGATGATTGTGGGCCAAAAAAATTCCCGGAATTCCTTCCTGGATTTCCCGGAAAAGCCAAAAAACCTCAAACAAATGCAGTTTTTGCTCCATATCTCGGCAACCAGACCACTTAGCGACTTGAAACATTTACCAATCGATTCCTGCCATAATTTAAACCAATATTGTCGAAGAAAGTTTTCAAAAATATCCTTTTGTTCGGTCACAAAAATTTTTAAAATATATTTTAAACTGAGCATCTTGTAGGCCTAGTTTTAATTTAAACTGAGCATCGTGTAGGTTTTTAGCGCAAAGTGCTGAGGTTCGAAAGGATTTTACCATAGCGAATGAGCGGAGGTTCGAAAGGATTTTTACGTAGGTCTGTGAATTCTAAAAAATTAATTAAGGAAATTGCGCTTAAATTGTCACTAGACTTTTTATTAACTTGTTTGTACATTACTAGCCGCGGGCGATTTTACATACCTAAAACAATAGATTACCCTTTATTTTAGTCAATTAGTAAAGTGTAAAGTAAAGTTACTTTACTAACTAACTTACTAAATTAATAAAACAAGTAATACTAGATCTATACCTAGAATCTAGTATCTAAGTATATCTACTATATATACTATTACTATAACAGTATTAGATTCGACTGTATTGAGTACTACTATCTATTATTATTGATATTAATAATATATTATTATTATTACTTTATTATTTACTTAAAGACTTGGTAATAGTAATGATAGATGATAATTAATAATTATTAATTAAGCTTACTAAAACTAAAAGTGGGACGGCATGGTCAAATCGTAGAGTGTTTGGCTGCTAGCCTGAAGGTCTCAAAATCAGATAGAGATTCTGGCTTTAGGAAGTCCCCGAATCCACCCAACTGTGATAGGTATGTGACTTACATTGGGAAAAGTAAAGTCGTCTGAGCATAGTGCTGACAACACCATCCCTTCATAAGCCGAGGTCATGAAACATATGTACTCAACATCATCTTTGCAATGGATCACTAGGACGACTAGGTCTCAAGAGTAATCTTTACTTTACTAAAAAGAATAAAATATTAGGCTATTAGCCAATATTAGCTTATGTATAATAACCCGATCTTGTCCAGATAAGCACGTAAAAATGTTAACCCTCATCCATTATAAAAAGAGGATATGAAACTTGTACTTTTAGATTTTATTGAAGAGTATGAAAGTGGGACATGTGATTAATAAATTGCATGAAAAGGTCTGTATGTTGTATCTAACCCTAGATGGATAAGAATTTTTTTTATGCTGTACTTTTCAATATTCAAATCCCTGGACATCAGAAATAGGTCACAAGTGGTGGTCTTAACTTTTCGACAGTGCACTTTATGCATTAGTGGCGGTGCTTATCTGAACAAGATCATAACAACCTAGTCATTAGGATTACATAGCCCTAGCCAGTAATACATCTAGCCAATAATACTAAACTACCACTCTGTAGGCTAAATTGACTTTATGAGGTTACGTACAGTCATACATAAAACAGAGCTAGTTGCAATGCCAGTCTGTTATTTATAAGGAGGGGAATGTTGGAGGAGTTGGGAGCTAGAACCTTCCATGGACCCTCAAAACGCAATGTTGTCTTACTCTAAGGTACAGCAATTATGCATAGCCTACATGATGATTTTAAAGTTTTGAACATCATAAAAACAAGTTTTTAGTCTAATAATTGTTATGAAAGATATAAAAATATAAATAAATTAACATTTATCCTATTTTTGTGTGGGATGACGTGACCTAGCAATAGAGTGCTAGACTGTTAACCTAAAAGTTCTCAAGTTCAAATCCTGGGCTCCAGCAAAGAGCTCATTTGGCATGGTCAATAAACAGATGAACTCTACTTCATCTGCCCTACCCTATGGATTATGTCTCAAAAGGGAGCTTTCCTTTTTTTTTTATCCTCCTTTTATCTATGTACATATAATATTCATGGGAAGCAGAAGCTTGATAGCTTAAAATGAATCCAAATATGCTTGGGAAATGCTGATACTAATTTTTAGCTGGTGGGACTCTGTGGTAAAGTGGCAAAGCACATGACTGTCTTGAAATCAGATTTTGGGCCCAAGTCCCTATAGAATGTCTCTGAGTCCAATAGCTATGTTACTGCTGTGTCTTTACTACTCAATTGCTTTTTTTTAAAATGCTGTTATTACATTGTTTTTTTTTTTAAATGGCCAATGTGAAAAAAGGCCTCTGTGCCTACTGTTGTTACCGTTATTGAATAAATTGAAATTGAATGAATTGAACAAGCATTGATTTGGGGAGATTAAAGGGGGCTGGCCATTAGTGCTGTGTGCTGACCATTGGTGATGACCATAAGTGCTGGCCATTAGTTCTGGCCATTAGTCTGTCATCACTTAAAAGGAAATAACCTAGGTGCATGTCATTTATGGACACTTTCCAAAGCCTAAAAATAACTCAAATGGTTGTTTTTTTAACACATAATAATTTAAAATCATTTCAAATAAATTTGCAGTGATGTTTATGATTAGTAAAATTTGATTAAAATATGTAATTCTAAAGTAGGATTAACATCATATGATTATGATTTTTGTGTGTGTGGCATATACCAGAATTTTTAAACAAACTCTATTATCAACTTCATATAGAAAAATACATCATACACTTTTTATGCGTGTATAATTCTATTAATTGGAATGTGTGTTATCTTAGCTAATACGTTAAAAAATAGCTGCCACTTCTTATTTAACGTAAAATAGCAGACAACATTCCACTTTATCAAAATCCCTGTTTAAACCTGAAGTTATTGAACTCATATCTGTAAGAGCCTTTGGCTGTATTGATTATTTCACTAGGCCTCCTTTGTATGGATTATTGATTTTTACTCAATGAAAAGGAGAGTATTGAGCTAGGGTATAATATTTTCATTAAATGTGCACATGTGTTAATCAATCTATTCTTATTGGTTACAATTCAATGAGTTCATAGCATGAGCAGCATAAGTAATGAAATACTGCATTTTTTACCATAGTAGGACAAATAGCTGCATCTGTTTCTTAGCCAACAAGTTTAAGGCTATTTAATGATTCCATATTTTAAATGCTGCCTATTTAAATAATAGATAACAGTATTATAAAAACACACCAGTAAGTCAAGGTTGCGATTGACAATAACAAAAGATGTGAAATACATCAATTTTATCGACAAATGATAAATCATTATCTAAATTCATCACACAAAACTCTGCAATTTATGTTTGGTTATCTTAGGTTTTAATTTAAATGTTTTTAATTGAGAAAATTGCTTAAATTGAAAATTCACTCAAATTTTGTTGAAAGTTACGTTAGGTGTTTTGATATAGCATACAAATTTAAAATATTGTGATAGTTTTTAATCTAGATTAAGCTCATGATAATGAATTATAACTTGTTACATTTACAAATATAAGATTTCAGTTAAAGTATCTAAATACTAAGAGGTTTTGAAAAACTTTTTTCTTCCAGCCATGTCCAAATTACCCAGAATTACCCCAACTTGCACCCCAAGATCTGTTTCTGCTGCTGCTTCATACGGACCCTACCCACCTCCAGAATTAACATCCACATGGAACCAGATGAAATTCCCCCCAAAAATCAACCCCCTAGCTCCGCCCCCACCTAGGAAGAGGTTGTATGCCAGCTGGGAGACCACCCCACAACACTGGCACAATGACAGGAGGAGACTGATGATGCAGCAGAAGGAGCATGAGAGATATCACTCGGCCTGGTCCACACCTTTCTACGGCCCCCCAGCAGATAAAGAAGCTTACAGGTGAGGTCTTTTTGTTTTTCAATTTGTGTAATAGAAGCTTACAGGTGAGGTCTTTTAGTTTTTAAATTTGTGTAATAGAAGCTTACAGGTGAGGTCTTTTTGTTTTTCAATTTTTGTAATGCCATTTATTTTTATTATCACTGCGCAAGAGTGAATTCAATCAATGTTAATGACTTAGGTAGCTGTTCACTGATTTAAGACAAGTACATTAGGCAAACAGTCAAAACTTTCCTACACTGCAAAAATAATAAAAAAATATTTTGTAGTAAGAAAAACAATGAACAAATCTGCTTTTATAAAGTGAACTGAAATGTTTAAGAAACAAATTAGATGAACTATAGGAAATTATAGCTAAACTTATTTTAAAACTCTAATTTATTAAAAATGTTCAAATTTTAAAATGTTCTTTTAGACGACATTATCGCCAAGTACTAAAACAGCAGATGTCAGATGCTGATGAAAAGAAAAGAACTGACTTACAGTCCAAAGTACATGAAAGTGAGGCTGCTGTAGAATTTGATAGGCAGTGCAAAATGAAAGACTTTCAGGATATAGTTAAAAAGTATAATTACCTCAAAAATTTCAGAGATGACAACAAAATGGTAAGTTCAGTTTTGATACAGAAAATATCCAGTTCTGTGTAGTAGAACATTTTCTTCCATTATTACATAAATAAAAATAAAATATTTAATAAGTTTAGCATGCCGTAAGCTTAAAAATAAGTACATGTTAATATTTTGTTTCAACATCCAAATAGAAAATTCCCTTCTCTCCCCATTCTTTACTACATTTTCTGCATTGATTCACTGTGTTTAAAAAAAACGAACAGTTTTTCAATAGTGCAACTAGTGCTTGTTGTTTTGTTTAGCAGCTGAGGTAATCTCCAATACCAAATTGGTAAAATTATGTTGAGTTTAACATTGTAATAATCATTTATCACATTTAGGAAAGCAGAGAATATATTTTGATGAGGACATTGGGCTTCGATCCTCATGAGTCTATGATAAGCATCATATCAAAATCTTTGTTTATTGACTATTTCATTATTGGTCTCTAATTAGGCTACAATTATATTATTATGAATAGCAGCATCACTCATAAATCAAAAAATTTAATTCAAAATAATTTGTGATGTAAGCCTTTTTTCCTCCTGACCCACTAGGTGCAAAGAAACATTCAATAATGGCTGGTCTTTAAATATTCTAAATAAAAATACCAATATTAACAATACTATGTTTAAAAAAAAAATTTTTTTTAATCCAGATAAATAAAGATTATTTTTTTATGTTAACAGTTCATGGAAGAAAGCTGGGAAAAATCTAGAATAAACAAGATAATGACAGATAGATATGACAGAGAAATGCTGAAGTACAATCCTATCAACTGGAGTGGTACTTTGTCTTAAAAACTGTTTGATAGGTAATTGGTTCTACCATTAAGTGTTATACCTTCAAAGCCACATTGATCAACCAATTCAAAGCCACTTTGATCTGCCAAAACTGTCTTGCTTTTTTGAAGCATGAGAAGAATCTTTTTTTTTTCAAATAGTGATACATTGTTTTCTCAAATGATGTGGTGAATATTAATGCTTAAATGTGTTCATTTTAAAATCATTTTAATGATTATTATTTTAAAGTCTGTGTTTGCTAAGTGTGTAATTGTGCAAAAATAATATGAAAGCTATGCTAAAAATAAGTCTCATGCTTATTAACAAAATTTCATATCAAGTATAATTTTCTGTGTAACATATTATTTAACTATTATAATCCAATTCAAAATATTAAACTGTTACCAAGCTGTATCCTGTGATATATACATTATTTTTATTTTTTAAATCTATTTTTACTATTTGCCAAATGAACCACACAGTATTTTTACTTTTGTTTATCATTCTCTATATAATTCAAAAGATTAAAAATGCTATATTATTTGCACCAAAATTAGTCTTTTATACTTTTTTTTTACAATGTATTTATATATACAGAATAAACCACTAAAGTATTTCCTTGTTATTTCTATTTCAAACTTTTTAATTGCTGTACAGAGCTAAGGAATCTATTTTCGTTTAGCTTACTTTTTGTATTAAAAGTCAACACTGTGTTTTTGTGGATTCAATACATACTCTTCTTTTTAAACATTGTAGCTATCCAAGATTTTGGTGAGAATGATGAGTATCTAAAGGGTATTGGGGGGGGGGGGGGGGTCCCAGACACTATATCATTTATGGCCAACCACTATATTACATACACAATGATAACACATGTCTGCTTCAAAAAATATATGGGAAATTTTAATAATTAACATTTTATGTAATATATACTATAATCACAAACTGTTTGGTGATGGTGAAGCTGTAATTCTGTGATATTTTTAACCTGTTTACATTAAAATTAACTCAAGCTTTTGTTTATCTTGACTTATTAAAACAAAAAGAGATGTAACACATTTAAGCTACGACTTCTATGGTCATAATGGTGTTTGCAGTAAATAAAAGTTAAACAAGTGAAATGCTCTTCCCAGATAGGACTAATGTTGTTTCTCTGCCCATATGGAAAGTTGATTTGTTTTTATGCACAAATGAAAATTGTTATTGCTTTTTCTGCTCCATTATTAGCCAGAAAATATGACCACATTTAATAAACATCAAAATTTCTTGAATCCATTTAAATTTTTATGGAAAACTTATCCCAAGATAGTATTTTAGAGGATAATTAGGTGTGTGCAGGTTAATTATTATAAACTAATTTCTATTAAAAGCCTTGGAGTTGTGTGACAATTATAGTTGTGTGAAAATCTGTACTTATTTTTTTCTACAAAGGTTTGTGCTTATCTTGCATTGAGAATATATTATAATCATACACAACAGTATTATTTTAATAGCACATGTTACATATTTGCAATCATTAACTTAGTTTATTTTTTATCAAATTTAGTTTCTATATTTAGTTAGAAATTCAATTGCATAATGTAGAATATTCCTTGCATTCCAGACTATCAATATGAATAATTTTCATTAATTTTTAAGCTCATTTATCATAATTAACTAGATCAAATTTTATAAAAAACATTTTTAAAAAAAACAATTCGATACAATTAGATATTGTATTCTTGTAAAGATTTTGAAAACTAAAAAAAGGTAAAATCATGATATAGCGAAAAATGTTTTACTTTGCAAATATATAATTAATTGTTTGTAATGTTTGTTTTTTTGTTTACCTTCTAGAAAATGCAAATGTGATGCTTTGTTTAAACTGGGTGTAAAATAAATTTTGTAACTTCTTTTTGTCATTCAAACATGTGTGTTCTAAGTTCTCATATGACGGGTAAAATAGATTAATTGGTTAAACTCTATTTTAGCATAATTTATTTGCTACCAATTTCCCAAAATCAAAAGGGTACAATATTTTTACAAAATGTGTAACTGTGTTTGTGGATATTGATCTTCCAACCCTCAATGTTATAAATATGCTAGTTACAGTATTTCTGAAGATAAATTTCTAAATGTCATGGAGTATTCAATGAAGGGGGAAAAAAATTTCTTTAAGTATATCTGAAAGCTGATTTCGCACACAAACGAGAAACATTTTCATATTTAAGCATTCATTGTTATGATTAAAATTAAATCAAGAACTGGTTTTAATTCTTCTGAAATTGATTATATTTAAATATTTTTATTACAATATTTTTTTATATTATAGTTGTATTAGTTATTTACATGACATGGGGGGATGTTTTCTTAACATTTTGATAGTTTCATGGTTTCCGTGTAATTTTAATAAAACACGTTAAAAGGGAGGTGAATACAAAGCTGTATTTTGAAATGGAATACAAACATTAAATTTTTGAGATAAAATTATCATTAAGAACTATTTATAATCAAAGTTTTTTGTTTTTAATTACAAGTTTACACAGCAAGAGTCAACTTCACTACTAAATAATGTTTAAACATATGCAGATATTTAATATATATAAGTAGATTTTGTATTATTTTGGTCAAGACATCAACAGATAGCTTAAAACTTGTGAGAAATGTATTGATTAAAAACTACATGATTTCATTAAAAAGATATTAAATCAAATTAATATTACTAATCTAAATGACTGATCACACTTGTTTTCCTTTCACTGGTAAGTTCTAGCTAAACAAGATCATAACAAACAAAGTAAGCCATCAATTTATTTATAAGTATAAAAATATAACAGAATTTTGATAGAACAAGGAATGCTTATTATTAATTATTTAAAAAGTACAATTTAAATTGCCACAATACAAATAATTTTAGCATTTGAACTAACCAAACTTAATTTTTTTTAAATATCTATTCAAAAGCTAAATCAAGAACATATTGGATTTCCTTTAGGAAAAAAAATCTTGTATTTCTTAAAGTTAAAGTCAGTTTAAAGAAAATATATAATAAAACAATTTGACAATATATTTTCATGGCTAACTAAACAAATCACAAAATTAGTTTAAATTGGTCTCTTTCTCCTAAATGTTCTTTATTCATGATCATCATAAAAGTAGTTCTTCAAAGGAAGTTAGAATGATATAAAAAAAAAGATCTTTTAAACAATTTTTTTTAAAAAGTACACAACCTAACATATTTATTTTTGTAGTATGGTTTTAATAAAAAGAATAAATGATTATAAATAAAGTATATAAATAATTAGAAACACCAAAAAAAAAAATGAATTCCTTAACTAACACAAACTATATATTATTCTTCATAATTAATTTCCTTTTATTTACTCTATATAACTAACACATAGTTTGGTTAGTAATCTAATTATTATTATACATTTTAAAATATAAAGAGAACTTTGTGATTAAAGAAAAGTTGTTCAAATTACAATTTTAAGGGATAAGTATCTATGCAAAATGTGTTGTATTATTGAGCCAATTTGTAAGCAAAATGCTGAACTCCTTGTTACATTTCACTTTACAATACCTGTCAGGCTGAAAACTAACAACTTATTTTATCTGAAACCAATTTCTTCAGGCTTTCACCTGGTGCTATGTGTGAAAATATCTTCAAGAATGTCCAACAAATGAATGGAAGTGTAAATAGCTTTCAGGCCAATGTCCAGCGCCCACTCCCTACAACAGCCAGGATACAAACATCTTATCTCAATCTACCTTGCTGTCAAACTTACCTTTTGAAGGCTATACTTGTGTTTCTTTGTTAGGTTATTAAAAATGCATTGATCAATTATTATAAAGTGTATGATTTTATTAGAAATGTAAAACAATAGTCTTTTAAGTCATATTTTTAAAGAGAAATTGAAATTGATTTTAAAATTTAACATTTGTAAGATAAGCTGGTATAAAGATGATTTATTATAGACTACTAAAACAAATTACCAATTACCAACACACATTCATAAGGGAAGACAAATTACATAGAAAATATATTAACTAAATTGGAAAGTATAAATAAAAAGGAAAATCAAAAGTTAGGCAGCTAGTTTGATTCTGTATGAAACCCCAGCAACTGAAGTATAAACAAACATTTGTTAACATTCAAGAGGATTGTCAGGGTCATGGAAAGTACAAGTAAAGATGACTCTATAGTGCAATGGGACAATTTTACTGTAGTACAGTGTAAGGTCATTAGCTTGGGCATTTAAAGTAGTGCTTCCAAACCTTGAAAATATTTCATTCACTTATGTTTTCTCATGCTTACAATAAAAATAGTTTTCACTTTTATTTTTGCACCGGTTTCAATAATAAATTTGATTTGTTTTTACACATGGATTATAAGTTTTTAACAATAATAATATGAGAGACGAGGCCAGACCTTAAGGGAGCAACATAAAACTAGCAGTTTAAAAATGGAAACTGTATTAAAAAACAAGTAGATAAATGTGTACCATCCATGTACAATTGAATGACAGAAAGTAAGAAAAATTACAGAGTTTGGAGAATATAAACTGCTTTCTAAGAAGGACAAATTTAAAATATTTTTCTCAGAATTTTATTCACAATATGAAAGTGAAAAATATCACCAAAAATTGCCTGGAAATACAAATTTAATGAAACATTGGGGAATTTAACAAAATTAGAACAGGCCAAACCTTTGTTTAATATCACAGAACCAAATATGCTTGTTATGAAGATGGATGGATGACCCAAATGCAGGACGTTTATAAAAAAATTGAAGTAGAGATAGAAGAATGTTTACAAAGGTAAAGTATAATATATAAAATTAACATATTTTAAAACAAGTGATTTCCATTTTATATCTGAAGCAATCCTGACTGCCGGAAGTATTACAAATACAGAAGGTTAATTAAACCATAAAATAATAAATATTAAAATATTTGTTTATATTAAATAAACAGGACAATGTACAGAATATGATAAATAAAAGCTTATTTACAGTCTGTGTTATGATATAAATAAAAAAAAACTTGAAATGAACACAAAAATAGTTGTCCGTAGCAAAAACAAAAAGCCTCCATGCACATAATCAACTGAAATGTCTAGCATGAAAGCCAAGATTCTTATCCTTCTTTTACACAGAGAAGTAAAGGAACTAAATATTATTTCACTTATTTTTTGTATACACTCCCAAGTATATTTATATTTACACATGCCAAAATGACTGTCTTTAGAAGCTTTTTAGTTTAAAAAAAAGTTTAAAAAATATACACATACATTATTTTCTACAAAACTTTAAGTTTCCACAGAAATGTTATAAAAATCACTATTGACAGAATAGCTATTCCTGAAAGAAGAGTTAGCATCTGAAACTGCGCTACCCCTAGAAGCGGCTCTGCTAAACTGTACATCAAAGTGGGTGCTATCATAGGAATAGATTGGTGACATGTCATCCTGTTTGCCCCCTGCACCATTGCTGTAGGGCAGGCTGACATGCTCATCATCAATCACATCTTCCTGGTGCTTGTAAGAAAACTGTAGTCCTGTTTGGGCAGCTCTGTTAAACAAGGCACACACACAAAATTTAATATGACAGATTTTTGTCCAGGAAATTATGAAGATAAAATGGTCTATTTTTAAGCTGCGCTGCATTAAACTTAGGTAATTAATATTTTTGTTCCTAACTTGATGAATACTCACTTGAAAAATTTCCAAAGAAATACCCCATAAACCAGTGGGATGTAAAATGAGAAATACAGATATGTTGTGGCATCAACAACACTGGAGATAAGACACAGTGTACAAATTAGTAAAAACATTTTCATTTTAAAATGTTAAAATACATTTACTGATTTTTCAGGGGGTGGGAAAATATTCAAATTTAATTTCTAAAACAAAAATAACAAGATGAGGACACTGTTCAGTGGAGAAACCATCACCACTCATCTAGTATTCCCTCATGACAACACTTTCTTTACCTAATAACTTAACAGGTAGCTAGTATGTTTTTTAACCAATCAAATGATTGCAATAAGGATCAAATGACATGTTATTACAAATTACAAGAAAGCTTACCAAAGACTTTGTGGAATCTCCATATAAACAAGCAAACTGGCAACAGCCTGAACCAAGTTCAGAGCAGCCAAACTCAAACAGTAGTAGTAAAACAGGCGCTTTGCTGAAATTTACCATTGGAGTTGTTAGAATTTAATGTAAGCATTTGACAACATTAATCACAGGTAACCATCTGTTTACGGTGTCACAGTAAAGACTTGCTAGATGCTGCATATTATCTATAATCGTGCATTGTGAACTGCTGTAAATTGAACCATCATAAACTGACAGTGGCTTAAGGGCTTTCCTACTAATGACTGCCGGCTGCCTTAAGTTGCAGCTTTGTGTGATACATTTTTAAAACTCACCCCCTGAAAACACCACTGTAAACCAATGTCTGTATGTACTGGTGTCTAATGTATCTTTGACTAAAAGCACTGGACTTGTCTGTCACATTTGTTTATATGAAAATTGAGAGTACAACTAACCATCAAGTGTCAGTTAAAGATGCATTGGAAAAATACCTAGCCACAGGAATTTCTAGAATACATTTTTATAAAATGTGTTCACATTTCTAAAAATAGCTCACAATTAAAAAAAAAACCAACATGGTTTCAGCTTACTTGGCAATAGAAACCTTTCCTTAAGCCTTGTTAATGGCAACAATGCAATGACTGTGTACACCTGAAATAAAGGGACAGGGTGGGTTAGGGTTGAAAGGCAGGTTTAAAAATTTTAATCTGATTACATTCACAGACCATGTAAGTAGTTTACTTTATGTCCATTGGGGAATTGCATACTATATTATATGCATGGAATGGCATGGTCGGGTGGTAGTGCACTCAACTGAAGGACATCCCTGAATCTGCACAGCTCTGATGGGTACCTGGCTTATGTTTGGAAAAATAAAGTCGGCTGGGCATAGTGCTGATCACACCATGTCTTCATAAGCAAATATCAAGAAACCTATGAACTCTACTTCATCTTCCCTATGGATTGTTAGGTCTGAAAGGGGATCTTCACATTCTATATTATATGCATTTATTCTACAACTCAAAAAGTGTTTAAAAAATGTAATAAATAAAAATAAAAAGTTGCTTCCAGCCCAGGTTTTTCAATCCCACACCAATGTGTGTGGATTTATTGGCGGGTTTGTGGTCAAATATTATAACTCAGTTTTAATCTAATTTACCTATTTCCTCCTACTATACAGATCAGTGTATCTCTGATTACACCCAAGAATATCTAGTTTTGCTTCTTGTAATAAAAATGACTCACCAAGAAAAAGAAAATAGACGTGGTGAATAAGAAAATCATGCCACCCTGCGCAAACAGATCATAGCTTATAGTGCTGTTGCTGTTGTTGTTGTCTTTTGATTGGCCTGTGAATGCTGGATACTCCAACTCCAGGGTACCCTGAGAAAACAAAAATTTTCAGTGAAGCTTACAAGATGAGCTCAAGATTCAATTAACACAATGGTTAATAGTACTTTGTTAATGTATTGTTTTGGCTTATAAGCACAAGGATAAATTAAGTCAGTGGCTCAACATTCAACTAACACAATGGTTAATAGTACTCTGTTAATGTATTGCTTTGGCTTATAAACACAAGGATAAATTAAGTCAATGGCTCAAGATACAATTAACACAATGGTTAATAGTACTCTGTTAATGTATTGTTTTGGCTTATAAACACAAGGATAAATTAAGTCAATGGCTCAAGATACAATTAACACAATGGTTAATAGTACTCTGTTAATGTATTGTTTTGGCTTATAAACACAAGGATAAATTAAGTCAGTGGCTCAAGATACAACTAACACAATGGTTAATAGTACTCTGTTAATGTATTGTTTTGGCTTATAAACACAAGGATAAATTAAGTCAATGGCTCAAGATTTAATTAGCACAATAATTAATAGTAGTACTTTGTTAACTTGTTCTTTTGGATAATAAACTGAATGATAAATTATGGCCTAAGTCAAAGTATGTTGCAGCTACCAAAATGAAAAATAGCACTTTATTATGTTGTTTTAGCTAATAAACACCGAGTAAATGAAGTCACAGAATTTTGTATGTTTAGCTTCAGAAACAAAGCATTTTTTTTTTAAAGTCTATACCTGAATGATGGAGTATGCCAAAGCAACTGTAAAAGTGACCATTAAAACTCTTCTAATGCTTGTATGGCTGTCAAGGTGACCTATTGGAATTCAAAGGGGGAAATTATTTCTTATTTAAAGAAATTATCACTGATAAGAAAACTAAAGTAGATTATGAAATTCGAAATGAGTAAGTATAGTCAATATTTACCAAATCCAAGACCAAATATTACAACAGAGAGTTCTGTAGCCAACAGGAAAAATCTTAACACCAGCCACAACACCTGGAAAAAAATTAATTTATTTAAAGTTTACTCATGAGATAAATGAGAGATTTATTTAGTTAATACTAATTTTTCATTTGTTGAACTTTTAATTTATTCTTGTGTGTGTATATTAAAACCATTCAGAGTATATTCAATACTTAACCATATTAGTAGCATGCAAATTTTGTTAACTAAGGGAGATTTTATTAACCTACTGGTGAAGAGTTGGGGGTTTTAGAAATATTTTCTTTTTATATAATTATCAAAGCCATTTAAATGAGTACCAACTTTATCAGTGATATCTCCAGCTGGTAATGATGCATTCACTAACATTGAAACCACACATCTCAGCAAACTAATAACTGGAACAGCAAATATCTGAAATATAAAGATGGACAGTCTCAATCAGAGCAATAAACATTTTAGATGAATGAAATGTTTCTGAAAATGAGATGAGATTTTTAAATTTAAGCTTAAACTACAAAAATGTAACTTACCAGGCCATAAAAGGCTGCAAATATTGGGCTGTTACTTCCCCGTAGTTTTCCAATTGCTACTCGAAAGCTGTACAGCAAAAACAAAATGAAGAGAAAATTTGGGACTAGTATAAAAAGGTCCCACCATCGAACTCTGAAAAAGGAAATGAAAAGATTAATTGAAATTTATAGCAAAATTAGATTTTAGGTCTAACTAAATTTCAGCACAACAAGATATAAATCTTCAATTCAATAGTATTCATGTTATTATGTTTAATTAATTTCTTACCCTGAGTTTAGGATATCTGCTTGCAAAATCCATTTACAAGGTGGCAGGGTTATGTCTATGAATGGAATTGGTGAATTTGGTGGCTCATGATCTGATGTTTTGAACAACCAAGGAGTTGTTATTGGTGATGAATAATTTGATACTGAAGAATTGTTTTCCATAGATGTAAGGTTCGTCATTTTAGAAAATAAACATTATGTTGCTTTTGAAATATACACTTTTCTTTCAAAACAAGCAAAGTTCAACTCTATATCACCCAACTGCAAGCTAGTGTTATTTCCTTAGCAGACATGTACAAATCTCTGGTTCATCTGTGATCAAAAAGCTTGATTAGACAACAACAAAAATGAGTAGGTTTTAAAATAATGAGCAAAAAATAAGAAAAATATCAACAAAACTTTTTAATTCTTAGCAAGAACAACAGAGCTAGAAGCGTGGTTTTTTAAAAAAAATAATTAACTAATTGTCTGAAAACTAACCCTATCTCATTTTCAAAGAAAATTATTAGAAGAACTATATAATTAGGCCCTTCATCAAATATATTAATACTGTATAGGGGCCTAATGGAGATTAACTTTTATATCACTATCACAGAAAAACTTGTAGATTGATAAGAGATGAGTAGGATTAGTTTAGTCACAGTATGAAGAAGTTCAAAAATTAAAAAAAAATGCCATTGTAATGAATGGGTAGTGTAAGGATTTTTCTTTAAACTTTAATGCTTTACAGGCTCTTTGTTAGGTAGCATTAAAATTAATCTGTAATCTCATGTTAGTGTTAAAGCCAAATATCAACTTAGTATTATATTGAAGGTTAGGACAATGGCTATTTGGCAGTAACAATCAATACTACAGTACTACCAAACACTCACTGAAATAACCCCAATCATTAATTATAATACTCTAATTTGACATACTAGGGTGGACATAAAATACGAGACACAAAATGAGGTGATTTTAGAATCAATGTTATAAAAATTGCAAATTCAGAGAACTTAAAAATGATTTTTTTTAAGTTTAAAGGCTACATTTCTATTTATTTTCATCAAGCCCAAGTTACAACCTGATGTTTCACTTTTGTAAGATAAACATTGATTGTCTGTATGGGAACGGAACTCTGTGATTGATAGTCAAGTCATTTGTGTACAAAACTTGGCAGATAAAATTTTTAAATAATATAATGCTATTTTAAACCACATGACCTAGTTCTGCCATTTTGTTTACATTTTGTAAAAGGAAATTTATGCTAGCTTTATCAAATGTCATTGTTTAAGCCGCCATTACCAAATGATAACCAAATAGCTTTTGTTGTTTTTTTAAATTGTGTTTAAGGCTAATTACTGAAAATATTAAAATCTCAAATCATACTCAAATGCATCCACTCTTTTTTAAAGTCCGATCTACTAAGTAAATCTAAGTAATTAGTAATAAGTAAAATTTAAAAATAACTTAAAGCAAAGTTACTCAATAACTCAGTAAGTTGCAGATTGTAGATCTAACTAGAATCTAATTACTAAGTACTAAATAATAATACTAAATAAAAAAAAATTACTAAAATAAGTAGTAGGCCCTAAGTAGATTCGGTAATCTATCGTTTTAGGTACGTAAAATCGCCCGCGGCTAGTAATGTACGAAAAAGTTACCTCATTGTCAAGGCTTTAATAGAAGTATATTGAGATATATTTGTGTCAAATATTATAGATAAATGAATAATAAACCTAAATCAATGGCTAAATATATCAATATAGGCCAGAAATTAACTTTAAACAGCAGTGTTTGCGAGCAAGATTAGCTATATATACAGCAGCCAATTGTAAAATAGAGTGGCTTCCCCTGAATATCGCGCTATAAGTTTACAAAGAAAAACTTAAACAAGATGGCTGCTATATATAGTAAATGAGCATGGTTGCATGTGATGGAAACATTGCTAGTCTTCATTTATTACTGAAAAGTTTTAATTCAATTGTTTAAAAACAGGTACATAAATGCAACTTTGAAACATTTTTTAAAATTTCAAAACATAAATCCTCCTGAAAATGTGAAATAATTATTAAAATTTAAGGAGTCACCTGTTTTTCACATAATTATTAATTTATTAATTATTAATTTACTAACTAAACTATTTTAAAAACTAACGATAGGATAGTGTCTAGGCGTTCATATTCGTTTATTCAACATTAGATCTAGATATCTAGATCTATATCTAAACCCAGATCATCTAGATCTAGATCTAGGTCTAGATCTATTTCTTACAATCGACTTACAAAAAAAATCCAAGTCACAAGTGAATAAGTGTTCTTGTTTATCAACATCACTAAAATAACGGATGAGTCATTACCAACACCATTGGGTCAATCTATTTACCCCCACACCGTGAAATTTTATGAAAACTAAGCTAATTTTTAAAATAAAACATTCATTACTCTATAGTCTATCACCAACTTCCCGCAGAAGTAAATGTAAAAACAAATACCCAGATATATTGACTATATAGAAAAGGCGTCCTGTCACAGGGCATAATATAATAACATTAGGCCTAACATTTTAATTAATATTTTTAACCATAACAAGGCTGAATCGAATGTTAATGACAATGTCAGACAAAATTATTGTACTTTTCTTTTTAGAAATTAAAAATCAATAGGACTGAGTTAAAATAAATAGTAGAAAGGACTAAGCTCTCTTATGATTAAACCATCCTGGAAACAATTTTAAAAGCACCAAAGTAATGCAAACACCAGGCCTATATTGATGATTTAATATTTTAATCACTAAACAAATCACTGACACCATTTTAAATTGAGTATCTGAAAACAAATGTAGCTATTATGATAGGACAATTTACTTGTTTATAGCTTTAGACAAAGATTTTCATTCTTAAAAATATTCCCCATGTCAGTTAAACCTTTCATTCACACTAGATCTAGTAAGTCTGAGTACCCAACACCCCCCCCCTCATTTACACAAGCTGCATCTACCATCTGAATTTGCCTATTCTTGGCCATTGCATATAAATATGAAATAAATTTCAGAATTTCTTAAGTAAAAGACATTATTTTCTTTACTGGAAAGTTGGATTTGTTTTAAATATTTATTAATTAAAATCTTCATTCGTCTTCTTTGTTCTTAATTGTATATTGAAAAGGACTCCCTCCATCACAAGTAGGTACTAAGTTTCAACATGTTATACACCATATGGCCAATTGACTCCAATTTCAGCCTGCTTTTCTTTCTGAGTTTTTTTTGCTTTCATAGCCATTGTCCACCCAAGAACAATCTGCAAGGCAACAGCTGTTTGATTTAGAGTTTTCTCTCCTAGATGTGTTCCTGTCCCCAGGTACCAAGCCAGCTTCATCTGCCCAGGGGTACAAGTTAACCACAGGCTCTCCTGCCTGCCTGTGCTGTCACTAGTTGAAATAAAAAGTCTCTGTCCTGAGCATGGCCTACACATCTGGGTAGATTCTAGGTAAACTAAAGCTGGTATATAATGGATACTTGATTTGAGATAATATAATTAATCCTCTATTTTAAAAAAATTAACAAAAAACTAGTTGATTTGAGAATATTTTAATAACAGCTATTTAATAAATAAGAATATAAATAACAGTTGGCTCTACATGTGTTTTGCATTGTGGAAAGTATTGATGTTTTTGTGCACAAATGTAAAGAAAATTCAAAATAGTACATTGCATAAAATCACAGTAATGCTTGGGAAAGATAAAAAATGTAACATTACATATATGCCATACATGGGTGGCCAGATCAACATGAGTAGTCCTATATTTTATACACATTTTTATATAATTACATAAGTATGGCCACAAAATCAAAAGAGAACAACCATAAATCTGTATGTAAAATGAGAGGCAAAAGTCTGCCAGACAAGTGTGTAGACTGGTTGTAATCACTTCTATTTAAATATTAAAATATAATGGAGTGGATAGGCTACTTGACTAAAAAAATATTTAAGAAAATGAATTTTAAATTCTAGACATAAAAATGTTAAAAAATAAATTGATTCCTTTAAATGTCTTGGTTGATTTCTCAATTTGTTTTCAACAAATTTCTATAAAGAATAAAGATAAAAGTTTATTGTGTTATGTGTTTAAGATCCCTTGTGTGTTTTGTGTATCTGAAACTAGTTAGTCAACTACCGTTTATAATTCAAAGTGAAAGGATAAAAATGTATTCAGACAGTCAACACTTAATTGTGAAGAATACAGGAGTAATTATGTATTATGATTAAACATGTCTGTAAAATATCTTTAATTTTTATTTGATGAGAAAACAGAATAAGAAATAGAATTTAAATATGACCCAGAAAGGAAAAATATGCTTTTAAAAAATTATTTACATTATTATTGACATACTGATAATAAATATATATATATATAACATTTTTTTTTAGGAAAAAACATATTTTACATAACACTGCATTTAACAAAAAACTTAATAACATATAATACTTGGATGATTAAAAAAAACAGTGCTTTCATCAAAGAGCAAAGTGTATATAAAGAAAATAAAATGTCATTGAAATATACATTTTTTATAGTTTAATTATTATTTGAAATAAATGTTATATATTTATTGATTTTTATTGTATTATAAATGCTATACTTGAATTTGTTTAGATACAATTTTAATTTTTTAAAAATGTAATTACGTTAAAATAATGAAGGCAACATATTACAAAATAACTACATTTTAGTAAAACAGATACAAGAAATAATACAAGTGATTTACATCTCAAAATTATCAATTAAAATTATTAGACAAAAACTTCTTCTAAAAGTCTTAGTGAAATTAGTATTGTATTGTATCCAATGTGATATATATATATATATATATATATATATATATATATATATATATATATATATATATGTATATATATATATATATATATACATATATAGGCCTGTACCAATTAATAACAATCTTTATAGATATTAGTCTGCATATATTTATTGTTAAACAACTGTTAACATAAAATTCAGCTTTTAGAAAAAAAATATTACAGACCTATCACAAAATGATACAGCGCTATTTAATATTATTTGTCTCAAACATGTACTAGTTTTTACAAAGCGGGGGGGGGGGGGGGGGGGTGAAGGAGGAGGAGGGGGGAGAGATCCCACACAGGTAATTAATCATCCAACTGACAGAGCATGGCCACTCCCCTATTGATCCAATGGCTTTCAGGTTTGTCACTTAAAAGTGTCATGGTCAGCACATAGTTGGTAGAGTGACCAGTGGTGGACAGTACACCACGCCTTGCACTTGTCTTGTACACTGAAGAATAAATAAATAGTTTAATATATGTAATTGATAAATTGAGGTATGGTAGTAATATAAACCATTTAATATAAGTTATTACATACATTGGGGTAAGCAAATATTGCATCAAATTAAAACAAATGAGCATTGATTATGTATTGATGCAACTTTAAATGAAGAATGATCAACAATGTTTAGTACATTCTATTCACTGTGATATTCAGATTGATACTACTTACCTGGACAATGGTAGTAAGGTTTTTCTTCAAACTTGTTGCGCTCTCCTGGCTTTAGCCAAATCTAGTCAACAATTAAGGTATACCAACGAAAGCACTATAACATATTTCAATACACAATGACAGACAAAACTTCAACCAAAGATATGCCAACAACAACAGTAAAACACTCCAATACACAAGACAAAACTTGAAACAAAGAGAAAAATATGTCCAGAGATAAAAAATAACATTTCCTATCACAGAACTGAATAATTACCAAACAGATTGGAGTAAAAAGATGCATGATTAGAATGTAAGACAAACATTTCCCGCCAAATTAACTGAAGTAACGATCTAACAACTTCCAAAAATCTCAGGTCTGAAGATGCAACTGTAAAATACTACTGAGACCACCACTACTGCTGAATTACAAAAATGAGAACGAATATCATTTAGAAAAATCTGTAAAATGGACTGAGTAGTGCCTCTCAAATGAAAAATAAATTACAATTAAAAACCTAAAAATCATAATTTTGATATCATACACCCAAGTCTGTCATTTTTGTACCATTTTAAAAACTGAATAGCTTATAGATCTAGGTGAAACTTTAAAAAAGGATACTATAGGCACTTGATCATATAGAATTTTAGGCAGGCTTTCAGTAACTACACAGCTTTCACGACACCATCTTGCTCCTTCCATGAACAAACCTTTTATGTAGGCCCCAGTAGCCTGTCAGTTTTACAAATAGGTCAATTTTTTTAAAAACTTAAGATAAATTTTTCACTAAGACATAATTTGCAGACCTCATTTTTCAAAAAAAAAAAAAAAGATCTAAATCAATCTTTTTTAATTATAAAAATCTGAAAAAATATTTTTGAGAACATATTTGTTTTCACTTGACATTTGTATTTTAAAAAGGAAGAACATGTTTTAAGCTCACAGGTTTCTCTGAAACACTTGTTTCAAATTTTGTCACTTCAAATTCAAATGCCAGGTGGTCAATTGGGATTATAAATCTCCTGGCATAATTTTGTAAGACGCCAGTTAAGAAAGACTGAGTGAAGTAGAAGCCAGAAATCCAAAATATTGTTGGGGTGCCTCCCTTTATCCATTCCTTAAATTTAAAAAATATACATGCATTTGTTAACATCCCTTACTTATACATAGATACAGAAGAGTCATGTGTTTGTAAACATAAAATTATCCCTTGTCGTAAATAATTTAATTCTTTAATGTGTATAGGTTAGTAAATATAACATTAAATTATGCCCTGGTCATAAATAATATAATTCATGAAAGTATGAAATTAACAATAATGCATTTCTCAATTAACACTAAATGTAGCAAATTTAAGATATATTATTTACCTTAAAAAAATTTATTCTTGCAAGCAAATCAGTTACATAACTACCTAGAGGCTTCAAGGAAGGGTAGGACTTTGCAGCCCACATTGCAGGTACCTGCAATTTTTCATGACAAAAACAAACATTTCAAGCATTTATTTTATAGTAGAAATTTAAGTCACATAGAGAATAAATTATTCATTACAAACATTACCATTTTTTTTAAATTTATTAACAAAAAGCAAGTGTACCATCCCAACCATCAACAAAAATTAAATGTACCTTTCCAACCATCAACAAAAAACAAACGTACCTTTCCAACCATCAACAAAAAACAAACGTACCTTTCCAACCATCATGCTGTCAAAGACATCCTCCAGTTCACTAGACATGACAACCAGACCCTTTATGGCCTTACATATGTCCTGTAAGCTACTACGTACAACATGTATGAGACGGTCGAACCTGATGAGCTCCTGAATCAACACTGTGTTCATAGACTCCATATAATTGACTTTAAACTTTGTCTACACAGGTAGAACGGTAAAAAACACATTTTTAGAAATTTTTTTACAAAGTTTAAATAAAAAGGTATACGTTCTACAATACACAATTTAAAAAAGAAATTAAAATCTGAGTTGTTTTATTTAAAAAAAATTGTCATAATCACCTGAATTTCTTCAAGATTAAAGTTTTGTGGAATTTTCTGTAAAATGTCACTTGCAAGTTCTTGAATAATATCTTGAGATGACTTGCCTCCCCCTGATGTCTGTCAAACAAGAAACAGAAGTTGATCACACAGAAATATAAGAAGTTGATAAAACTATATTTTATGTTTAACAGGAGTTGATCACACAGAAATATAAGAAGTTGATAAAACTATATTTTATGTTTAACAGGAGTTGATCACACAGAAATATAAGGAGTTGATAAAAATATTTTATTTTATACAGGAGTTGATCACACAGAAATATAAGAAGTTGATAAAAGTATATTTTATGTTTAACAGGAGTTGATCACACAGAAATATAAGGAGTTGATAAAACTATATTTTATGTTTAACAGGAGTTGATCACACAGAAATATAAGAAGTTGATAAAACTATATTTTATGTTTAACAGGAGTTGATCACACAGAAATATAAGAAGTTGATAGAAGTATATTTTATGTTTAACAGGAGTTGATCACACAGAAATATAAGAAGTTGATAAAAGTATATTTTATGTTTAACTGGAGTTGATCACACATAAATATAAGAAGTTGATAAAAGTATATTTTATGTTTAACTGGAGTTGAGCACACAGAAATATAAGAAGTTGATAAAACTATATTTCACATTTTACAAAAACTTTTTACGTGATGTGGTTGAAAGATAGAGCACATGATTGCTAAAACATCATGAGGTCAGTTTCTGGACATCCCTGAGTGTCTGACTTAAGTCAAGGAAAGTCAGCTGGATGTTGTGCAGACCACACAATAACATCATACACCAAAGTTTAAGTAACAGGAGAACTCTATTTGAGAACTTTTTTTGGTCCATCAGTCTGTTAAGGTAATTTTTAATGTGAGCTTATGTTTCAAAAGTCTTGTAAATACATCTTAGTGTTCTAAGCTCACCTGTCGGGGAAGTGTAAGAAGGATTCCTTCAAACAACTGCTGGGTTTCCTGTTGGTCTTTAGAAATATCTGCATTTTCATGCAATCCAAAAACCTGTAGAGAAATGGTTGACAATATATTTGTATAGGTCTAGTCCAAAAAATAAAAGGTTCACATTTAATAGCTCTCTATAGGTTTGTTATTTGTGAGTAAGTAGTGAAAAATGTTGAATAAGGAAGGTATTTTATAACCACATACCTCTGGGTGAGGGACTAAAGGTAAACTTCTGATGTACTCCACAAAGTCTTCAAACTTGCCGCTGGGAGGTGCAAAGTAAACTCCACTAGAAGAGAACCTGTAACTGTCATCTTTGATTGTCTGGTCAGTATAAAATATCTTCAGCAGTGAAAGGATGAGCCTACGATCCAGGTCGTCTGTAACTCTGCCTCCATAGTTACACTCCCCAGTCAAGTAAATCAGAGCTTCCAATGGTGTCTTCTCATACTTATTGATGAACATCTAGGAAAAAAAATTCTTAGCATGTTTAAATATACGCCAATAAAATATTAATTGTTGATTGTTTTAGACTCAATTAGTTATGTGGTCTCATAGTTTTGATGTTAATTAAAGAAAACTAAATAGACTATTTTTTTTGTAAGTTTTATTTTAAAAATTCATAAAATTCTAGATCTAGAAAGAGTTAAATAGCTAGTTAAATAAACCGGTAGTGATCTCCCCTAAACTTTCTCGAATATTCTTATATAAAACAACAGGGGATGGTAACTGGGGATATAGTTATGATTTTTAATCCATTTTAAATACTCAAACTTTTAAAAATAGAATAGAATCTCAGTAAAAAACAATTGCGCACCAAGCGAACGCCTAATAAAGGTGTGTATAATAGTGCGCAATAGTATTAGTACTTAATAAATTTACATTAGTTTTTTGAGAAATCGGAAGTAGCGTAAATTACTACTTCCGGTCAACGGAAATTACTCAAAATTTAACAGAAGGTAGAGAATTAGATCTTTTACTTACATGTGAAATTTCATTTATCTATCTGAAATAGTACTCAAGTTATAGGCTTTTGAAAAATTCAAAGTAGAAAAAGTACCACTTCCGGTTGTCGGAAATCGCACAAAAGTTGATACGGATCTACAATTTTGATATAATACTTATATATGAAATTTCATCAACCTAGCTGTAACGGTACTCAAGTTATCGTGTTTACACACGGACACACAGACATACGGACAAGATTGCAAAATTATGTTTTTCCGTATCAGTGAGGTGTAAAACGTCGAGATTTGTAAAAATCTCGATTTTTTTTTTTTGCACGATTACAATACTTTCTCTATACTACGTATATACGAGAAAGTAAAAATGAAACCAATGTGAGTGGTAGAAAAAAATTATGATAAGAGAGAACCCAGCTGTACTGAAACTCTAAGGTTAGAAGAGAACCCACCTGTAACTGCTGTACTTAAACTCTAAGGTTAGAAGAGAACCCACCTGTAACTGCTGTACTGAAACTCTAAGGTCAGACTCATTAAACTCATATGGAATGTTCCAGCCCAGTGGACCAAACTTTCTTCTCTCCTGGACCAGTGCATGGAAGAAACAGAGGCCAAACAGAAGTTTTTGGAAAACCTGGACACAAATATTGGGGTGTACAATCATTTTATATTGCCACAAAATTAAATGTCATAGAGTAGGAAAACTTTTTAATCCATTCAAAATGTGTGGACAAGTTAAATATTGTGTAGGCCTACCTTATTAGCATCCAATTTTAACAAATAAGTTACAATTCCTAATTTTTTGTGTATTTTTAAAAAAAACATCTGATTAATAGGTTTTCAAAAAATATATTAAGCAATGCAAAATTTTGAGAAATCGGAAAAAGCGTAAATTAGTACTTCCGGTCAACGGAAATTACTCAAAATTTGATAGAAGGTAGAGAATTAGATCTTTTACTTACATTTGAAATTTCATTTATCTATCTGAAATAGTACTCAAGTTATAGGCTTTTTAAGAATTCAAAGTAGAAAAAGTACCACTTCCGGTTGTCGAAAATCGCTCATGAGTTGACACGGATCTACGATTTTGATAAAACACCTATATATGAAATTTCATCAACCTAGCTGTAACGGTACTCAAGTAATCGTGTTTACACACAGACAGACAGACAGACAGACAGATAGACACACACACAGACATACGGACAAGATTGCAAAATTATGTTTTTCCATATCAGTGAGGTGTAAAACGTCGAGATTTGTAAAAATCTTGATTAATTTTTTTTGCATGATTACAATACTTTCTCTATACTTCGTATATACGAGAAAGTAATTATAAAATTTTAAAAATCCCATAAAAACTTACAGCAGGTTTGTTACAGCTGGTAAAAAATTCAGGGTTGGAGATGGGGTCGTTGAGGTATGAACGCAACAAATTGGCTCGCAGCCCTTTAGGAGGCTCATTGGTCATCTTGACTCCATTCTGCAAGACTGAGACAGGGAACACAGGGGAGGGGTAGCTGGTCAGCCACAGCCTGAAACTGTCCTGTGTAACTGTTGGGTCTGATATCACCTGAGGAACAAAATATCACCTGATTCAAGAGGTACAAGAAAAGTTTCGAGCAACAAAAAATTCATTTTTATTTCCATACAAACAGAAACATATCACAAATCTGTATCAGTTAGTGTTTTCCTACTCACACTTTCATACAAACAGAAACATATCACAAATTTGTATCAGTTAGTGTTTTCCTACTCACACTTTCACAGATCCTCTCCAGCTCTGGCAGCCATGATGCTGCTAGATGACAATTCTGTAGGACAACCCACGTGCCAGCCTGTACAGCCTACAGAAAAAGTTGCTCAGGTTTTATAATAACAAAAGCATTTTAACCACCCCACACCCAGGTATTATAACATTTTGTAATATTTCTATACAACACCACCACTCAAATTATACAAACTTGTGTTATCATATTTAATCAACCATACTGAATACAAAGTTTTTTGTAAAATAAGAAAATCAAAGACACAATCAAGTGATATCTCTCTATTCTACCCGTTCTCCTAATAACAAAATGTAACAAAATGATAAACTATTACCACCCGCTATCCTTATCATAAATTATGTACACAATTCCTTATTAAAAACTCGTTTTTACAACAACTTATGGTATAAAACTTATAAATAAAACAATACTATTTTTACAAATTTAAAAGTCATATTAGTTCATTTCAAAGGTCAACAGCATGAAAAATGTTTTCCTAAGCAAAAATTTAAGTAATAAAACTAAACTACAACATACTTCCATCACCATTCTTTCAGCTATTGGCCCTTGTCCTTGACCAAGAGAGATGGTTTGTAATTTACTTTTACTGGTACCTATAAAATAAGGTTTGAAAGAGATTATTCTTTTTTTTTTGGTGAATATATTTTATCTCTGGATGCAAGTTACAAAGACGTGAAATTTTCTTCACAAAAATTAAAGTAATTTCTATGAGTCAAAGGAAACTTAAAGTTTACAAAAATATTTTTAAAGATCTACATAAAACTAAAATTCCATTAATTACATATGTGATTAACTGTTAAGTTTTTTCTTGGAAGTGGGAAGCTTTTTTTAAAGAACTGCAAAATACTTACGTTAAGTATTTAAATATGGATACATACTATATTCATAATTTAAAATACTAACATATATGGGTAGTTGTAGCCACCTGGCTAACAATACTAACTACCTGATTTCCACTTTAAATTGTCAATTATTAACTTTGTTGGTAATGTCCAGCTTTGCTAATAAGTCAATTTAAAGTGAAATAGATTTGCTACATATGTCTTTTGAATATTTATTAATAAATTACATAAGGCCTATAGATAATTAATGAATTAATTTTGATAATGTGTGCTCAGTAAACTATATATATATATATATATATATATATATATATATATATATATATATATATATATATATATATATATATATATATATATGGCTAAATTTTAATGTAAACATAACCAGCCTTTAATAGTTAATTGCTTATATAGGCCTGAATAATATTAATGCCATTAATACCACAACCAGCTTAATAATCTACAGTTAATAAGTTACTAATACAATTTCTAGACATATGAATTGTTAGTGCAGAAGCAAATACATACATTACTTTTAAAATAAACACTTCACTATGTTAATTACCATAGCCTACTCTAATCTGCAAATTTAAAAATAGCAAAATAAAAAAAGGTTACAGAATGACAAAACAATTAACTCATCTTCAGTTGCTGGAATGAAACTGCAAATCTTTGCTATTGTTACATATGTGCAGTGCTTTATTAATGTATTAGTGGTTCACTTAAAATCTAATTCATATTAAGTAATGATCTAGTAAACATTTATTTTAACTGTGAGAAGTTGTTTCACAACAAACAAATGTGTACGGTTTAAATAGTGACAACATGCAAGAATATATGAATATGATAGCTTGATAAGTACAAAAATATACAACATATGGTTATAGTTGGCCCAAGTACAGATCTTGTAAATAATGATTACAGTTATAGCCTACATATGTAACCCAAGGAATACTCATGAACATACTAGCAAACATTTCAGCTGGATTTACTTCCCCTACAATGTTCAACTTCTGATGCTGCACTGTGGTTTTCTCCCCTGGTGCTGGCTGAATGCTAGATGGGGGTAGCATCCCTATATTCAAACAAATTAGTGTTAACCTTTCTCATGCTAAACATTGAATGCTAGATGGGTGTAGCATCCCTATATTCAAACAAATTAGTGTTAACCTTTCTCATGCTAAACATTGAATGCTAGATGGGTGTAGCATCCCTATATTCAAACAAATTAGTGTTAACCTTTCTCATGCTAAACATTGAATGCTAGATGGGTGTAGCATCCCTATATTCAAACAAATTAGTGTTAACCTTTCTCATGCTAAACATTGAATGCTAGATGGGTGTAGCATCCCTATATTCAAACAAATTAGTGTTAACCTTTCTCATGCTAAACATTGAATGCTAGATGGGGGTAGCATCCCTATATTCAAACAAATCAGTGTTAACCTTTCTCATGCTTAACATTGAATATGCTAATTATACACATCTAACAACTGGTGCTTTAAAGAATGCCAAGAAAGTTTAGGTGAAACAACACATTTATACTGCATGGCATAATGCGATCCAAGTAATCAAATTAGTGATAATGATACAACATAAAGTAGATATTATCAGAATGCAAGTTTTGCAGTTAAGTTTGAACACAGCAAGTTTTTTTGCTGTTGTCTCAGTGATTGTACAACACTAGTGACTATTCTAACCTCCCTTATTTAAACACTGATCCCAGGGTAACAAGACATATGAGCGCAATGTTGTAATTGAGAAGTTGACTGATAGATTCATCAATTAAACAAACTTTGTCATATGAAAGACTGCAAGCTTGTGATTTTAAACAGGTTCAATCTACAAATAGTTTGATAAGTCAGTGTGCTTTATGCATTTTTGTTAACCATAACTGCCATCAAAGTTAGCGATAGTACATAAAATTATTTAAGTTTCTTATTTTAACTGACAGCTGTGTATATTTTTTTAAAATACCAGTACAGATTTTTGTGTGGCCTGGACACAAGGGTAAAGATGATGATTTTTTAAAAATGTGCATAATTGTCAAAAGGTAAATTCTAGATGACTACTGCTCACACAGCATGCTCAATAAAAACACATAAATTTTGCTCTCAAACAATGTCAACTGGAAATAAGCTAAGAACATAGAAAAAATACAACAATGTCAAAAAAAATTATTAAAATATTTTAAAACTGTTAGTTAAAACAAATTGTTTTCAAATTCCAAAAAAATCTTTTTTATAAAAAAAAAGAAGTAAAAAAAAAATGTAAAATAAAACTAATCTGCATTATTTTTCAATAACTGTAGTTCAGTAATTTTGTTATAGTGTTTTCTTCATTTTTTTTTTTCTCAAAAGGCCTAGTAGACTTGCTATAAAAGGTTATTTTAAATTATGTTGTTTAAAATTATAAAAAAAAATAAACAAAATCTGGTGTACAAAAAAAGTTTAGTTAGGGGTGTTCATTCATTCCACCTACCTTTCTCCTCAGCAAATCTGTACAAACCAGCCATGGGATCTGCTCCAGGGGAGAGAACAAAAATAAGGGGAGAGAAAAAGTTGGAATCTTCATAACATAAAGACAGATCAAAGGTTGGTGGCTCAATATATTTTGCTCCCATCCTGTCAATTATGTAGCTCTGGACTGCTGGAATCATCTAGAAATTAAAGTAAAAAGTTTATTACATACAGTCGGTATAAATCCAGTTAAAATATTCTAATTAAAAATTTTTAATCCTTACTTTATCAGGTCGTAAACATCTTAAGACTATGAGTTCCTGCATGTTGCTCAAGTTAGTACAGAATGGCTCAGGGCATTTCTCTGTATGAGGTGTAGCAGAATCGTACAATTTTTTCCATTCTTTTGGCTGAAAAATTATTGGTTTCAGTAAGCTCTATCATGCAGGTAATAAATCTATTCTTATTAAGAAAACTGGCAAATACCCAAGAAAAAACAAGTGAATGAAAAAAATCTTACAGCTTTCTGCACCATCTCCATAAAACCTTTCAATGCTGGCAGCTGTGATGCTCTTACAATCTCTGACCATGATTTGTCAGAGAGCCACGAGGGGGCGGGGTTAGCAAATGGATTTTCTAATGCCACTCCCCCTGTCAACAGGAAGCGCCACTCCTGATCATCCACTTCACCTCTAGAAAATTTAAATTAAAAAACACAAAACAATTACTTATTTTGCTATTTAAAATCACGGTCATCCATTTTACCTCTATAAAAACAAAAATCAAACACAGTACAAAACAATAATGTTTATTTAGGTATATAATAATCATGGCCATCCACTAAAATAAAATTCACAAATACAACAGAAAATCTGTTTCAGCTATCTACATAACAGTCATGCAATCTTTTAAATCTTTTTATATAGTTTATAAGCTTCAACCACTCCACAAAAATTACTTTTAGTACAGTAAACTAAAATTCTCAATCTTTAGACCATCATTACCTGCTTTTAGCCAAGCCAACACAAAGTAAAAATGAAAAAAGTAATTTGTCTTTTTCAAAGAGAGATCGACAAACATTTTTGTAGATGCTGTAGGTAAAGTGTTTGTTGAGGTTTTCTATTCTATCCTGAAGAGCTGGAGCTGGATCACTGTGTACAATGGACTGTGAACATGAACATCACAAATCTAATTTTAGTTACTGCATCAGGGTCAATTTTTGTTTTTAAATAAAAATTAATGGCCAGAAAGATAAGCTATGTGTTTAAATAATAATATAAATAATAGTTTTAAAATGTTTTTTGTTTTTTTTTTCCCTATTATTTATGTAATTAATTAAATTGGTTTTTACCAAGTTCTCTCAGAACTCAAAAATTTAAATGGACAAATTAAGAAGAAAATATTTTTATTTTTATTTATTGTAAAATAAATTTACCCATTAATTTATAAAAAGCATTTTGTTTAAATTTAGATTTGAATAATGTTAACCATGACATTTTATCTTCCCCCAAAATACAAAAGCACAAACAAAGAACTCCAACAGAAGTTGTGTGAAATAACTAAAGACTCACCTGCAGATATAAATTGATGAACCAGACAAGAGAGTACTGGTACATTGGATCAATATTTGCTAGATCAGATATTGTAAAGAACAGCATGCTGCCATGTTTTGCTACCTATAATTAACAAGAAAAAAAAAATTGCAAGATTTAAAAAATAGTTCTTGAAAAATAGCTTCAAATACAATCAATAAAACCTTTTTAATAAAACTACTTTGTTTTATTTACAGACATATTTTAGAAAGGAATTGTCCATAATTGATATCATACTATTTTAGCTGACTTTTACCCCACAATTCTCTATTCCACATAGCCCATTGTCACAAGAGTATGAACAAAATACTAAGGCGAATGGACTAATCTAATTTTACATAGATTGAAATAAGCAAGGAATTGTAAACACCATACCGGCTTATAACCATTTCTGGTAACATCAATCTCTTCTTCTGTCTTGGTGGCAATCTTTTGTTTCTCAGAGATTTCCATGGACAGAATTTTACTCGAGGACAAAATCTCTATGGCTGTTTCATCCTCTAAAATGTTACCCTGTAACAAAACAATTGCAATATTTATACAAACAATTTCAGAGCACATATTTTACTTATATTGATTTCATCCACATCTGTAAAACATGGTTTAGAATTATATCTAACTAAGGATTGACTATCTTAATATACTCTATATAAAATTTTAAGGTATTTACAAATTGTTTGATTTTCACACAAGAAAATGAATGTAAACATTTAAGCAGCAAATATAAGAGTTGTTCACCTGGGATGTTGACAACACTTCAAGAATTTTGTCTTCAATGTCTTTCAGCTGATGTTTGTTATGAGCACTCTCTATTATGAGTTTATTTTTCTTTTCTTCTAAAGCTGGTTTTTCTTTAGCAGCAACCAGACCCAGAAGCTGATCCTCCAGGCCCAATGGGGTTATCATGAAGTTTAGGAGGGTAACCTGGGGAGTTAGTGGTAATCATAAAGTTTAAGAGGGTAACCTGGGGAGTTAGTGGTAATCATAAAGTTTAAGAGGGTAACCTGGGGAGGTAGTGGTAATCATAAAGTTTAAGAGGGTAACCTGAGAAGGTAGTGGTAATGATAAAGTTTAAGAGGGTAACCTGAGAAGGTAGTGGTAATGATAAAGTTTAAGAGGGTTACCTGAGAAGGTAGTGGTAATCATAAAGTTTAAGAGGGTAACCTGACAAGGTAGTGGTAATCATAAAGTTTAAGAGGGTAACCTGAGAAGGTAGTGGTAATGATAAAGTTTAAGAGGGTTACCTGAGAAGGTAGTGGTAATCATAAAGTTTAAGAGGGTAACCTGACAAGGTAGTGGTAATCATAAAGTTTAAGAGGGTAACCTGAGAAGGTAGTGGTAATGATAAAGTTTAAGAGGGTAACCTGACAAGGTAGTGGTAATCATAAAGTTTAAGAGGGTAACCTGGGAAGGTAGTGGTAATCATAAAGTTTAAGAGGGTAACCTGAGAAGGTAGTGGTAATGATAAAGTTTAAGAGGGTTACCTGAGAAGGTAGTGGTAATGATAAAGTTTAAGAGGGTTACCTGAGAAGGTAGTGGTAATCATAAAGTTTAAGAGGGTAACCTGACAAGGTAGTGGTAATCATAAAGTTTAAGAGGGTAACCTGAGAAGGTAGTGGTAATCATATAGTTTAAGAGGGTAACCTGCAGTTACAGACATTTGGTAATCATAAAGTTAAAATATAATTTAAAAACTTACCTTAACAGAAACTTCTGGCAGATAGTGTGGGTTTCTTATACAAGTTGTAATGTAAAACTTGAAATCACGGCTGTACTCAATAACTGAATCCCCAAGTCTTATATATTCCATGTTATTCTTGAACAAAATACACAAACATTTATATTAAATTGCAAAGAAATGTATAACGATTGTATTTAATGTTTTAAAAGAATTAAAACAAAATGGTGTACTTTGGAACCTTTGCAAGATCCAATACTGTAAAGAAAAGCATGCTTTGCTACCTTAACTGTACCTATTGTAATGTAAGCTAAACTTATATGTGCTCGAGCAAATGTTCATTGCTTACCTGTTTAAAGGTCTGTTTAAGTAAAATGGACTCCAAAATAGGATCCAGTTCTTCTCCAATATTTTCTAACAGGCAAGGGTTGCCAAACTATCAAATAATTTGAAAATAAGTGATTGATGTCAATGGAAATTTTTTTCAACCATTACAGCATTCATTCAAAAATATTTATATTGCATAGTCTGGTTTAAATTTTCACAAAACTTCAAACAAAAAGAGATTTGATTGATTTAAATGCTTAAAATGTAAAAGTTTTGACTAACCTGGATGCAGTTTTCCAATGATCTGACAAAGTTTGGATTGCTCAATTTAATGATCTCAAGTTTGTTGACCTTTTCCATATTCTTTATCCATTTATTGGCCTGACCTTGAGGGTCAATCATAAGGGGCCAACGGTTTGCACACATCACAATAATGGCATTGTCTATAGAGTATCTGAGAACAAACATCACAATAATGGCATTGTCTATAGAGTATCTGAGAATACACATCACAATAATGGCATTGTCTATAGAGTATCTGAGAATACACATCACAATAATGGCATTGTCTATAGAGTATCTGTTTGAGAACACACATCACAATAATGGCATTGTCTATAGAGTATCTGAGAACACACATCACAATAATGGCATTGTCTATAGAGTATCTGAGAACACACATCACAATAATGGCATTGTCTATAGAGTATCTGAGAATACACATCACAATAATGGCATTGTCTATAGAGTATCTGTTTGAGAACACACATCACAATAATGGCATTGTCTATAGAGTATCTGAGAACACACATCACAATAATGGCATTGTCTATAGAGTATCTGTATGAGAACACATTACAATCATGGCGTTGTCTATTTGTTTATGATTTTACAATTGTTTCACCATTTAATGACAAGATATTTCAAACTATCAACTTTTGAAATAAATACCATTTTTAAGTGGTTAACTGAAGAGCTATAATTATGTTTTAAAAAATTATCTTTTAAAATCAATGTGATGCTCGAACCATTAAAAAATGTGAAATTCAAATGATTACCTTTCTGAATAATTGTGAAATTTAAACGATCATCTTTTAAAAGAATTGTAAAGGTGAAATGATTATTTTTACAAAGAATTGGGAAAATCAAATGATTAGTTTTATAGAGGAGTGTACATGTGAAATGATTATCTTTCAAAAGAATTGTAAAAATGAAATGATCATCTTTAAAAGATCTGAGATAACTCACTGATCAGCAGGGAGTCCAGCAATGAGCCAGTCTCTGATTTTGACAGGGTCGCCCAGTGTGGTAGACAGTGAGAAGGAATCAGACACTGGAATATTTTTCTGTCTACACAGCTGTAGCCATCCTTGTGTGCAGCTCTAGGATCAGATTATACACAAAAATTTTTTTTTAATTCATAGGAAACTACACAGAAAAGATGCTACGATTTTATTAACAGAGTGAGTAATTTTAAATAAAGATTGTGAAGTGCAAGCTCATTGACAGCCAGCGCATACTTGTACATGTCCTAGCTCTAACCATTAGCACATTACCTGTTTAAAGTCAAGTAAAGGACCTACATGACCATTAGTACATTACCTGTCTGAAGTCAAGGATGAAAGGACCCAGTAACCTTTAGCACATTACCTGTCTGAAGTCAAGGACGAAAGGACCCAGTAACCTTTAGCACATTACCTGTCTGAAGTCGAGGATGAAAGGACCTAAGTAACCTTTAGTACATTACCTGCCTGAAGTCGAGGATGAAAGTACCTACATGACCTTTAGTACATTACCTGTCTGAAGTCGAGGATGAAAGGACCCAAGTATGCCACAAGACCAGCGGATATAAGCACATCACCAACAATGTTGTCATAAGTTTCATTTAATTCCTCCACATTCTGGAACAACAGACATTTCACCATGAAAGTTGAATGACTGGCACTAACAGATGTTTGACTTAATGTACTAGTACAGACTTTTTAAATAATGGTAGCCTACCTGTGTCCATCTTTCTTTTTCACCACCCAGTCCACTAATCAATTTATTGGCTCTGTCAATCTTTACTTTGGTCAGCTCAATGTTGTCCTCCAGGTTCTGTGAAAAAAGTACTCACATTATCTTTATCATGAAAATAGCACATACACATTTTTTACATAATGCTACTCACTTATTCTGTTTGTTACTTAATGAATTTAACATACAGCTTAACATAAAGGGGACAGCATGGCAGAATGGTAGAGAAATTTGCTGCTAGTCCAAAGGTCTTGAGTTCAGATCTTGGTATTAGTGATTGTAGGATGCCACTGAGTCCACACAGTTCTGATGGGTACCTAACTTAGGTTGGGTAAAGTAAAGGTGGCTGGGCTTAGTGCTGACCACAATATCCCTTCCTATATTGTGGTATCAACTCAAGCCCAATGGACCACAAGGTCTTAAGAAGAACTTCACTATAACTTTAAGCACAGAAACATGACTGAACATAAAACACAGGAACACTGCTTAAAATACCTTCTTTTCTGTCTGTTTCTGAGCAAGATTATCATTGAGGGCTTGCAGTTTGTCTGTCACAGACTTGAGCTCAGCTTGTTTCACTTTGAGTTTTGCCATCTGTACTGAGAGGGCGGCCTCAGCAGCCATCAAACTTTCTTTCTTTGGTGCTACAACCTGACATGAAATCAAAACTATATTACAAACTATCTGAGTGCTCAGTTAAATATACAGTTTACTGATGAAGACATTTTTTTATTAAATAACTTTTACTTAGATAACAGAACATTAAAACAAATAAAAAAGAAAACTAACCTTCACAACGCTATCATAAACATCAATGGCCTTGACCCATTTACAAAGACCTTCACATGCAGACGATACATTTTTTATAATAGCTGGATCAAATTCCTTGTTGGTGATGTATTTGTCACGAATCTTCTTGATGACAGGAGGTGGGATGTGGTCTTTGTCGTACTCTTTCAGGGACTCTAAAAACTTCATGTCTCCCAGCATCTGACATGTGAACATTTTAATTGATAAACTTTGAATACCAAAGTACATTTATGTTATGGTATAACAAGAATAAGATAAACAAGCTTTCTAAAACAGGATATTACAGAATGATTAGTTATAATAACATGTTTGCGCTTGCTACTGTAAGTGTAAATTATATAGCTAATCACTAGTGTAACTTGAACAGAATAAATACTTTTTTGGCAGCAGGCCAGTAGTCTTCTATTTGTTTCCCACTTGCATCATTCTTCATCACTGGTTTAATACCCTAAAATTATAAAAATTTTCACCAAGGTTTTTTCATAATTAATTTATAAAACTTTATTAACTAAATGAATAAAAATTAAACATTTGTTTTTTATTTGGAAATTTAACAAGGGAATGAACAGATATGAAACTTGTATAAAATGACCTTGTATTTACCTTCATAATACAGATAGACTCCATGACAAGTTTAACACCAGAAGGTGGATTTGTCATTGTTTTCACTATTGTGATGTCATTTTGTTTCAGGGTATCCAAGGCCGATATAGCTGCATTCATGGCTGGCATTGCAATTGATAACTTTTCTTCACAGTCAATCTGATGCAGGATAAATGATCAATGTTAAACTCTCAATCCTTTGTGTTAGGAAGTATCAAAATCTAAACATTATGTCTTTAAATGTAATGTGTTGATCATAATAAAACATTACATTATCTAATTTGTGAATATCATTAATCAAAACAAAACACCATTACGTTCTATGAGTGCATATCTGTTGATCAAAACAAAAATTATGTTGTATAATGTGTATATTTGTTTGGTCAAAACAAAACATTGGTTGTATAGCGTGTGTATGGATGTAGACTTTGCATCCCACTATGTGTGATGATACCTTGATAGCCTCGGCCTCCTGAGCTGCCTTATTGGCCACAGCCTCATCCAGCTCCACAATGCGCTTGATGTCCTCCACCTCAATGGTTTCCTTCTCTATGATGCCTATAAGTTCTTCTGTCTCCTGGCTCGTCTCTATTAGCTTAGGCTGCAAGTCTAACAGTTCAGTCTGCATCACATTGATCTAGTTCATAAATGGAGAAAAATTATTAATATCTAGTAAAAGCTTGTTAAATACATTTTCACCAGAAAAATATATGTATAAAGAAATGTTACAAGATAAACCTTCTATTAGAAGGGTTTTTAATAACGATTCTGATTGTAGATAACAATAAAAGGGTAAGAGCCCAATGAACCTGATTCTCAGAAAACCTGAGCTTCTCCAGTCCAACGTTGTATCTGTTCTTTAGTGTAAGGATCTGTAGACGTTTTTTGCCCAGTAGTGTTTTAAATGTCTTTATCAGCTCCAGGTAGGAGGTTGGAGTGACGTAGTTCACACGACGCATTACATCGTAGTACCTGGTTGTGTAATACAACGTTGCAAACTTTCAAAATGAACATTAATAAACACCATAGAGTGTAACCATTGGAAGATCTGATCTATTGTACAGACTTAGAGGTCTACCATACTAACAGTATATAAGATAGGTCATTTAGACCAGTAAATATATTTTGATGAAAGAAAAACTAACTTTTGTGACAGCGCTCTGACACTTTCATGGAAATGTTTACACATGACAACAGTCTGGTCCCTGATTTCTGTTGACATTTCCACCTCATCCAAGAACTTGTTAGCCACAAGTTCAAGGGCATCTTCTGGCCAGGCCTTTAGTAAATATCAAAATTAAATCAACAATTAGCTATTTGTGACTGTTTTTCATATTTATAGTTTAGATCTAAAATTTAACAAATTTAAATTTTAAAAATGCAAACTTACTTACAACTAACTGATAATATCGAAAGTATCTACTAAGTTGATTTTGTAACAAGCTTTTTAACAGCTGATTTAATAACGGTGAATAATAAAACCCAGTTTTAGTCAGTTAAGTCTAACCTCAAACTCTGCTGTATAATCCTTACCTTAAACCAGTCAATAGTGCAGCAGTTAATCAGAGATGGGAACATGCGCAGCCTGTTCCTGAAAGCTTCTCCTATAGGGCTGAAGGCCAGTACAACGTGAAGGTGCTTGCGAATGCGTTCAATAAATTTGTTGTACATGTTCAGAGGTGTGAACTCCATTTGTATGTTTTCTTTCTGGCAAAGTGTCTGCATCTGTACATCAGTCATGATAAATGTAAACAAATTTTCTTAAACCAAACATTTAGATTTTAGTAAATAAATAGACATGAAATGTAGACATTAATCAAGTAAAATATTTCAAACCTTTTCAATAATTTCAAGTCGTTCTTCATTTTCATACAAGTTTGGGATATCTCCTGTGTTTAACATCATGTTTACATCCTCAAGGAAAGATTCATCCTTCAACAAAAACACCAAGGTTATATTTTTTAAGGTTTAGAATAATGTCTAAATTATTTATTAAACAAACATTAACCAAGAAAATATTTTCTTCTCCAAATTTTTTACCTCAGATAATTTTAAAAACAGTTCATTTTTAAGTTATTGATTAATTAAGCTAAGAAAATGATTTGCCATAATATAACCACAGAAAACAAAAACATTTTACCTTGATTTGATGGTCACCAAACAGGAAAACTATGGACACGCCTAGATCACCTGCTCGGCGCATCATTTTACGCAGGTCATCTCTCCATTCATTGGTTGAATAATTTTTTGTGATCTCAATTTGGAAAAGCTCAAACTCTGACATAAATGCCGCTAGACGGGTGACACTCTGTCTACCACTGCCTCCAATTCCTGAATTTTTTTAAATTAGAAAATTATTATCATTATCAATTTTTTAAATCTAACAGGAGCAAATTTTACAAATTTTATTTTGAAATTAGTTATTGATACAATTTCTGCCAGTTCAAATAGCATACTAACCCACAAGCAAACAGTGACCATTTGGCTGTTTTAATACACGACTTATGCGTGATATATGTTCAATGGCAAAGCGGAACATAACCAGATCCATGGGTGCTTTACTGCTGAGGTTGTAGTCCTCAAGGAAACGTTCAACTGTCTGTGAAACAAAATTGTCTTAAGTAAATAATCAACCGTCTTTTTAAAAAAGTACCATTATTACCATTTATTAAATAAAAAATTCTTAAAGAAAATGCTCAAATGCCTTTAAAGAAATAGTTAAAATGTCTGTAAATTTTAAAAATGTCAACATTCAAAACTACTATCTCTGGGAAAGTTCATATTAAATGATTTGTTGTGTCCCCTTCAATTATTAGTTATCTCCCCTTTGAATTGAGTTTAAAACTGAGATATGATGTGTGTTCACAAGAATTGCGTTCTGTTACAATATGTTTGCTGATAATTAGATGTTCTGCATAACATCGATAAGGAGTGTTCAATAACAAAGAGAAAAAATTTGTCTAATATATTTGTGTGATTTGATTTATTTTTATTATTCATTTAACAAGTAATTATTTTATTACCACCTTAATTAGGTATTAAATATTGTTTGTCTTCAAATATTTAACCAGTTGATAAAACCATCAATATTATGTTATTCAATATAAACTTAGTAAGCTACCAATAGATGAAGGGCAAAGACACCAGTTGTACTGGTTATCACTATACAAAATATTTGATTGTTCAGAAAGAAAAAAAAAGTAAAAATGTAAACCTATATTATCTCAATTAAAAAAAGACAGGATAAAAAATGCCATAATACAAAAATGTCATGATACAAACATGTTCTGATTGAAAAAATGTCAAGATAAAAAAATAACGAAAAAAATTGTCATGATTAAAACTGTCATGATTAAAAAAATGTCACATCTACCTCCCTGAGCTCTGTGAGGTTCTGTATCTCATCATACTGCCGTTCATCCCCTTTGGATTTGGTTATGAAGTCACCAAAGATCAAAGCTCTGATATCCTCATCTACAATCAGTTTTCCTGGTTCTACAATGTGACTAAAGAGAGTGTTCAATTTTTCCTTGAAGTGAATCTCCACTCCATGCTGTAAACAAAAGAAATGTAACAATCCAATCTTTGTTCCTTAATTCTTTTTAAAATACTTTAACAATGAAGCTGCACACTTTCAAAAAGACAGTTGACAACATTACTAAGTGCATTGGAGTGGACCAATAAGGAAAGAGGAAAAAGGGGAGATAAAAAATTACATGGAGGAGATAATTTGAAAGAGAGATTGGGGAGGCTGGATTTCACGGCTTGAACTTTAAAAAGTGGCCAGATATCTTTGGTGAGGTCTCATCCTGACCCTATGCTCCCCATGGAGCTGAGTGACAGGAATAAGAAAGACGTTACATATTTAAAAACAGATTCTTCATTTTATTACTGTTCTTATAAATATATAATATATATGCATAATGCATAATGCAGGAATAAATCAATTTGTTTCGATGAGTCTATAAACAAATTTATTAGCATTAAGTACCCACCTTGACCATTTTAAAGAACTGGTCCCTGTCATCATCATCAACCAGACGGTCATAGAAGACCCTGTAGACCTCGTGGATCCACAGTCTGGTGATCTTCTGGTTACCCTCAACACTTGTGGACACTAGGCCGGGCTTTAGCAGCAAGATGCCCTTCAAAATACAAGACAAAAGTAAAGGTAATTTAAGAAATTTTATGGAGGTTAAAGAAAAATTACAGAATTAAACACAAGCATTATCTAAACCCACTTACCTGCTATTTGTTGAAACTTAATTACCTGAAATTTTTCAAGAAACAATTACCTGAACTACTCTAGCAAAGTCTCGGAGGTTGAACAGGTAGTGAGATTTGGATGGAGTTGGTAAAAAGTTGGCTATAGCATTGAGGTAAACTTCTAGAGTTGCTGCTATAATGATCTGTTGATTAAAAAAAAATTCTATTTATAAGAATTGTTTATTGTGAATATAATAGTTATTTTTTATTGACTTAGCTTATTTTTAAACACACATTTTCCTAATACTTAAAAAAAACATTTAAGTGTGTGGCTCTACAGCTTATAATAGAGTCAAGGCTAATATAAATAACACTTTGTTTCAAGACCAATTTAGTATGTGAAGATCTGTGAATCTGGTCAAGGTATGTGCATCACCCAATGATATATTTACCCTTGAGTATTTCCTCTGTGAGGTCTCATAAGATTTAAAGTGCCAGTCAACAATAGGGGCGAAGATGTTCCTCATGGTGTCCTCACTAAAGCTCTCAATGCCAATCACATTGAAGTGTCGCAGGAAGCGAGGGGTCACAGTGTTTCTTCCTCCACCAGGTGGGCCCATGGCTGACAGCATTACAATGTCAACCAGGTGAAGGACACTTGTGTCTTTTCTGTAAGATTTTTAGACCATCAATAAATATTACTTACTTAAAAGTGTATGTTATATTGGTTACAAAACATAAAGGTTTTTAAATTACTTATCCTGTTCATTAGGTTATTACATTTTTTTTTTTAAACATAGCAACTTAAGATTCTTGCACTGATGTCCTATTGCCTAGGTTAATCTTTTTATTAATTTCTTAAATTAATGTTATTAAATTTTTAAAAATGGTATTTAAAAAAGTAAAGAAATTATTTTACAAGAAGTATTTAATTTTTAAAATGTTGACTGTTAATGAAATTTATTCAGAAAAATTGTGATGTTATGGAATTAATCTTTTCCTTTTAAAAAAGAAAGTTATAAATTTTAAATGAACCTTTATATTCTGAACTCAACATACATAAAGCAACATCTGATAACTGGGTCTCATAATTTAAGATTGTAAATAAACATCTGAAACAAACAGAACTCACCTGTCAAACCAGAACTTGTGATCAATCCACTGTCTGAGGATCTCTATAGGAGGCTGAGCTCCGTACCTTTCTTTGGCTGGCATGTTGAGATCATCAACAAAAACACAGAGTTTTTTACCTAACTGTGGCCCATATGTTCCTTTTTTGCGCCTGGGTGGTATAGACATGTTTAAAATGTAGACACAGTTCATGGGTGAAAATGTTATAAGAAGCTTTATGTATAAAATAATTTAAATTAATTTTTTTATAGAAAAAGTAATAAAAAAAATATTTATAAATTCACATAGAGAAAAATGCTTTAGATTGATCAAAATAATAAAAAATCTATTTAGAAACCTGTGAACAGAAACAATGTATTACATAAATAAGAAAATATATGTAGGCTTATAAATTAATACAAAACACTCCCACTACCTCTCCAGTTTTGAGAAAATAATATCTTGAGTTTGATTGGCTGAAGTCTGAGCTGAGAAGTTTATGTTGTTTATGACATACTTATCTCTTGGTAACTGTTGTAGATATATATTGAAAAATTAATTGATTAAGCTACAAAAACATTTTAAATTAATTTTTTTTATTTAAACCATTTGTGGGAAACTATAGCTATTACACTTGCCAGCTCCAATCAAACACTCATATATACCTCTAGAAGGTAGCTGTTTGTTATTGCACTCTTTCCAGTTCCAGTGGGCCCAACAAACAATAACGGCAAATCTTTCTGAAGAAATAGTGCCAAGAAATAGCGCTGTCGTTCTGTCTCCACTGTGTTAATTATCAATGAGTTGATCTGACAATATTACATCAACAAAAATTAAAACAACATGCTTGAAAGTTTCTTCTAGAATGTTATATCTAGAGGAAATAATATTTAACATAATACAGCAGCATAGAAAAAAAATTAATGAAGTTTTCTTTTCGTACTGGTATTTTTTTATAATTTAAAATATCTAAAATGTTTAAATAATACAAGTGTTTTCATTATGTTTTAATTTATAGAAGTTTAAAAATCTATCTGCAACTACATTTTTTTACATGTTTCTTCCCACAAAAAATGGTTTTATTTTGATAACAGTATCAATATATATTTTATGTAATATATAGTATGTGTATTTTTAAATATTTGATGAATGTGTACAACTAATATGCTCATTTACATTTTATTTGATTAAATAAAAGAATATATTGATATAGGCTGATAGTGATATACAACAATAACAGTGTATACAAACATTAAGTACTGCATAACACACATTTTAAATTTAAGCTAACAATAAATATAAAATTTTAAAGGAAAAAAAATAGGACATAACATTTGAAATTATTCTAAAACTTTTTTGTGGAAAAATTTGAGCAATAAATAAAGAAATAAATCAGTTTAATTTTGATTTACAGGCAATTTAAATCATATTTACACTTCAACACAATACACATTTAAAATTATTTGTAGCAACACAGCAGGGGAAAACACAACATGTAAAAAAAAAAACACAACAGAAAGATAAACAAGCACAGGTTCTTATATTAGCTTTATGTATGGTTATATGATGGTATGTGAACAAAATAGGACTAATGTATGTATGATTTTCCACAATAATTGTTACAAATGATATATTTTATACAGTGAAAATATGTTGAAAGTAACAGGTATGAAAAGATATGATGAACTTATGATGGATCGTTATTAGAAAAGAAATTTAACATGAGATAATTAAAAGGGAAATTTATCACAGTTTACTTACTATCTATTAGCATGACTTATTTTACATTCAACCCTTTACTGATATTATTTAACTTGAATTTAGTTTTCCTCTAACCATAAATACTTATAAAGGGTTGATACCTTTACTAACTAATTAACATTCCTTGATTTTTGAAGCGTATTTAAAACTCAATTTGAGTTTATAACAGGCAGATTAAATTTAGAATGTGTTTAGTCCACACAACTTTAATAGACCCAGAGGCATGTACAGAACAGGTTACTGTGGGATCATTAAAGTACACAAACATCAAAGTGCAGATGGGTTATCCAGGTGAGTTACAACAGACCCTAATCTTACCATAATCCTTAGCTCCTGGCCTTGCTGTGGTGAGAACATACACAATTTTAACTACATTTATACTTGGTGTATTGTAATAAGAGGTGCAGGTTTTTTAGTTTCTTTAATTAATCAGAGTTAACCAACAGAATTAATGAACATAAAAAACATTTTTTTTTCTTTAAGAGAATATTGTAAAAAATAAACTACTTGTTAGTAATACTCCTGATTAGCACATTAAGACTTAAGCAGTTAATCCTAGAATTGTTAACAAAAAAATCTGCTAAGTAACAAGTCATGTAAGGCCTACAGCTATAACTACAGATGCTAAAAATTGTTTAATGGTATTTAGTTTTTTAAAAATTATAACAGTCTTAAAGTAAGATACATGACAAAATAATTTTTTTTTTTGTAGAGCATCTTGTAAGACAGTAAACTCTTTAACTAGTTTTCTTTATTTATATAACCAGCAGAGTGTATGATAAGCATTTCAAGTTATTGGTTATATATAGTGAAAAAAATAAATAAAATCTTTTTCTAGACAAAACAGAATGGTGAAAAACTTATAGATGTGAAATATACAGTGTGGAACATTTGAAAATAAAAAGTAAACTTTTCTAGCATTACCAGATCTCCCGTAGACAGTGAACCTTGAGGCTTGTTCTGTTGATGAGAAAGAAAAAAACAATCAGGTATAAGTTGTCTACTTTTTCTGCATTTTAAATAGAAATATTTTAAAATGTGAATATATGCTGTGTGATTTCCCATAGTTGAGATCAATTAGTTACTTTCTTCTAAGTTGCAAAACTCTTTCTAAAAATGTAATCAATATGGTATACATGGAGTTTATAGCATAACTGCTGACCCCCTTATGATAATAAGTATTATTGAACATATATATATTTTTTTTTTTACATTAGGAAATTACTTTTTGCTAAATCATAAAAAGGATGAGTAGGAGTGGTGTTAGCCATTCATACAGAGCATATTTATCAAACATTTGCAATATTTAATTTAACTTATCTCCTTTTTATCAAAACTATTTCCTGTAGACCAACAGTAAATGTACGAACTAATATATTGGTAGATTCAGTGAAGCCATTACCTTGATGGCCTGTGGAATAGACAAAAAATAAAATTTTACAACTTGCTTTAAATCATTTTCATGTTCCTATAGAGCTAACCTTAATAGTTTTCACAACTTGGTACACTTATATTTTTGTATTGATATCAGAGTAATTCATCATTGTGAATTCAACTTAGTTAATAAATCTCTTAAATAGCCTACAAATAAAATTAAAAATATAGTGTAGTTTAGTTTAATCTTAAATTCCAATTGAAAAATATTTTTCTAATGAAAAGGGAGGGAAATAATAAGGGAGAGAAACCTACCTGAGCTTTATCATCAATGTTTACAGCAGTGACTAAACTTGTCCATGGACTCCAGGAGCCAAACTGTTTTCTAATGAAGACATGATCATACACCAGTCCTTTCTTGGGGATAAGGACAGCTCTAGGAAACTTCAGATCTTTAGGTCTAGGATAACAAGACATGTAACATTTTAGAGAATTTAGAAAAACAGCTCTTCAGATCTTTAGGTAACCATTGACAACTTTACAGATTCTAAGAATATGCTTCATTCATCTCAAAGCAGCCACACATAATGCAGCCTTCATAGTAATAACAAAAAAACAAAATCTTTGTAAGTCTAGTATTTTACTGTATGGTATTGCATAAATAAACTAAAAATTTTACAAGTATTTTAAAGTCTTTTTTTTTAATTGTAGATTTAAATTTCCACAAATGTAAATCAATAATTTTTAAGTAAATAAAAATGTTGCTATTTACTTGGGATATTGGTCCTTAGATCCCTCCATGTCACACAACTCCCTAAAGAACTGGTCAAACATGATGCGTGAGTTGTTGTCTAAGGTGGCCCCAACAGCCCAGACTACAGAGAACATGAAGTAGGCCACTGTCATGTTGGTCCTCTCCTCCTCCAGCTTCTTCTCATTCAATTTTAACCCAGCAGTCCCAGTTGCTTCCCCTTCTACACCTTCCTTGCTTTCTTCATCTAAAAACTCTTCCTCTTCATCCTCATCTTTACCCACTTTCCTGTTTTAGAGTAGTTTAAATCAATCTTTATAATATGAATCAATTAAATGATATTTGCTGTTTCTCATGTGACTGTTAAACTTACTTAACTTCCTCCATGAGACAAGAGTACAACTTCAACAAACTAACTGTGTAGTGCATGGGGTGGAGCTGAAGAATGTGTTTACATGATCTGCTCACAAAATTCAAACATGGAGGAAGAATCCACTCAAATAACAGCTGAAAACAGTTTAAAGAACTGCATAAATCATACAAACAAATCATATTTTAATCTTTTAAAGTGTATAATTACATTAATATTTTAAATTCCTAATAATAACTAAAGAATAAAAGATTTTTAAAAAATCAACGACAAAAAAAAACAATTTATTAGACACAAAAAATGTAGAGACCAATAAAAACAAAAACAATTTCAAACCCTGATCATGTCCTTTTGTTCCTTTTTTAGTGAGTCCGGCAGTTGAGTGGCCATCCATGATGTGACTAGTGGTTCCCAGCCCAACTGCAATGGGTCCATGTAGATCATTCCACACCTGATGGATTACGTAGCACACATTCACAATACCAATATTAAAAAAAAACTACTTAAATACAACAGTAATGCACAGACGTAACTGTACACTTTATAGGAAATATTATGTTAAATTGCTTATATTGTAATGGATCAGTTGTAGGTTAGATTAGAATAGGTTAGAATAGTTTCAAACATAAGGGAGAGGCTTGTGTTAGTTAATGCAATCCCGGGGTGTTTAAGTATTGTTACCCACAGGTGAAGTGTGGGTATAAAAACTGGGTTGAATGATTATGAGGGGGTTGTTTATAGTGGATTGGGTATATGGCTTGTGGTGTAATGGTGAAGATGAGAAGTTAAATAAAGAATTGACCAGTGCCTTGAATCATGTTTGTCGTTGAATGAAAGTTTGAACGTAACATACATCACAAGCATTATTATATCCTTCATTACCTGCTGACTGTGGCAGGTGAGGCTTGTTCCAAGTCCTGAGGTTCAAAGATCATGTTTTGTGTGTTGTTCATTTGTATAATCTCTCCACTCATTAGACAAAGCTAGGGGAAATTAAAAAACAAAAACTTATTTATAGAAGAGAAAGCTAGGAAAAACAAAAAAATATTTACAAAAGACAAAACTAGGGGAAATAAAGAATGTATTTACAATTAAAATTGTCTTAAAGACCCAACATACTTTGACTTTCTTTATGAATTTAACTAGATTAGCCATTTAGTCTTTGCTAATAAATGTTTTCAGTATGAGTAAGGATATAAAAGATGTCAACTAGACATCAATACGTAGACAGATATTTGTAAAATCATCTTGTCCTCAAGTTACTTGTAAACCCCAGCAACATAAACCTAAACCAACCTTCTTATTATCATCCAGCACTGTGTTCATGTTTTCAATCCACACAGCATCTACTGGCCCATCAAAGATGATCCACTTCCTACTCAGGTTTGTGTTGGATGCATGCTCTCTAAAAGTGTTGGCTAAAACACCTACAATCATTCAGGTTTTATTGCATTACTCTCTCAGTCCTCATTTGCTTTTTTTTAAAAACATATTACTTAAAATAATATCTTCAATTTTGAGATTAGAAATACATACAACAATTTTTTTTTTAAATTAAGTAATTTTGAACTTTATCAAGAGATTTTCGATTTACCATCTGTCCATTCATGAGAGACAGGATCAAATCTTCCATACAGCTGACCCATTGTGATAGCTTTAGGATTAATGATGCTGTATATAACCTAGAACATCACATTAAAAAGATGACTTAATAGATAAATCTTCAAATAACAATAGCAACATTTAAATAATAATAAATTTGTAAAAAAAAAAAAAAAAAAAACTTTTATAAAAATTACTTTATGTACATTCCATGAAAAATGTGAGCAACACTGAGTAACGACTTACTGGATTTTCTTCTATGAGACCTGCTTCATGCAGTGAACCCAGCGCTGAGGCTAAAGTTTTAAATGCTGATGTCTTCCCACCTAATGGGTCCCCAACTATCATCAAACCATGCCTCACAAGAATCATCTCATAGATCTAAACAACAATGGTGGAAAAGGTTTATTCTCTTTCTATTCTTCATGTGTTCACTGTTAAAGCTAATGATTGTCTAAAAGTCTAAATAATAAAGCTTGCAGTCAAGTGTGTAATTTATGCTACAATGTTAATTACAACACACATGAATATTTACAAAAATAAACATTTTAAACAAAATCAGGTTATATATAAGCTATTTTATTATATTTGTTATACTTGGTGTTAGGTGGAGTGAAATAAAGATTTCTTGATTGATTTTGTTACTAAATCAAGAGAATCTTACTTGTATAATTTTGTAATGTAATCAAGAGAAGCTTACATGTATAATTTTATTATGTAATCAAGAGAAGCTTACTTGTATAATTTTGTTATGTAATCAAGAGAAGCTTCCTTGTATAATTTTGTTATGTAATCAAGAGAAGCTTCCTTGTATAATTTTGTTATGTAATCAAGAGAAGCTTACTTGTATAATTTTGTAATGTAATCAAGAGAAGCTTACATGTATAATTTTATTATGTAATCAAGAGAAGCTTACTTGCATAATTTTGTTACTAAATCAAGAGAAGCTTACATGTATAATTTTATTATGTAATCAAGAGAAGCTTACTTGAATAATTTTTTTAATAAACCAAGGCACTGGCTGCAAATTTGCCTTCTCCATCTTCTCCACAAGAGCTTTCTCCAGACAAACATAGTCAGGTGTAGGTAGTGTCACACCAGGGAAAAGGTCAGAGGTTATGCCATTAAACAACTCAATGTCATCAGATAAAAACTGAAAATTATTTAAAAAATTCATGTCAGAAATAGTTTTTTAAAGTCTATCTGTATTAATTTTCTAACATAGGGAAGGTTTAATTAAATATCCCATGCCTTTATAAAAAGGCCTAGCATCTACTTTCTACCTTTGGTAAATTAACATCATTGATGGACCTCAAGACAAGAACATCTTCTTCAAGGTCAGGGTATTTCAGCTTCAAGTTGCCTGCAGCAGTAAGCACTGATTTCACAGCTCTCATACCATAATCATAGTGATGTTGAGATGAAAGCTGGATACAGAAAATGTATGTGCATTTTGTAGTTTTTTTGTTTTTTTTTTAAATTCATTATCAATGTAAAAGACATTTTATGTCCTACCTGTTCTGAACACAATCTATAGGTGGCGACAATTTTAGTGGCAAGACTCCGAGAGCTAACAAAGCCATTGGAGTAGAGGGAAATTTCTGCAATCATGGCGTAGTCAGGTACCATCATGGCAACAGTGCGAAACAAAACCTGTCAAGATTCATGTAAAATACGAACATATTAAAAAATGTCAATATTTAGAAGACTTATGTAGGATTAATGTTCTAAAATTATTTTATTATATTTTTTTATTAAAAGCTCAATTATTGCTTTTTTTTTTTTAAATAAATCAACAATTACAGTTATTCATTATTATTATTGTTTAAATTCATTAAAAAATTCCAAAGGCAGATTAAAACATTACACTTTTAAATTTGTATTTTGAAGATTACATCAAACAAGGCAAGAACACATTCAGAAAACCCAAAGAGTCATTATATAAATTAATTACTGTTCTACATTTAAGCCTAGTCTAATTCTAAAGATTGTAGAGAACAATAAATTAAAATGAATTATTAATAAAGATATTACTTTCAAGTTATCTGGCAATTCAGCTCTGCCAGCATAGCCAGGATTCATGGTGATAAAAATAGTGCAGGTTGGATCTAAAGATATCTCTGTACCCTCAAACACAAAGGTTGATGCCTTGTCAATGATGGCTCTCTGAATTGTCTGAACTTGTTGCGCAATTACAGATAACACCTAAGAATTGCAAAATATAAATACCTTACAGATAATTGAAATTCTATAAACAATTGAAAGTTTATTGACTTATTTTAAAATTTTTAAAAATAGACATTTTAATTAAGTTTTAAATCAGGTAAGCTATAATTATATTAATATAAAGAATAACTAGAATTATTATTATTTTAAGAAATTTTACCCAAAAAAAGCCATCACTAACCTCTAGTTCTATTCTGTTGAACTCATCAAAACATGCCCAGGCTCCAGACTGAGCAAGGCCTTTAAAAAATTTACCCATAGCTTTATAGTCCAAACCATCAGAGCAATTAAATACCACACACTGAAAATAGAGCAATTGAATACCACATGTGAAAAACAGCACAATTGAATAACACATGTTAAAAACAGGAATTGAATAACACACACTGAAAACAGAGCAATTGATACCACATACTTAAAAGAGAGCAATTGAATTAAATAGCAATTAAATTAAACAGAATAAATATTCACATGAAATGAAATATTAAATGCAATGTTTTATCTAAATAGTGCATATTTTTTACAATTTTTTAAAATGAAATTTCTAAAATAACCAAACAAATGTATTCTAAAGATGTTAGAGACAATAGACTGACCTGTTTGGCCACTGCTTTAGCCAAGTCTTTAGAAGTCTCAGTCTTGCCTGTACCAGCAGGCCCTTCTGGTGCACCACCAAGGTTAAGGAGGAGGGCACCCATCAGTGTCCTATAACAAAGGTTTCAAACATTTGTAAGGACAGATAGACCAAGTCATACAACCAAGGTTAAGGAGGAGGGAACCCATCAGTGTCCTATAACAAAGGTTTCAAACATTTGTAAGGACAGATAGACCAAGTCATACAACCAAGGTTAAGGAGGAGGGCACCCATCAGTGTCCTATAACAAAGGTTTCAAACATTTGTAAGGACAGATAGACCAAGTCATACAACCAAGGTTAAGGAGGAGGGCACCCATCAGTGTCCTATAACAAAGGTTTCAAACATGTGTAAGGACAGATAGACCAAGTCATACAACCAAGGTTAAGGAGGAGGGGACCCATCAGTGTCCTATGACAAAGATTTCAAACATTTGTAAGGTATATATATACCTACACTTCTAAACTAAATTGCTAGATAACTATGCTTGCCATATATAAACCCATATGTTCCTAGATTTAACAAACCTGTAACATCTGTCTGTAAGGGGAGTGATAACAAGGCGCCCAGAGTTGCCAAGATACTCATAGGCATAAGCAACACTGGTAGTGATCATGCGAACATTGCATAAGGACTCCTCATAATAGTATCTGAGCTGAGAGATCCATGAGAAATCATCAGGACTGGATGTGCCAATAGAGAACAGGTTACTTATCACATCTCTTGCTGCAACAATTGTTCAGAATAGCATCTATTAAGGTATATGTTATTAACAAATTGTTACTTAATAAAAATGGAAACAAATTTATATGACTGAATAAAATGGAAACAGTATTAAATTACTATTTAATAAGGCTTTTTCAAAACACTAAATGTGTGTACAGTTCTAGCCCAAAGGATATCACTGGTACATGACTGAGTATAGTAAAAGCCGCTAGAGTAGAAACTGCTAAGAAACAAATCTCTTCACACGCAAAGGTCAAAAGATACAGAACAAAATATTCTTCAGCTATTTGAGATGGTACTTACACTACTTGACAATATCAGTGTAGTAGAAACTTTAGCAAATAATTTTAACAAAAACTATAGATTTAAGTGTAACAGCATCAAATAATGCATCAAATAATTTCAATTCTCACCATGAACATCAATGACAATTAGAGCTCCTAATGTTATCCTCGCCATCTTAGTCAGTTTTCCTCTAACCATCTCCACAATTTCTTCCACTTGTTTGTTGCTGCGTGCCAAGTAGGCTTTTAATCCTCCAAACCTTATTGCCTGGACAGAACATGGAAGATTTTTTTATGCCAAATACTAAATTATTTAAAATACAGGAGATATAATTTTCTGTAACTCTTTTAAATTACCTTCATCAATTTTATAAAAGTCAATAAATGAATAAAATGACCATGAAATATGTAAAAAGGGCTAAATGAAATTAGATTTTAAGAATGTTTACAATTATGATTTGGTTAATCTCATACAATAAATGAAACGTCGAATATTAATAATAAAATATGTCAGCAAATGTTACTACTACTAATAATGAACGGAATGCTGATGATGAGATACCTGAGTAACTTCTGCTGTCCAATGAATCTGGCTAGCTGCTAAAACAATCTGACCTGGCCACTGCAATACCCAGTCCCCTCTCTTTGTGCTGGGGTAAACTTTGACAGCTTTTCCCATTTCTTCCCTTAAACTCAATTTCATCACTTCCTCAACCTGACGACCAAATATCATTTTATTCAGGAGAGAACACACAGGTTTGCATACAACAGCACTCTATTTTTATAAAATATTTAATTCACGTAAAAAAACAATGTAATTATTCATACAGTGAAGGTAACAATAATCTTACAACATCGTTACATTGGTTGAATAGTTGAGCCAAGTAAAAATATTTTACTCTCAGAGTGGAGAACCCTTAAAGTAGATTTATAGTTGCACACATCACACATCAGGACCACATTTGTTGAATAGTCAAGCCAACTTTAAAACAAAACTAACCTGCTGTAATACAACATATAGTAACTCTTCTGCTGTAAAAAAAAAAAAAAAATAAACTGCTGCAACACAACTTGATGTAATAAAAAAAAAACCCACCTGCTGTAACCATCTTTCCACCAGACCCTGTGCATCAGCTGGAATAATTTTCCTGGAGAACTTGACTCTTTCCTTCTCTGCTGACTCCATAGCTGTTATAACTTTCTCAAGAGTGAAGGTCAAGCATGCGATGCCTTCAAAACATTTCTTTAAGTGAGGCTGTACACGCAGTGGGTCTTTGGTTTCAGACAGTATCTCAAGTAGCTCATCATTGGACAAAAAGAAAAACCTAAAAGTAAAACAAAAAAATATTAAAATTAGTAATCTTATATTAATTCATGAGTTGTTTTTTTTATCAAACATTTTATCAAAGTCATTTATTCAATTCTTTCTACCAAAACCTCACCCTAACCTTACAGCAATACCAGCAGATCAAATTCTTATTGGCATTTTATACAAATCCGTAAACTTTTTTAAACTCACAAAACCAACAAGTTTTATGACACATTAAATATGAATGCAAACATAAACTTTCAAATCAATACATAGATTTTTAAATCTTTGTTTCCTTACACATGTAAAATATGCAATGGTAATAATAAAGTTTGCGATATATTACTAACTCATTGAGGTCTAAATATGTTTGCTTGTATAAATAATTATAGTGATAAAAAAACTGAAGGCTCACCTGGGGAAAAACAGCCTCTTCTTTTCTAAATAGTCATTCAAACCTTTTTGGATGTCATCTAACATTGACTGTAAATACAAATTTATTTTCAAATATTAGATTTTTTTTTTTTTTAAAACAGCTAAAATTATGAATCACTAAAATTTTAACAAGGTCTTATAAATATTGATCTAACGCTATAATAAAACTAAATAGATATTGATGAGAATTTTTTTAAAATGTTTTCTTAATGTATTATGAAGTCTCTAAAAATATTGTTCTAAAGGAAACATTATAAAACTAGCATTAACCTCTGAGTGCTGTAATTTTTCCAACATGGCTTCTTGTGAGACAACAACCAAAGCCTTCGTATTCTCCACTGACTTTAGCATTATCTGGCGCCTTTGGAAAAACAAAGGAAATTACACACAGACCATTTTATACTGCAATTTTGAAACAATGCACAGAAAAACAGACACCTTTATGGAATTTTTACCATCAGATTTCTAAGTCTAACATAAGGTAAGTCTGGTTTAACTAGACTAACCAATGCGCATCCACTTCTTCAAACATCTTCCCTTCCACTGGAATCTGATTGCGGATGTCTTGAGAACCAAAGATAGGCTCCAAGTACAACCAGGCAGACTGAACTCTCAACCAAGAGTCAAGAATACTTTTCATGCGATGCTGAAATAAAAACAAAATTTAAAAAAAAACACCAGCTGAACAAATGTACATGAAAATTGTAGGTATTAGTATTTTAATTACCAATAAATTATCCCATTTGTTGATTTCATCTTCAAATGGCTTGATAAATGGGGAGCCTTTCATGGTCATGGTTTTCACAATGTGATCCTCCAAGAGCACCTGGATGAAACATGGTAATAACAAAACATTAACAACAATGGGTCTAATTTAGAGAAAATAATTGTATTAGGTTACAATATGATTCACTTGTATAATTAAATCATATTAATTTTTTAAAATTATCTACTAACTACTTTATGTTAACTATGTTATCAGGTGAAAATGCCTTAAAAATTCACAAACCTGAATATCATCAAAGGATGCCAGGATGGAAACTCCTGAATCTTTGTAAGTTACAAACTGAAACTGCATCCCTCCCCAATCATCTTTCATCCTTTTCAGAGCCTGGCAAGAAAAAGTAAATATTATAGAAAATATTAAGAGACGGCATGGCCTAGCGGTAGAGAGCTAGACTGCTAACTCGAGAGTCTCAAGTTCAAATCCGGGTTCGAATCAGTGGACCGTCCCTGAGTCCATCCAGCTCTGATTAGGGAAACAAAGGTGGCTGGGCATAGTGCTGGCCACTCTATCCCTTCATATGCTGAGGTCAATGAATCAGATGAACTCTACTTCATCTGCCCTATGTGTCTTGGGCACGAAGAATTAAGAAGAAGAAGATAGTAAATATTAACTGTAATTACATATTACCAATTATGAATTAAAAGCAATAGTATTAAAACAATGGCAGATACATTTAATCCTTATTAGAGTAAAATTTGAAGCAACAAATTTTTTACTGAAGATGTTTTTAACAATATGGTCAATATACCTTCTCCAGAGCATATTCTTTACTGGCCTGAGAGCTGATACCTGTCAAGTCATCCAGATATTTCTCTAAACCAAGCTGTAAAATCTCTTGTAAAGGTGTGTCTGGTTTAGGTGTCACATTAAATCCAACCTACAGAAAACATGTTCAAAATAATTAAAGGTGTGTCTGGTTTAGGTGTCACATTAAATCTAACCTACAAAAAATATTTTCAAAATAATTAAAGGTGTGTCTGGTTTAGGTGTCACATTAAATCCAACCTACAAAAAATATTTTCAAAATAATTAAAGGTGTGTCTGGTTTAGGTGTCACATTAAATCCAACCTACAAAAAATATTTTCAAAATAATTAAAGGTGTGTCTGGTTTAGGTGTCACATTAAATCCAACCTACAAAAAATATTTTCAAAACAATTAAAGGTGTGTCTGGTTTAGGTGTCACATTAAATCCAACCTACAAAAAATATTTTCAAAACAATTAAAGGTGTGTGTGTGTGTATTGAGTGTCATATGAAATCCAACCTGCAAAAATTATTTTCAATCTACTTATATTTCAAATATGCTTAATTGTTGGTTTTTTTAAAGTCCTAAAGAAAAAATTAAAATTATATAAATCTAAAAATATCAAGACTTATAAAACCATCTTTTTACCTTCTCACTCATCAAATTCCAATGTCGCTGTTTGATTCCAGGGTTACATAAAGCAGTGATAAGTGGCATATTGATCTTAAACTTCTCAAGTTTGGCTTTGATTGTTGCTGAGGCTCTCATTGGACCTTTAAACTCAGAATGTGCAAACACTTTGGTCAACTTGTATGCAGTACGCCAGAGGTTTTGAACCTGATAAATTAAAAACATATTTTAATAACTGTTTATATGAATAAAAAACAGTACAGTTTGAGTTATAGCAATATATTTATTGAATGTTAGTTGCAGTACAGTTTCAAACATCCTAAACAAAAAGCTGGAAAAAATTTTTTTTAACACATAGAGATTTTATTTCTTTTGTTTCATATTTCACTTTAGCACCCAATTTTGTTTCTTTTACATAGAAATCAATACTTTAAAATCAATATTACAATCATATTACACTTATCATTTTTTAAATAAACAGGAAAAATTGTGAGTATTTTTGTGGTGTAGGTAGTAAAGAAAAATTGGGGTTAAAAAAGAATTCCAGCAAATAGTGTTTTAAAAAATCAGGGCAGAAACTATAACTTTGAATTGAACTCACCCCTTCCTCCACATCTTCAGCATTGACTTCAAGCAGTGGCCCATTCATCCATTTGTCATGGACCTGGTGGAAAGTCACTGCTGTTGACCACAGCTTTTCATAAGGCTCTTTACGAGCAGCAATATCCTCAATCTGATGATATTCTGTCTGTGTGTCTAGTGCAAGCATCTGCTCCTCCACATTGATTTTTAACTTCTATAAAACAAATGAACTATTTTAATAAAAATATACTATAATGTGTGCAGCATTAATTTAAATAATTTTTTTAAAAATAGTTCAAGTTTTTGTGAATGTTTTTTATAATCTCACATCACTAGATGGTTGTTTACCTGTATAGACTTACCTCTTCTTTAAAAAGTTCAAGTTTCTGTGAAATGTCCTCTAGCTCAGCCACATATTTGTCTGCCTCTGACATGCGATCTTTGGTGCCAAAATCTTTAACTTTCTTCACATATTCCTCAAGTAAACTTTCAAACTGCTTCTTCTTTTCTTTCAACTTATTACATGCCAGATCATGTTCTCTTTGCAGTTTATTCTCTCTAGACAGTCAATAAATAGTTTAGCAACAGTTACAGGGGGATATTTTATTTATACTTTAAATGTTGGGTATTGTTTCAATTTTAGTGTTGAACAAAATGGAGCTTGTACAACAGATAAAATATATAAAATAATTGCAAAACTAGTTGTATTATTTCTGTAGAATATAATGAAAAACTAGATAAGTTTCAAAGTTGATGGTAAAAATAAAACAAAACTTACGCATTCCTGACAATAGGACCAATGCGTCCAGGCCAAGTGAATGTGGTGTTGTTAACAGTGATGTCCTCCTTAGGTAGGTAAGCATACTCCATGAGAAACATCATGTTATCTACTGCTATCTCAAGCTTGTTCTAACAGACAGAAGGTCATTACAATTAACATGTTAAAAATTGTTTTCAACTCTGAAACTTTGTATTCAAGTTAATTTAACTAATTTCAAACACTTTTTTTTTTTACATTTTTTTATGGTTAATTCTGATATTTGTAAAACTAGATAAAATTGAAATAAATTAAAGATTTGTTGATACAAAAACAAAAGATTAAATTAAAAATATGCTATAGTAAAATGTTAAGCACTAAGCATTACAGATAGATGAGTGTTTGCATGAAGTAAAAAATACCAAGTGCAAATGTAGAGCCTGACCTTGAGCTGTAGAAGTTCTCCAACTTTTAAGTTCTCCACATAATCTTGTAGCTGGACAAGCTCATGTGTGTTCTCAGCCTGGTAGGAGCTTTTCTTCACTATAACGTCATACTGGGAGCAAATCTGACGGTTAAACTTGCTGCTCATGTCTGTAATCTTTTTTACCATGGTGTCAATATGTTTCCTCGCTGTTTCAACAAGCCACTATTTGGTTTAAAAATATGGTTGAATAATCAACATTCATTTTTTTTTACTTTGGTAATATTGAAAGAATTAAACTCTAAACAATATAGTATCATTTTTTTTAAAACTTTTATTTTACAAAACCCAAAATTTTATAACAATTTGTCTTTTAGGTATACATAATCAAAATATTTGTACACTGTAATGTAACTTATCTAAGTGTAAATTGATTTTTTCAAAATAAAAATGTACATTACCAATGATAAGAGAAAAAAATGTGCAACTACAAACCTTGTTTACATTTGTACAGTCAAGTAGAAAAAAATGCATAGGTACGTAGACAGGTAAAGATCCCACTTCCCAAGCCATCTTTTTCAACCTCTCAATGGCTTGTACATATTCTTTCAATGGATGCTCCCTACTGATAAATTTCTGTACCTTGCTCTCTGTTTCTTTGGTAAATAAATACTTGTATGGTTCATATACTGATCTGTACCTAAATTTCAAAATAAAGGTTAAAATTTAAATGTTACATGATGTATTATAAAACAAAAACATTATTAAAAAATTATATATATTTAAACATGCGTGTATTTAAAAATTTGAATGTCAGTTTTACATGGTACACGACCCGTCTAATCATTTATTTATGAATTTTAAAAATGATAAACTATCATTATGCCTTTTATGAATTTTGCCAAAAGTATACCAGACAACAAAATACATAGAGTTATTTTAAAAATTCATTGTCATAATCAATTTTGTCTTGGTTTAGGCTTACTTCTTTGGCCCATGGCCATTGGCCAGAACAATAGTTCTAATTTTGTCTTTGGCATTTTCAACCACCTCCTCACCAATCTCAACAGATAAAATCATCTTGGGCTCCAGTTCTTCAACCTATAAAAGTGGTGATCACAAACATTTTCTCAAATAAGCCTGACATTCATAACACATGCTTAATTTTTTGTTCTCCCACTAAGTGGCTTTAAACAACATAGTAATCATCTTAAACAGGATTTCCTCAAGGAAAGAAGGGTTTCACTGTGCTTACTAAAGACATTTATACACAGTACTGTTTAAATTATCATAATAATGTTTTAAATTACAATAATGTTTCAAATGCACTGAACATAATTATATGTATGTAAGCTTCAGGTAGTATAAAGTCAATAAAGAGAAAATGTATGTAAGCTATTTACTTTTAATTTCATGCAGATTATGCTAAGAAAATTAACTCTTTATAAGCTGTATTATATTAGACCAGCTGACTTACACCTTGGAAGAGTTTATGTTCAAGTCGCGTAAGATGTCGGACACTCAGCACCATGGTATCAATGATCAGGGAGAAAAAATCACAAACATCAGGAAAATTTGGAGTAAATTGTAGGGATGAGTTTTCAAGTTCCTCTTCCTGAAAATAAAATATGTAAACACAAAAATTTGTAACTTTGCTTGTAAATAATGACATTTTTGTTTTAAACTGCTTATTGGGGCATTAAATTAAATGAAAAATGTATGTTTATATAAATTTGTATAAATAACATAAATTATGTATTATAGATTTTAAAATTCAGAACTGATTTGCCTTCATCAATCAAAATATTTGTAATAATGCGCAATCACCAGAAAAATAGTGACAGGGTGAATAACATAAGACAGCCCGAGTCCATCCATAATGCTGTAGTCACCCTCATACAGGTTCCCATCATGGTAACACTCAACCAAGTCTACCAGATCCTGGAGTGAGGTCTCCACACACTTTCGCAATAGGCCTGACATCAATGATGCTACACAGTTGAAGAAATGATCCATCATTTGTATTCTGGCCTCCTGCAAAAAGAAAATTAATTAATATTGAAGTTTGACAAAGAAAATACTTGAAGTATTATAGTTATCGGTAATAAAGCTATACTTTTCTATCCATATTTTAGGTGACCAAATAAGTTTTATGGCACAGCAGTAACAGAAAAAGAAAGTTTACAAATTGTGTTTACTCAAACAAGATTTTTTTTTAAAAATTGATTCACATCTTGTCTATCTCTCAGGTTGTAATAAGTAAAAAAAATTTCAGTACTTATGTTTATTGGAATATTGCAAACATTTTTCAACCACAACACTACACCAAACTAAAAATCTATTTTTAAAGAACACAACTTAAGATTTTGTCAAGATATTTGAACCTTGTCTGCTGGCATCCATGCTTCGACTTCATCTCGCAGTTGGTCAATCAACTCACAGCATTCGTTCAGCCAGACATTCTCAAGTACGGCTGCTGCTGCCTTACTGGAGTCTTGCACATGTTTGAGGAAAGTTTCCATGGTAACCGGCATTATGGCACGAAGACCAGGTATATCAACCAATCGCAACGTCTTATATCTTAAATTAATGAAAGAGTTATAGCTACTAATAATATCACCAATTTTTCAAAATACTATTATTTCTTATCATTTTCATAAATGTGATACTTTGGAATAGGTTGTTTCCCTTACCTAGTAGTAAATGAGTTAAATTAAATTTATTTATATCCTTTGACTCGTACTTTATGCCACCAATCCTACCACTTAACCTAAACTAGAAGTAAAAATAAAAAATAAAATAGCTGAAATGCTAAATTATAAACTTTTACCTCTGGTGAAATTCATAGAGTATTCGCCTCATGACTGGATGGGTAATAAATAAATTTTTCCGTAGAAAATTTCTGGACCTGTCCACACTTTCATGCCATGGAAACCCATCTCTGCCTGCCAGATGGGAGGGCTATCAAAGAAGATAATAAGGGGTTAGCACTGCCTTCATTTTGGTCATTTTTTCTTTATTTAGTACTGTTCTTTAAAAAGTAACAAACTACTCTATTTGTTTAACATGGAGCTAATATGTTTACTGTGGAACTACTCTATCTGTTTAATATGGAATTACTCTAATTAATGTGAAACTAATCTATCTGATGTTGACTTACCCTATCTGTTTAATGTGAAACTACTCTATATGTTTAATGTGAAACTACACTATTTGTATAATGTGAAACTACTCTATTTGTTCAATATGAAACTACTCTATCTGTTTAATGTGCAAGTCATTTGGGTTACCTACCTTGTGAGGCATAGGCAAGCCTAACCTCTCTTGTTCAGCTGGGTCTAGAAGAACATAGTCCAATATTGCCCTTCTCACAGAAGCTTTATAATCATTATCTACCTCCTTTTATGTTTTAGGAAAAAATGAAAGAATCATGTCAATATTTAATGGTACATTATATATTCATTAGTAATAGAAACAAAAATAATTTCAAATTCTAATTCCCCATAGAATGCAGTTTATATTAAATTTTTTAGCGCAATTTCCATTCTGGAGAATTGCGTTTATTAACTCGTCATTTCTGGGAATGGATGGATGAATGAATGTATGAATGTATGGATGTATGGATGAATGTGTGTCCGGGCTTTAAGTCGTATCTCCTCCTCAACGAAGCAATATCGATGACTAGTTCCAAAAGCAAATATGTTAAGCAAGTTACGAGGATGAACATAGGCCATAAAAATTACGGGTTTCTTTCATGGATTTCCCGGAAAAGCCAAAAAACCTCGAATAAATGCAGTTTTTGGCCCATATCTCGGCAACCAGACCACTAAGCGACTTGAAACATGTACAAATCGATTCCTGCCATAATTTAGAACAATATTGCCGAAGAAAGTTTTCAAAAATATCCTTTCGTTCGGTCACAAAAAAAATTTTGAATTAATTAAAATTTGGACCGAATTAGTAGGCATTTTTTCCAACCACACCACACGCGTCATCACGTTCAATAGCTGCGCCATCGCGTTCCATGGCTGCGCCATCACGTTCAGTAGGCGCGCAATGGTTTTTAGTCATGTAACTCTATTGTAAATAAAACATGTAAAATACTGAAAAAAATTAATAAAAAACGTTTTAATAACTAACCAATGGTTTTACTAACCCTGCTCTTGATTTACGCTACGACAGAGCTATTTTTAGATAACATAAGGAAATTGCGCTAAAATTGTCACTAGACTTTTTAATTACCTTGTTTTAGAAAAAAAGCATGCAGACCTGCAATCATCAAGGTCAGTTTAATGTGTGTTTAGTTAATGTACATTTATTTCTATAATTACTGCCGATTAAATTCTATATAACTTGTACCTTTAGAAATGAGCGTGTTGTCTGTGGAAAGTCCAATCTTAACTTCCTTGGAACAAAGTGGTAAATGCCTTCAAGAGTTTCCTTAGTAATGGGCCCAACCATACTTGGATCTATTGCTTTTTCTGCTAGTTGGTAATATCTATGGAATATAATGTGACAACAACTACGATTTAAGTAGCTATATTTATTTTATCGAGCAATATGACATAAATTTATAAATCAATATCATGTCCCCAGCTGTAATTTCAAATCTATACTTTTAAAAAAAAAGGTATTAACTCTGGATTAAAGAGACTGGATTACCTTTCTTTGTCTTCTGGTTCTGGGGTTGCAGCTCGCGATAGCCCATGTGTGGAGAAATACCAGGGTGGAAATTCAATTTCTAAACACTCCAAAGTTTCTTTGTCATGAAATGGACTAACTCTGCAGCCTTCTTCATAGCCTGATTCATTCTGATTATCTTTCTCTGAGTTATAAACAGCTGTTTCTATTGATAGAAATATTTTACATAAATTTTAATACTGTTTATTAAAGCAAACATTTTTATTTGAATTGCTAATAACAGTGGGCTTCGTTTTGTATTTAGAGATGGAAAAATTTTAATATTTCTAAAACTGATTCTACAGTAAATATGTCTAAAATTTAAATTACTTATTATTTAATATTTAAACTCATTAAACCCAGCCTTACAAAATTTATAAGGCAACAAAGCATAATTCAACTTTTTAAAAATAATGTAAAAATCTGATTTAATTATTAAATTTGATTAATGCTTGATAATATAAAGAAACAAGATAATAACCTGAAATTTCATGTTCTGATAAATTCTCCATTTCATGTGAAAAACCATTTAAACTTTGTGTCAGGGGAAGAGCACTCTCACTGTTACTACCTAACTCTGATCTCAGATAAGAGCTTTCAACACCATCTTTTTCAACCCAGCTTGCCAATGTTTCATCCTCCTCCTGTATCCTACTCCCTTCATCCACTTCATGCCCTTCAGATTTTTAAAAGATTGATAACATAAAAAAAAATTATTATGAACTAATTTATCAGGGCTTTTGAAAAAATAAGTATTTGTATTTTATTTTTAAAAAAAGCTTTAACGCCCACTGATGGTTCTTTCACATAAAAAATTCTTCAGTTTATCTAAAGAGTAGTATACAATTGTAGAACTTGAAAAATGCAATCCAACAAGTCCAATATTAATATAGCTGAAGTAGTTACAAAAATAAAAATTTAGTGTTGAAAATTTCATACAAAAAAAAACACGAAAAAATATTAAATTTAAAACTTAAATTTTGTCCTTTTTTTCTCAAGCAAAATAGAAAATACATAATTATTAAAACGGTTTTTGTGTGCTTGTTCTTAAATTCATTGTACTACATTGAAATAAAAGTATTTTTATTTGTATGTTTGTTAAATGATAATTATTGTTTGTTTTATGTAATTATAATTACAAGATGCTGTTTTTAGAATTGGAAAGGAAGGTTTTATGCATTAGTATTTTGTCTTTTTGGAAACAATATTGTCTAGATTTCTATATCAAAATATAAGGTATTTCAAGTGCTAATAGAGAATGTACGGGTTAATTTTTTTAAATGGTATGGATATAAATTTTAGACTACAGCCTTAGAAAAATTAGAAAAGGGATGATTTTAGTAACCATAACAGTAAAGCAAAAATAAAATCTGATTACATATCTGAGATAAAAAAAAAATATTATTGCTAATTTGTTTGTACTATGTAATTATTGTTCTATCTTCAGCTAATAGTTACTAATTTAGTTGTATCAGCTTCAGTTTAAAAGCTTTAAAAGATATTTTCATTTATATTACAAACCTAAATACAAATTGAATCCCCATGTATGATGTCAGCAAGTAGTTGCCATTCTCACTCTCTCACTTTCAGCCCAATATGAGATTATATAAATGCTATCCCATTGCTTATTGTTGCTGATTTTTTTGTGTCAAAAACTTGACCCAGTACACAACAGATGTATCATCCTGAATCCTTGTATGTTTCAAAATTTTCTGACACAATGAAGGATCACTCCTCAGTAATAAGTCAACCAGATCTTTCTCTGGGTCTTTTACTGCTTTGAATATTTCCTGTTAGTATCTTATAGATGGATGCTGGATGGAAGCTTTCACTTGCTTTTTTGTTCTCATTTGCAGCTTGTCTTCTACTTTCCTTTTTTTTTGCCTTTTACTAACTTCCTCGGCTATTTTACATTTTTGTATTGTGCTCTCCTTCTGGGCACCTTTTCTGATTGCAAACTGGATAAGTTCTTCCTGTTTTACAATAGGTTACTCATCAAGCCAATCTAGTGTTTATTTACATTGTTGTTTTGCCAAGCTGCATTAGGAGCCCATCTCCAAAGAGCATCAATCATCCCTAGAGCTCTCTCAGATGCTATGTTGTGTGGACCTGTTGATTTGTTGATTTGGTATCATCAAGCTTTTGGGATGTCACCTGTGTAGTCCTTCCCTCAAAGTATGGTTGCTCACAACCCAACAGAGCAAATCTATAAGAATGATAGACAGTGGATAATTTGGAAGATCTTTCCTAATGCTCTGATAAGCTTGCAATAAGCTGTGAAAGGTTTTTCAAGTAAGTCTTTGTTTGAAGTCCAAAGTATATCTACATGTTGGATGTACATTTCAGTGTTGTTGAGGCATTGTTTGAGATAAGGTACAACATCTAGGTTAGACTTGCAGTCCACATTGGCATAGATCTTTGTCATCAATGCTGTGATAGTGATACAACAACAAGGTTCAGGCGTCCTCAGATATGTGTTTGCACCAGTATTTACTCATCAATCAAATGTATTCCTGGAACTTTTCTCTATGCCTCCCATTTGGAAAATGATATGCAGCATGTTGCCTACATATCTAAGGAACATGTTCTGTGCTGCCTTTTGTCCTCGTAGGAAGGTCTTTAACCCTTGTGGGTTTCCTTTATCTTTGTATCTCGTTGGAGATCTGTTGCATGATCTTCACAACAACACTTTTTGCTATACAAGCCCATCCTTGCCCAAAATTTTTCATCAAATTGAACATTATTTGCAACACCATCCAAAGGATGAATGTTGCAGATTAGTTCTTACAGATTGATGTCCAGATGTGTTTCTAAAACCTCAACCATAGCAAGGTTGATTGGTGCTCAGTCTGTTAGGGTACTTTTTTGAGGTTGTCTGCGCAGGTGTCCCTTAGGTTGTTAATTGTATTGATGATTGGGGTTACATAATCAGTTGTTATCCCACCTGGTAACTCACCTGTAACAACAGATACAAGATTTGTTGGAGAAAAGGACAGGTGTATTTGATGTATGTGACTGCCTGCCTTCGTTGTAGCATCCCAGGATAAAGTGGCTCCTTCAAGTTGATTAATTTCTCCCCAGCTTGCAACATACTCAGTGCCCCAATCTCATGCAACATTCTTGCTACTTGATTACACTGAGGCAGACATGATAGTTCTTTCTGCCACAACACCTTCATACTGTACCTTATTAGTTGGCCTACATTTCAAATGGGTTCTTGAGACAAAATTAGATAGTAAATAACTTTCCTAACTGGCAAGCTGTCAGTTTTCTTATCTTTCATTGTATGGATTTTGTCAGGGTATTTTTCATCTCTTTCTGCCATTATAGTCTGGTCTAATTCCATGACTGCAGTATTATTTTAAAGCTCTCCATTTCTGGCTTATAATACTTCCAGCTGCTTTTGTTATTGTCTCATTTGCACGTTTTAGCTGAATTATCAGGTTTTTTATTTTCTGGAATTTTTTTGTTTGTAGGCTGAATTTTTAGGATTGTGTTAGACTTCCTCAGTTGCCTTCTGTCTTGGCATAATTTACTTACCATGTTCTTTTCCAGCTGTAATCTCTTCATCTTCAAATTAAACAAATCCATATTTTGTTCTCGTAGACATGAACCTAAGTTAAATTTGTCTTTAAAATTTTTAGACAGCATTACTCTTACAATTAGGACAATTATGTCTAAAATATTTTTTGCCTTCTGAAGGTAGTTCATCCATTTGGTACATTCAAAGTTCTTTGTTGACTGTGTTAGTTCTAATGCGTTGAATGGGGTCTTATTCATTTTCTTCAGTTGATACATCATGCTCAGGACTGAAACGTTCCTCTGCTGGTAAAGACTTTAATTGTTCACTGCTGGGGAAGTCGTACATTTCTTCCCAGTTACTAGAGTTTTTTCTTCTGTTTCTGAGTTTTTGAAATGGTTTTTGTTGCTGTTACATGAATGTTGTTATCATGGATTTTGAAGCCAATTCTCTCTTCTATCAATCTCTTAATCTTTGCCAATCCTCTTTTTTTGCCTCCTCCTTCTAAAAACAATCTAAAAATATGTCCTTTCTTCCATCAAAATGAACCTTGAGCATAGCTATAAGCATTTGATATATGAAGATCTAGTTATGCTTCTTAATAGTGAAAAACTCCAAGCTATATGTTATTACAACATATTTTTTAGTCAACTAGGCCAGAAAAAAAGTATTAAAACAAGTAGCACAATTACACTTAGGCCAGTTTGGGCCTTAGAGGCTATAAGTACTAGTTTTTAATTTCTTAGCCTTATACACAAATGAACACTAACTAGATCAAGTAATTTATACTAATTTAGGCTATAATGTATGTGTGTGTGTATATATATATATATATATATATATATATATATATATATATATATATATATATATATATATATATATATATATATATATATATATATATATGTATATGTATATGTATGTATATATATATATATATAAATGTATGTATATATATATATATATATATGTATATATATATATATATATGTATATATGTATATATATATATATATATATATATATATATATGTATATATATATATATATATATGTATATATATATATATATATATGTATATATGTATATATATATATATATATATACATATACATATATATATATATATATATATATATATATATATATATATATATATATATATATATATATATATATATATATATATATATATATATATATATATATATATGTATGTATATATGTATATATATTTACTTTAGAAACAGACTAAAATTAAATTATAAAATTAATTATTCCAACAAAACAAAGTGCAAACTTTGAATTAAAACAATCTCAATCTGAACCTCAAAACAGTAACAGGTAACTGAAAAATTAACAAACACTTTGCCCGTTAAAAAATAATGTAACCCTTTGTTAGTGGAAACTGTAGTAACTATCGATGCTTTTTCCGCCGGTTGTTTCTATAGCAGATGAGCAAGTTTAGTGCAATGCTGCTCCTGACCAAGTGACAAATGTTACATAAATTATACTGATACATTTTATTAGTACATTTTAAAAGATAAATGGATGGCACAAATGCAGTTAAAGTATAAATCTAAATTTTGTACAAAAATATAAATGTCTTTTCACAAATAAACGCTGGTTTCACAAAATCACGTCCGCCCATAATTATTTTTAACAACTTATCTGCCATTTCACAATCTATCAAGTACAGCTAACATCAAACTGAGTTACAGGTATGTTTTGGCAAGAAAGCTATTTTAAGTAACAGTGCTGGAAAACAATAGCAAAAAAATTAACTAAGAAGTGGGCTTAAAATGTGTGTCAGAGGTATTAATTAAACTAGCAAGTTGAGACTAACTAGTTCTTAAGCCTTCCTTAAATGTGTACAGAAGTTTAAAACATAACTTTCAAAATATCACATTTTCTTTAAAATGACATCATTCTATTTGTATAGTCAAGGCTGAATAAAGTAGCTAAATCTTCTACTATTGAATACTATTTTATTTGTTTATATGTAAAAACCTACAATAACAAGTTTTGTAAAATAAAGTAATTCACCATTGCTCAATTTATCAGTGCTTGTTGTTAGTCCATTGATGGGTGGTAGGATGAGACTAGGTGTTTGTGATCTGTTACTGGCTGGAACAGCATCTCCATATTCACTCACTACTTTGTAGCTTAAAGCATCCACAAGTATAGAACTGCCTGAACTGCTGTTGGTAAAATGAATAGCCTAAATAATCAAATGTTCATATATATATATATATATATATATATATATATATATATATATATATATATATATATATATATATATATATATATATATATATATATATATATATATATATATATATATATATATAAATAATAATAATAATAATGAAAACACGATCACAACTTAGTCTAGATAGAACATTGGCCAGTACGTCCTGGCCAGTGCTAAGTTCTTCGGGCTTCGGCCAAGAGAGCGGGCTATAGCCAAGAGAGCGAGCTTTGGCCACACTTTGGGCTTTGACAGTAATATATATATATATATATATATATATATATATATATATATATATATATATATATATATATATATATATATATATATATATATATATATATATATATATATATATATATATATATATATATATATATATATATATATATACATATAAGTTTCTATGTATGTGTTTGAGTGTGCATGTGAGTGTGTTTGAGAGTTGAGTGTTAAGTAAATATTTAATATATCCCAGACATGAGAGGGGGACAGTAGTGTAGTTGTTCATCTGATTCTGAGACCTCAACTTCTAAAGGGTGAGTTCTATGCCATCAGGTTCCCTATCAGAGACTATGGCTTTCATTGATAGAAACTATCAAAAACTTAATACATAGAAGAATAGATTATAGATCTAATACATATTAATTATTATCTAAGTTAAGTGCAGTATTAAAAATAAAGTATTATTTTATAAATTATTCAGCTTAATTAATTATTTAATATAACTTTATAACTGATGGAGAAAAAACACATTCTGTCAAAAAAGATCATCATACCATAATGATAATAATGAACATTATGACATAAAGAAATGGCGATCAGCGTATGAAAGCAGAAAACATTATTTACTTACTAGATCTAGATCTGGAAAGAGTTGCTGAGGTGTGAGATGATGAAGGGCTTGGAGAAACGGGCGGGGCTATTGAAGCAAAGGGATCAGGAAATTCAAATGTTTCGCTAATGGAAGGAATGACAGTGAAAGAATTTATCGGGGTGGAGCGAGTTGCTGAGGTGTGAGATGATGAAGGGAGTGGAGAATCAGACAAGACAGTTGACACAGAGGGAGTTTGGCCTTCAAGTGAGTAGTCCGCTAATGGGGCATCACCCGACAAGTAAACTTCACTTGGGCCGAATTTGCCGGACATCAATACTTTGTTGGGGTTGAATGGGTAAATCCCCGCAGCCATAAAACTTTTTGATGCGTTGTTTGGCGTTGCAGCTTTTGTCCACACAGGTTTCAACACCTTCCCGAAGCTTTCAAGGTTGACTCCTTCACCAGTGGCCCACATGTGTTCGCGAGCAGCATCCGTCCAGGAGCGTTTTATTGAACCAAAGAAAGCCTGGTCAAGTGGTTGTATGAGGTGGCTAGTGTGAGGCAGCAGACAATACAGGATTATGCCATTTTCAGCACAGAGCTCCAGTGTTTCCAAAAGAGATGTGTGGCTCGTATGTCCATCGACCAGCAACAAAACCGGCTTTGGTAGGTTGACTATTGAGGGTAAAAAGCAATCCCTTATCCAGATGTGAAAAATGCTGGCAGTAATCCAGCCATTGTCGGAAACCTGTAGGTATGCCTCAGGAAAGTCCTGTAGCAGGTTCTTGTTAGATATCCTTTTATAAGGAAAAATTAACAAAGGCTGGATATATTGCCCAGAGGCACTGGCACATGCTAGCACTGTCACTTGGGTCTTGTTATTGGATGCGACATTGTACACATGTTTAGCCCCTTTGCATGCAACAATTTTTCGACTCTTAACATCGAAGGAAAAACCCTGTCTCATCAGCATTAAAAGTTCTTTCTGGGCTGTCTAGTATTGCTTCGTCTTGTTCCACAATAGACCCCTTTAGGTTTTTAAACCATTTCTCAACAGCTTGAGGGGGTATGACTGCCCTTTCTCTTCCTAAGGACATCGGGGTCCTCCGGGATAGGTTTGGATGGCGCCGAAGAAATCCTGTCAGCCATTTGTATCCCGGCATTTTTACTTCTTTGTCTGTCCTCTTCTGACATATCGCTCGGGCTGTTTCACTCACCTTTTCATTCGTCTTACCAAAGCCTCTATCGGCCAGCTTAATCAACCATTTTTCTAGGTTGGTCTCCTCCTTGCTGGTGAGGAGGGTGTTTTCCTTTAGGACCAATGGGCTTTTCCCATGGACCTTGTCGTGCAGGGTTGTTATTGGAATGCCGAAACTTCTAGCAGCTTGTCTAACTGAAAGTGATCTATTTTTCACACTTTCCACTGCCGCCCTAATTTTTTCTTCACTATGAAAGGTTTTTATTTTACCAGACATATTCAGGATTTTTTGGGCTGATAAATAGGTTTCTAAAAAAACTATTCAAAGATTTTGAAACTGAAGAATAAAAAAATCAAGAAAGGAATATAGTCTAGATTCTAGATATAAAGAATATTATTACAATTAAACACTAGATTCTACATAATAATATAACACCTATTATCATCAATTAGATGGGCCAAATTGATCTTTTTCTATTAAAAAATATTGATAGTCGGAAAACCGACAAAAAAACATAAATCCTCCACCTGAACACCCAAATAAAAAAATAATGGTGAAAGATACAATTTAAACTTTAAACTATACAAAATGTGCTATTTGCTTAAATACTATAAGTATAATATGAATTCAGTTAGCAACTATAGAAAATCCTGGCACAGTTAAAAATAATGTAATTTAGAATCTAGATCTAGATTCTAAATTAGATTTTATTCATTTATAGATTCTAAATTTAGATCTAACTTTCGGTAGATTAGAGCATAGATTTCAGTTTTACACCTAGAATCTAGACTAGATCTGGAAATCTAGATCTAGAATCTAGATCTTATTTTTTTCGCTTTGGTCTTTGGACTCTGCGTAAACCATGTTTATAAAATTCCAACTTCCTCGTTGCATGAAACTTGATCAAACAATTGTATTTCTTAAACTAAAGAGTTCATTTCATGATATGGTCTGCTAGGCCAGGGGTCTCCAAACTTTTCAGTCCGAGGGCCGCATAACCCATCAAATTTCAGTTCGGGGGCCAGTTTCTTCCAGGCATGTCTTTTATTTTTCTGGGCAAAGTTCCTCAGCCATCACCAACAGACGATTTTTCCTTGGACTAAAGGATCTCCGCGGGCCGGATGAGAGGACTTCGCGGGCCGCATCCGGCCCGCGGGCCGTAGTTTGGAGACCCCTGTGCTAGGCTAAAACTCGTAGATCTAGAATCTAGAAGCTTTCATATGCGTAGCTTTAGTCTTCATGTGTTAATTCATTGTATAAAAAAATTAAAAGTAGAATCTAGCTCTAGAATCTAGATCTATATTATTTTCCTTTTTTTAACGCAAGGGCTTCATAACTTGGAAGTGTACTGACCTAGGGAGATGCGGACTAGTGCCACCAGAGAAGGCGAAAAGTTTAGCAGGTTTAGACCTAGAAGCTAGAATATTTTTATTTTTCCTTATTCGGAATATAGAATCTAGAATTAGTATGGGGGAAGGGGGCCTATTATAATCATGCAAAAAAAATCAATATCGAGATTTAGACATCCACCCGAATAGGGAAAATCAAGTTTTCCAATCTTGTCGGTATGTCTTTCTCAGTGGCGTCGCTAGGTCGGGCGTCAACCGGTGCGGCACCTAATAGTGTCAATTCTAGTGTAATTGCCATCCCAACCCATAGTGTTATATACGAATATACGAGATAGTTTTGTGAAGCTTACTTCCGCTTTATTTATCAGGGCAACTGAATGTATGATCTACTTCCTATCCTTATTTTGTCTCAGGTCACGTGAATAGAACTACTTACTATCTTTACATTGCATCGGGTCACGTGAATCTAATGAACAACTTACTATCTTTACATTACATCGGGTCACGTGAATCGAACGAACTACTTACTATCGTCGTTTTTTGTCGGGTGGCAAGCCGCGGTGAGTGTTGGGTGGACTAATTGAACCAGTGGACTTTCTTGGGGTTAGGAAGTAGATTTCTTCAACACTGTAAGCTGGGGAAAATGTTAGAGGAATTTAAAAATAAATCATATACATCCTGGGGGGGGGGGGGGGGGGCTTCCATAAACGACGTCATATTCCAAGGAGTAGGGGGTCGAATTTTTGTGACGATTTGCGACGAAGGGGAGGAGAGGTCATAAAGTATCACGATATACTTTTTTTCTTACAAAGTGAGTATTAGCTGTTATTTCGCGATTTTTTAAAGAAATTGCTGCAAATCTGGGGGGGGGGGGGGGTAGTGGTAAGCTGAGATGTGACGTCTTTGGGTGGATTTCTGGCTTTTCTTGACAATGAGCAGTATGGGGGGGGGGGGGGGCAAAAATCTTTTTAAAAGCGCGACGTCGTTTATTGATGACCCCAATAGAAAAAAATTCATATTCAAATCATACAAATAAACATTTGATATTCGCTTGGTCAAACTGTGTATAAAATGGACAGTAAGCCTACATTAATTTTACAAAATTATATTTTAAATAGCACTATTTCATGTTGTGTTTAGTTTTAGAATCAGTTATAGTTATATCTTTACAGAACACGCAAGTTTAAGTTCTAATTGTTTAACATTTCTCTCTAGTTACCTAGTTTGGTGGACTCGTATATCTGCGAGGTTGTGAAGTTGCGAGCATTAGGGCTGTAGTTGTTCCCTATCGAGTCGCTCACACAGCGCACAAATTTCTTCTCTTTGACCGGAACTGATCTGGTGAACGACCCGTGCTCCACGATCTTTGGTGTGTCGCTAAAGGCAGGCTGGGGGGGAGCAGTTAAATCACATTTGTTAACTCAAATAGAAACAAAATAATAAACGATTAAAGACTTAAAATACAAATAACGATTAGGAATTTTTGTAAACTATTCAAACGATTTAGCAGTTGCAATATAGGCCTGTTTTTAAACAGTGAAATTGGAACAAGCCTAAAGACTGACGCTCAGAGACTTCAAAGAGTTTGCCACACTTCCATGTGTTGTATATCAGATTGAGTTGAAAGTATTGAGCTCCCTTGTTTCCATCTTACAGTCTACAGTTCGTTAAAACTACTAGATTGGTGGCATAATTATTCTACAACGGCAATAAAACACTACCTGTGATACACCGGCGATAAAACTTTACATGGGATACACCGGCGATAAAACTTTACCCGTGATACACCGGCGAAAAAACTTTACCCGTGATACACCGGCGAAAAAACTTTACCCGTGATACACCGGCGAAAAAACTTTACCCGTGATACACCGGAGATAAAACTTTACCTGTGATACACCAGCGATCAAACGTTACACCGACGCTACATAAGAAACCATTTTTTACCTGCGCTGCACTGAGAGGAGGTAGATGTTTGATGGCACTAGGCCGGTGTCTGAGTTCGAATTCATTTGGCTCTGCGATCTTTGTTGCATGGAACTGCAGAAACAAGAGGAGAATAGTTAACAAGTTTTAATTCTTATACAGAGAGGTGACACAAAATAAACATAATGCAGATTGGTGACACAAAATAAACATAACACAGTATTTACACACAATAAACATAATACAGAGAGGTGACACAAAATAAATATAACATAGAGAGGTGACACTAAATAGGCATAATATAGAGGGGTGGCACAAAATAAACATAACACAGTGTTTACACACAATAAACATAATACAGAGTGGTGACACAATATAAACATAATACAGAGAGGTGACACAAAATAAACATAATACATAAGGGTGACACAAAATAAAAAAGAAACTAATGTTATTGTCCAGAAAGACTTTTTTTAAAAATTATTTAGGCCCATTATATCTCAACAAAGCACGTTTCTATACTTTTCACATCGCATTAATGTGTGAGCGATATAACATGTACAGCCATTTCACATGTTTAGCATATTTCACATATCATTTTTAAGTTGTTTGTTAACAAAGCAATCTTTCTTTACAGAAGCTACGTTTTGGATGTTTATAACAAACTTTTTAACACTTTCTCCAATCACTATGAGAAATTGAAATGGTAATTTTTAAAAAAGATGGCGCCGGATGGGCCATGAATTATGTGTGAGACTAGATGACATCAGATGAAGGGCGCTGTATCAGACCCCTCACTGATAATCGAGACTGATAAAGAGAAGGAAACTGCCAGGAAATTTGCCAGAGACAGGACAAAGTAGAAAGAGCTATCTGTGGCGGTCCCCATATATCCTGGGCTTTGAAGGGAAAAGATGATGATGAACAAAATAGAATAATATCAATAAAGAAAATATTTTTTAATTAAACTTTTTTTAAATGTCCAATCTGGCACTGATCTCCTTTAGATAACAACGAGTTTGTTTTTAACCACCAGTGTTTTAATTAAATACCATTCACGCGAAAGTTAGAAAAGCTACTACATATTTAAAAAATTAACATTTAAAAACAACAATTTTAAGGTGTAAATTTTAAAAAGTATCTGACCTCATCCATATTGTTTGTTATTAGCAGATATTTTTCATTTGGGATCATCTATAAATGACGATTTTTACCCCCACCCCCTTCTCCTCCGTCACACATCGTCAAAAAAGCCAGACCCCCTCACCTAAAATAACGTCACCTCAGCCTAGACCCCTCCCCCTCAAAATTGCAGTTGAATTTTTCTTAAAATACGATATTTTTCTAAAATCTTGTCTGAACATAAAGAGTATTTTAATCATGAAAACAGTTATCTAAAAAAAACGCGAAATAACGGCTAAAATTCGTTTTCTAACATTGCTTTTTTACTTTCTCGTATATACGTAGTATAGAGAAAGTATTGTAATCGTGCAAAAAAAAATCGAGATTTTTACAAATCTCGACGTTTTACACCTCACTGATACGGAAAAACATAATTTTGCAATCTTGTCCGTATGTCTGTGTGTGTGTGTGTGTCTGTGTGTCTGTGTGTCCGTGTGTAAACACGATAACTTGAGTACCGTTACAGCTAGGCTGGTGAAATTTCATATATAAGTATTTTATCAAAATCGTAGATCCGTATCAACTTTTGAGCGAATTCCGATAACCGGAAAAGGTACTTTTTCTACTTTGAATTTTTCAAAAGCCTATAACTTGAGTACTATTTCAGATAGATAAATGAAATTTGATATGTAAGTAAAAGAGTTAATTCTCTACCTTCTGTCAAATTTTGAGTAATTTCCGTTGACCGGAAGTACTTATTTACGCTATTTCCGATTTCTCAAAAAACGCATGTAAATTTATAAAGTACTAATAATATTGCGCACTATTATGCGCTTTTTTATTTAGCGTTCACTTGGTGTGCATTTCTTTTTTCTACGAGATTATATTCTATTTTAAGAAATGTGAGTATTTAAAATGGATTAAAAATCATGTCTAGAAGTCTATATCCCGAGTTGCCATCCCCTGTAGTGTTATATTAGAATATTCGAGAAAGTTTAGGGGAGATCACTCCCGGTTTATTTATAATGCAAAAGTGTGGCGCGTCACACCATCTGACCCCCCCCCCCCCTCATGACACACCGTCTCAAAATTACGGACCCCTCACCCCTACGAGTGTTACGTCATTTATGGACGACCCCTTTTAGCTGTTTCCTGTAAATAAAAGGTTCATTATTGGAAGATTTAAAAAGTAGCCCTCTACATTTTTACAATTAAAAAAAAAACCCAAACGTGCTTGCTTTTAATTTTTTTAATGTGTTGTATTCGTGTGTCCCTTTAAAAGGGACACGAGCGTAAACTTAAAAACGTGGGGCACCTATGACATGGTATAATCTTGTCAACTTCCGAGTTGAGATAAGACAACGTCACTAAAGAATTTCTTTTGATAAAGTAATTCCCTTCGCCGCTCCGTGGGCTTACACTGTCAGCCTGTCACGGGTTGCATTTAATATGATTAATTTCTGTCAAACAACTTTTCTAGGCCATATTTGTCTGTTGGGGGTGGTATTAAGTTAGCCAATTATTAAACGTTTATAATTTAAATGAAAGGATTCTTTGACACAATATTTAATACCCTGTCAATTAGCATCACCCATCCAGTGTTTCTTCCAGACTTTTTTCTCCGGGAGGGGGGGGGGGGGCTTGAAATTTCCTGGGGCGGACTAAAATTTCTGGGTGGGGGGGGCGGACACTGTAAAAAGTATATAAATTCAATTTCGTTCGCGGGGGGGGGGGTAGACTTTCTTCGCCCCCCCCCCCCCCCCCCCCCCGCCCTTGAAGAGATGCCTGGAAGAAACTCTGCACCCATCCCAATAAAACCACAATTTTATACTGATTTTTTAGCAGATTCGGACCAAGGCGTGTTCCATTGCTTGATGTGATGAAAAATTTTCAAATACTTAGTCAAACAAATTATCGTTAAAATCAAGTATAAAGATACATTAGAGCAGCTAAATTATAATGTCAGACTTGCTTATATCCCAATGTCCTCCCCTCCGCCTCCCACTCGTCCCACTAGCCCTTCCTCCAACTTTCGTCCGACCATCACCTCCTCAAGAGAGTGGCGTCATCTATGGGAGACAACTTTGTTCGTTAAAAAAGTTAAATTGGTTTTAAACAAATACAAAAACTTTTTTAAAAATAAAACAACGTTTATATTTTATAGTGAAATTCAATGTCGGATTGATGTAATTATTTTAAAAATCTGATCAACAAAATTGATGTTATTGCTTGCGTTAATGCCTGTTAAAAGAAAGACTTCGTGTGTATCGATACCAACCACGAAAGTACCATTTTATTTCAATTAAAAGTAAGGTCACTAGGTTCGACACTTGTTGTGCCGCATACTTCAACCAGCCTTATCTAGTACTCTTGGTCTCAGGAGAAATCTGTCTAAAGTCTGTCTATACGCTAGTCCAATTGTCTAAAGTTTAGTCTATACAATTTCCTAGTCCTATTGTCTAAATTCTGGTCTATACCTTAGTCCAATTGTCTAAAGTTTAGTCTATACAATACCCTAGTCCAATGGTCTAAAGTCTGGTCAATAAATACCCTAGTCCAATTGTCTAAAGTCTAGTCTATACAATACCCTAGTCCAATTGTCTAAAATCTACTCTATTAAATACCTTAGTCCAATTGTCTAAAGTCTGGTCTATACCTTAGTCCCATTGTCTAAAGTCTAGTCCATACATACACTAGTCCAACTGAACTAAGAACTCTATAAATAACTGACTCGACCCAAACAAACAGGTGGAATCCACCGATATTCCTCACCTACCGTGTTGTACCAGCCTGCCCCACCAGTTTAAAAGGTCAATCAATACAAAAGGTTAAGCTTAACTCCCCCACCCGCACCCCTGACCCCCCTTGGCTTGGTATATCAGAGCTTTCTTTACTTCCACTTGAGATTTCTTCCCTATCAATCAATATATATCAATAGATTTTCAGCTATGTCAATGGGTATTGATTTCTTGTATTGGGCGACTCCAAGCCTACTGTTGATCCGTCGTGGTATGGTTGAGTTGGTATTTTAACAAGCCGTTAATGGGTGGGTTTCAGCTGTGTTTGTGATATCCAGCGTTCAAATTCGACTCGGGAACGTCTCTATGATCAATATTTCCCTCTCTTCCCATGGTGTTTTCAATATTTGTCTCTCCTCCCATGGTGCTTTCAATATTTCCCTCTCTTCCCATGGTGCTTTCAATATTTCCCTCTCTTCCCATGGTGCTTTCAATATTTGTCTCTCCTCCCATGGTGCTTTCAATATTTGCATCTCTTCCCATGGTGCTTTCAATATTTGCATCTCTTCCCATGGTGCTTTCAATATTTGCATCTCTTCCCAAGGTGCTTTCAATATTTGCATCTATTCCCATGGTGCTTTCAATATTTGCATCTCTTCCCAAGGTGCTTTCAATATTTGCATCTATTCCCATGGTGCTTTCAATATTTGCATCTCTTCCCATGGTGCTTTCAATATTTGTCTCTCCTCCCATGGTGCTTTCAATATTTCCCTCTCTTCCCATGGTGCTTTCAATATTTCCCTCTCTTCCCATGGTGCTTTCAATATTTGTCTCTCCTCCCATGGTGCTTTCAATATTTGCATCTCTTCCCATGGTGCTTTCAATATTTGCATCTATTCCCATGGTGCTTTCAATATTTGCATCTCTTCCCAAGGTGCTTTCAATATTTGCATCTATTCCCATGGTGCTTTCAATATTTGCATCTCTTCCCATGGTGCTTTCAATATTTGCATCTATTCCCATGGTGCTTTCAATATTTGCATCTATTCCCATGGTGCTTTCAATATTTGCATCTCTTCCCATGGTGCTTTCAATATTTGCATCTATTCCCATGGTGCTTTCAATATTTGCATCTATTCCCATGGTGCTTTCAATATTTGCATCTATTCCCATGGTGCTTTCAATATTTGCATCTCTTCCCATGGTGCTTTCAATATTTGTCTCTCTTCCCATGGTGCTTTCAATATTTGCATC